TATAAATGCTTACTTACTACGTCACATGCGCTACCAAAAATACAATAAAAAAGAAATCATTAAAGGTTCTTTTTTATATTAAGATGTAAGGTATTTTTTTTTAAACAGTGGAATAAGCATTGAATACCTAAAACAGATTATACGAACGATACAATGTTCTGTTTTAAAAATAGATTAGTATGTAGTAATACATTTCTTTTCTCTAATCATCCTATATGCTCTGGTTCATATTACCAGACACAATCAGTAACAAAAGTGTTTTCCTAAACATTATTTCATTATGTATAATAAACTTTATCAAAGGACGATAAACCACAATCCGTGATAACCATAGGTTCTTTGACTGTTTTTAAATACTTATATCGTTGACACTTGTCACATTTCTTTCCTATTCACAAAACTAGCTGTGTGTAGACCCTAGGTAATCGAATCATTTCCACAACTCTTGTGTGATCAGGCCAATCGTTGCTAGAAATTTCAATCGCCGTAGGGCTCCCGCTTCCATTATCAATCTGATTTCTTCGTTGAGCTCTTATTAACACAGCCATAATATTTTAATTCATCTCTTTCAAATCCTCACTAGTCATTTCTAATCGTGACAATGTATCTGCAGCTACGTTGTCCCGGCCCTTCACATACACTACCTTTAAGTCATATTCATGTAATAATAATCTAAATTTGGTTAACCTGCTTAAAGGATCGGATCATGTATACAAATATACTAATGGTCGATGGTCTGTTTCTATAATAAATCGTTTTTCATAGAGATAAGGTCTAAAATATAGGTATCTACGCTCGGTATTGTTTAAGCTACGACTGGCGTAGGCCACCGGTCTACGATCGCTATTACATAATACCGCTCCCAGTGCATGTTCCGATGCATCTGTTTGTAATATAAAAGTATTTTATTAGTTAATTAGTGATGTTTTTCAAATATTAAAAGCATCTTGGCAATCTTTATCCTAGTGAAAAGTAACATTTTTTCGACATAAATTATTTAAGGGCAAACATATTTTAACAAAAGTAGAGATAAATTTCCGATAATAATTAGAAAATGCGATGAATCTCTTGACTTAATTTGAATTATTCGGGGCGGGGTATTTTTTTAAAACTTTAATTTTTTCAGGGTCGGAGCTAATACCATTCCAATTAATACCAAGAAATCGCATTTTTCCGGATTAAGCTTTAAATTTACTTTTCGCAATCTATTCAAAATACCGATTGGGTTTTTGTTAAGCATATCTAAGTTACGTCCAAAACATATTATATTATCTAGGTATATAAAACATTTATCATAATTGAGTCCCGACATGGCTACTGTCACGCACTCGGTCTCGTCTTCAATCCCATCGGGAAGCGCGTCATCTGGTACTGGCCCGTCGGCGTCGTATAGGCAGTGTACTTTCTACGCTCCAGTTTTAATTTCGCTTGGAAATAGCCTTGAGATAAATCTAGTTGCGTGAAATATGTGGAACCAGAAAGTGATATTTGTTATATTTGGTAGCGGAAATTTATCGTCCAATACACATTTATTTAATTTTCTAAAATCAATTACTAGTCGCCATTTCTTATTATTATCATCAGATTTTTTAGGAACCAATAAAACTGCTCTGGACTAATTACTCTTAGCCGATTCTATGATATCATCAGATAACATTTTTTGGACTTGTTTTTCCATCTCATTCCGCTGAGAAAACGTTAGTCTGTACTGTTTTGTTTTGTTTAACTGTATATTTTGTTCATAAATATTACAAGTTCCTAATTGGTCATCCGACAAAAAATATACGTTAGAAAATTTTGCACATAAGAAATATAATTAAAAGTAGGAGATAAAAAAAGAACAATAAAGTTAATATTGGAAAAAAGAGTGTTTGTGTATGTGCGCGCGCGTGTGTGCGTGTGCATGCCTTTTTACCCCTTTTTGAAGAACCCCATGTTGTAGTCTCTTGGGAAAACCTCGGCAGGAAGCTCATTCCATAATTTGAGTGTTCGTTTAACTGCATAAAAATTTGGTAGATGAAATTAAATTTCCCATATTTTACCACTATTAGGTACATATTTATATAGAAAGCAATTATATTAATATCCACAAATAAACACGGTTACCATCTAACGCACCTCTTATAATAGATATTTTGTAATACCTTTAACAGCTTTTCCAAACTAAATTACTCATTTTTATTGCCGTCCTAATGAGTTCCTGATAACATTGAATACGTGCAAATTTGCACGAAATTATCCAATGGTACATAATACGTCACACAATTGAGGCGCTTAATGACTGGCGGTTTAAGACATACCTGAATGCTTATTTTATGCATTGTAAAATTTCTGGTAAAATTTTAAGAATGCATTTATTAAAATTTGCATTGTTCCTTGATTGTTTCTCTGTCTACGGAATGTTAGGGATAACACTGTCAGGAAAAAACAATATGTAGGTGTAAGTTTCCTTTACTGTTTTTTTATGAAGAATATAAAAATATGTATTTGTTTACTTTGCCTATATATTTTGCCCTCGACTCTGTCTGCATGACCAGGGTAATGTTAACTGATCACAATGAAAAGTAACCCATGTTCTTCTCTATTCGAAATATGACGTGTATGTGGTAATTTTTTCTGAATTTCTAACTTATACATATTCAATCAATACCAAAAAGGAAGGCATTTATTTGGATAGTATTCGCCTCTATTTTTTTTTTTTTTGTGTTTGTTACCTCAGAATTTCGTTATTAAGAGGGTCGCTGTTTCCCATCATCCCATTGATCATTCAATTTTACCACCAACCACGGGAATGGAAGCAATGGCCAATTCTATGCCGGGACCACACGTCAATATAATATTACATTTAAATCAAATTCGTTAGGATTTTGCTGAACTAGGTGACAAAAGGTGCGTAAGTTTTCCAATCACTATGAGCGGTTAAACTATTAATGCGATAGATGGTTATTTATGTATTATTATTATTATTTATTCATTAGTACATATATGTGTACATGGCGGACTTAATACTAAAAACATTCTCTCCCAGTCAACCTTAGGGAAATGTCAGAATACTCGAATGCGGTATTAGTTATTATTGATAAACATACATACTAAAATTACATATATCAACAAATAAATATACATAAATAACAAATATAAGATATACACATATATAAGATATACTGTACTATGCACGAAAGTGAGAAAAATAACATATAGTACTTACAGTTCAATAAAGTATAAAAATGAGAATGAACGTTTTTAATAAAGACGGTTTATGTATATATTTTTATAAGTAAATTTTAAATCATCACCATCCACTGCTGTACATAGGTCTCCCCCTTGGGGGTTTTATTGATTTATTTTTATTTATATTTTATTGTATCCAAAAATTACATTATTATTAGATAGATAGATAGATTTATTTGCCAGAACATTGTTTTTACAGATATTGATTTAGTGTGAAGTACAAATGTTCGCCTTATAGTCTAAAGCATGCAACATCATTATTGGCTATGTACAAGTTACATTACAACTAATACATACATATAAGTTACTTTACATCCATTATTTATTCGATTAATAATAATAAAATTATAATAGTATGTTAAAAAATCAATCATTAACAAAATATTAGATTCAGTTCAATGTCAGTGCCAATTAATATTAAAGTACAAATTATGTCATTCTGTAAATAATTATTATATTATTTATATATCAAATAAAGATATACAGCAAATGAGCTTAACTGCGTAAGAGTTCCCATTCAGCAAACCTATTAAATTAATTATAATTATATTAGGAATATTAAGTTGTGGCCATTACTGTAGTATCATGCTCGAAGACACCATAATATTGTTTGTTATCAATTACTATGGAGGGGTAGTCCTGTGGACTGTTGTAGTCGAAACACTTGACATTGAACGAAGGGCTGTGTTAGTGCGCGTACGCCTTTTGAGCTAGTTGTGTTAAACTGTTTTACGTGAAATTGTGAATTCAATATTTCGACATGAGTGACTATTACCGATACCGAACCAGATACAGTGTAAGTACCTTATTAATATTATTATAATATTTTTTTAATATTATAAAGAGGAAAGATTTGTATTGTATGTAAATTTTTTCAAAACTGTCTCAATTTATGTAGATTACTTTTTGAATTGTTCAAATCGGTTATTTCATATTACGAATTTAATAAGTCATAGAAGTAGAAATAATAACGCTGTCGCGTTGTACATGTTATTCATACCTATTTATTAATCCTTATCCAAATAAATTATTTTGTAAACTATTTTGATCTAGAGGACATACATTTTTTTTCACAAATTCAAAAGCTTATTAAAATTTTGTATTCTGTATCAATTTTATGATTTAAACAATAATTTGAAAAAAGTTTTGTACAAATTTGGATTTTGAGACATTTTTTACATTATGAAATGCAAAGAGCTGTAGGGATGTTGACTTTTTTGATGTGTGTGTACCATATATATATATATATAAAATTTGAAATAAATATATAAAATGAAATTTGGAATAATTTTATATATTGCAGGTCGGCACATATTTCAATAGGAATAATTGAAAAATATTTATATTTCTTACACTGGGGCCCCAAAAGTAAGGGGCGTAAGGCAAATTTTAAAATTTACCTACTTGCCAATGGAGTATCGTATGAAACAGTTACATTTATATGTTTTAAAACTGATTTTTATCTATTTTGATGTTATATATATATTTTTTTTTACTTACAATTGAAAATATGTCGAAACATATAAAAAAAACGCCGAATGAAATTGCTAATTGCAGTATCGAGACATGCGAACATTGTTTACGGTTTACTAATTGTGCCAAAGAAAAAACAGATTATATCCACTTATTTATTTATGTTGGTATTGTTTTAATCCTAAAAATAATCCACTCGAGACTCGCGTGAAGTTTTTTCCAACTACTAGACAAGCGTGAGCTTAGGAAATGAAATCTGGGTTCACCACTATGAACCTGAGTCGAAGATAGAGTCGATGCAGTGGCATAAAAAAGGCACAACTCCTCCGAAGAAGTTGAAAGTGTCAGAATCGGCCGAAAAGATCATGGCGACTATCTTTTGGGATACAGAAGGTATTTTGCTGATCGATTATAAAGACCGTGGTGTGACTGGACAGATTGAAAGAAGCTATCAAGGAAAAAAGAAGAGGAAAGCTGTCAAAAGGTGTGCTCCTTTTGCACGACAATGCTCCCGTCCACACGTGCCATCTTGCGACGGCTGCCATTCACCTATAAGGGTTTGAAAAATTAGACCACCTACCTTACACTCCAGATTTGGCCCCCAGCGACTATTATTTATTCCCAAAAACGAAAAAGGAGCTGTATGGAAAAAAATTTGGCGACGATGAAGAAGTCAAGTCTGCAATTTCGACCTACTCGTATTTTAACAGCGAAGATAAACCTTTTTTTTTTCGATTGTATAAACAAATTATTTAAGAGATTCGAAAAATGTACTCGTATTAAGGTTAATTGGAGAATATATTAAAAAGGAAAAATAGTTTAATGTTTAATTTCAACCCTTTTCCGCAAACTCTTTGACCTCCCCTCGTAACATCAGATGCTGCATTATAAACTATTTATAACATAAATTAATTTCATGTTTCATTAAATAATTATTGATTTAATGATAATAATTATAATTATTATCATTAAATTGTTAATTGATGATGAAATGAAGTAGGCCGTTGTGATGCTATTTTAGTATAGAGTTAAATATTGAGTTTCAATTATTTCATGACATATTTTGTTCTCTGTATAATCTCTGTTTTCCAATAAATAAAATCAAAATCAGAGAAAATATTTATAAAGCTAAGTGGATCACCAAAGGAATAAAACGCAACGCACATGAAAGAAAACTTAGATATAATGCATATAAACAAAATGCAAGTAAAACTAAATCAACTTATCTTAAATATACAAAAATTCTAAATAAATGCATCACTTGCTTAAAAAGAAGGCATAATAGTAATAGTATTGTCAATAAGACAAGAAATAAGTGCAAGGCCACTTGAGATGTTATAAATAAAAAAGGAGAAATATAAGTGAACAAGAAATTAAATGTATTAAGGTTAAGAATAAAAAAATAAATGATCCTCAAAATATTGCAAATGCTTATTTTATGTCTTATACAAAAAAATCATGTAAAAGCTAATTGCCAGCATAAAAATATTCAAAACTTGAATTCATCAATATTATATTATAATACCTTGTACTTTTATTGGAGTCATTAAAATTATAAAATCTTTGAAAAATACTAGGTCTGTGGGTTTTGATGATATCTCAACTCACATATTAAAAAGAGTTTGCAAACGAGATTGCCACAGTGTTAACGTATATTGTGAACTTGTCTTTCACGCTAGCTATATTTCCAAATCGATTGAAACATTCAATAGTAATCCCACTACATAAAAAAGATGACAAAACCAAATTAAACGTTAAACATTACATAAAACTCAATATTGTCAAAGGTATTTGAAACATTGATGCTTATTAGACTGAATAATTTTATTAATAAATTTAATATAATTAGAAATGAACAATTTGGATTCCAAAAAAAAAAAATTGACAAAATTAGCTGTATTTTCTGTTATTCGTAAATTGACACATTATATAGACAATAAAAAGAGAGTAACAGAAATATTTTTATATAATATATATTTTTAGATAATTTAAATCATACAATATGATTAAATAAGTGCGAACGATACGGGATTAGAGGTCCTACTCTGAAATGGATATCAAGCTTCATCTCAAACAGTACTAATAAATAAATTTGACGATACAAACATAAACAAGAATTTTAAATCTAAATATCATTGTAGTCTATCGGGAGTACCACGAGGAAGTATATTGGGACCTCTGCTATTCCTTCTATATATTATATAAATGACTTGCCAGACATAACTAAACATCAATGTGTTTTATTTGCTGATGATTTATCAGTTATAATTTTTAAAAATGAAAGAATAAAATCTGATTATCAAAATAACTATAAATAACAGAATAAGAATGAATGAATGAGTATACTTTATTTGCATTATGCAATATAGGAAATAAGCAAGACAATTTATAAACACAACAATACAATAAAATACATATTTTATTTTTATTTGACGTTTCTATCATTTTTATTTATTTTATAATAGCTTTATTGATATAATGCATGACCCAAAGTGTGTTTAATAAATTGTAAGAGAACTTACTGAATTTACTGGGTACAGAGGAATAACACCTGAGTCCTCAGGAATGGCAACGCATGGGGGGTATCATGGGAAAAACAGTATACTCTGTTATGTCCATGGTACTGCTCATGTCTATAGGCGACGGTTACCACTTTCCATCAGGTGGGCCGTCAGCTTGTTTGCCATTCTAAGTTGTATAAAAAAAAAAAAAACTATGCCATTCTATTTAATTATAAAGACGTATGATATTATTTCATAAAAATTAGGTCTCTTAAATTTCCAGATACTTTTAGGTGGCGGTGTAACAATAATTAATTTGCGGTTACTATGAAAATATTTAGATTTTTTAAGACACTCGGAATTGCAAACAAATTGACGGTCCACTTGATGGTAATTTGTAAACCTTGTCCATGACCAGCCCTATGTACATCATATAACGCTCTGAATGTCATAGTTTTTTTTTTTTTTTTTTTATTGTTCGCAGATTACAAGTGTGATAAAACCGCCCACTGTGCCGTCGACGATGCCGGTTAGGCAACGCCTCGGGCCGGTAAGTATCTGATGCTTAAATATCTGATACTAAATATTGAAATCAATTACTTGCTACGGTAATTAGTGAACTATATTTTTAATTTTCTGCGATTAGACTCTGAATTTGTATTTGAACGTAGGTATAATACATATATTTTTCAGCTATTTTATGTTAACAGACTCGTCGCTATATGCAGTGGACGAATGTTTCAATATGATCTTTGTTTCAGCCTGTGAATAAGCTTAGACGCATAGCGCCAGTGAGTGGTGCACTAGCGGCCGCCCGCAGGGACCCGCGACTGGCGCGACTGCGAACCGCCGCGGCGTCCGCGCCAACCGGGCCCGCCGCGGCGCCCGTGGTGGCTCCTGTGATGCCGCTCATACCTGTAGTGCCTCAAGTGCCGATCGCGCCCAACGTATTCGACATTAAATCTCTCGAACATGTTGCTAAACGCAAAAATGGGATCACGATAGACGTTCGGCCCGACGAGGCGCCGCAGCGCCCGCGCGACCCGCGCCGTCGCGACCCGCGCCGCCGCGACCCGCGCCTCGAGAACCGCGACGACCACCCGCGGAAAGACAAAGCGCGGCCCCGCGATGATCCCCGCCCCAAGAAGGCGGACGACGCCAGCGAGCGGAAATGCGACGTGCGCCGGAACGACGTCCACAAGAAACCCCAGGAGAAGACTGATGCTACCGAGAACACGATCAGTGACTACATCGAGAAGCTGCCCGATCCCAAAAAGATCAACAACCTCCCGCCCATACCCAAAATAAATAGGGGCGAGGAGGCAGACAGGGACTCGCCGGTTCCGAATAAGAAACGGAAAGGGTTGTGCGCAGAGAGGAAACAGAAGCGGGAGGAAGCCGACGGCAAGAGCGGCTCGAGCGAGTCCTCGCCGGAGAAGAAGTCGCGGAGCAAGGAGCTCAAAAATTACCACAGAGAACGGCACATGAGAACGAACAAGGAGAAGTCTGAGAGCCAACACCGAGACCGAGCAGGATAAGACAGACACTGAAAATGATTCATCAAGTAAGATATCATTCAATATTAACAAAATGCGAGGTTAGGGCCGATAGAAAATATAAAGTTAGTCTTCGGTATTTTCTATGATCTGTGATATTAAATTATAACAGAGAGCCGGAAGTATTGAGGTTGCACTTGTGTGAAAATAAAATATTTTACAACTCTTGGAGTACTCATATTAATTTGTTTTACGTCGGCATATTATATAACCCGTTATTGCTAAGTTCCGCAAAATACAAAAAGTAGATAAGTTATTTTATAGGTTGTAGTTAACTTAAGTATCTTGGCACGGTCTAATTTGCAGTCTTATGTTGATTACAGTACTACTCTATAAGCACTTTTCCTTTGCACGGTATATTACTGATGGGCTTCTTTAATTTATATATGCTATATTATATGCCCAGGGTAGTGTATTTTTCTCTCTCTTCTCTGTGTCTCTTCCCTATCGTAATATCCGTAAATGACCGCCAAATCCATGATTATTTCTAGTATCAATTTTGTTATACAGTTGGGGGAATAGTTTGATGATTAATTTTATTATGATTTTTCCTAATCGATTCTTGTCTTGGAAATTGGAAACTGATTATATGAGTAGTATATATATATTATATATTTTGGATAAAAAGGATTTACAATCTTTTTTTAAACATAACTGTTAATTGTTATACAATTATAGGACACTATGGCTTTATAAATTGGGAGGGTAATTTTTGTGAAAATTAATTTATTTGAGGATAAAGAAAACTTGTTTAGGAACGTAGTATTTTGTACATCTTGGAAGCAGTTCTTAATGTAACGCTCCAACTGGGGAATACTATTTACTATATAAAATGCTCATTTAGTATCCAAAAATCTACATGACATGTTATAGGTAGGAAAAGTGCTTACTGTTAAAAACATTGTCAACACACATAAACTTGATAATTTTTATTACCACCTTAATTTCCATTCCACTGTATGTTACGAAGCTTTTCCTGTTTGAGTTTAGAAGTTATTAAGTATTCATGTGGTAAGAATATAGTATTCGACTTGTATCAATGACGGCTAGACGAATACCGTATTTGAAGATTTTTTAAAAACCATTCTTCGTCAAATTGTGATATCTTACGTTAATTATGTAGTATATTATTTTATCTAGGATATTATTTCAAAAACTATCGAATACTGTATGGTGACAATGAATGTCTTATTAATAAGTATAACTTACTTCAGTGATTTACATTATTAGTACATTATTATTTAATTTTTACATCGTCTGTTTTTGTATTTCTCCTTCATATTTTGCCAAAGTATGATCTTGAGCCTCTTGCATCATTCATGTGACATATTTGAAGTCATCAAACCCCTTGATGGCGCTGTATTGTAAGGGGGTGTGACTGTAACCTGGGGTTTTTTTATTTTTCATAATTAGACTGAATATGAAACGGTTGTATTTGATTTGTTGATTTCCTTGTCAGTGCAAATATATGCATATTTTTATTATTAATTTAACTACACAAATGTTTTTTCCTTTTTTACATTTGTATATACTATTCGTAGATACTAATGATCTGTTTTTCTTTATTTGTCATAATTAAGAAATAACTTGGCATATTTTTTTATGAAAACAGTAAAGTCGATTCTAAAGTGTCATTTCTCTAAATTTAAATTATTTTAATAGATTTAGTCAAAAAATTGTTATATAAATTTAGTTTGTGATAGTTCATAAAATAGTATATGTTTATAGTTTAACTGTCCACTGCGGGTAGTTGACACGCTTGGCAGGCGTCAAATCCTATGCAGGTCTAATGTAGCTGTTAAAGAACAGTTTTTGTCAATCATAACAAATTGATTATAAAACGATTTTCTTTTTATTGTATTAATATTTATCATTTTAACATCAGGTGTTGGAAAGAAGAGACGTCGTACTCTCAGTTCCGAAGATATAGATTTGAGAACCGATAACACAGATGACTCCGACACAGAGGACCATAAAAAAACAATATCCGGTAATAACATGCGCCAAGCTAAAGAACAGTCAAGTAATGGCCAATTGGACAAAAGTCCGTATAATGCTTTAATGCGCCAATTACTGCAGCTGAACGAGAAACTCGAATTAAAAGAAGCAAAACAGCTGGAGTCATTAGAAGTGTCCGAAAGGAAACTCAAGTCGCATACGATTGATGAGAATACGCATACGATTGATGAAGATATTGATGAGAGTACCCCTGTCTTCATAGATACCCCATCAGATAGTTCAAATTCGGAGAATGATAAAGAATATAATATAATTATGAGAACGAATACAAACTCCATGGATGGATGCGATGGTCCCCCGCCTACTGATGTACAGCCAATGCCTCCGGCGATGCCGATGTTCCCACCATTCACGCCCATGTGGAGAGGGCAGCCCAGACCGAGAGTCAAAGTGTACGGACCGCGAAGATTCCGTGATCCAGCACAACAGTTCTTTAGAGGAAAATTCGACAAGAGAGCGATGAGACCACCGTTCGACCCGCGGCTACCGTTGCCCTTACCGACGCCTACACCTGGCATGTGCCAGGGAGAGAGCCCTCTCCAGCCGTACGAAAGGACCGTGTCCCCACCTCCTCTCGGCGCGCCAGGAATTGCCATCCCACCTACAGATTTTAGAATTTTAGAGTACATAGATCGAGATCCTGTTAAAACGATCCAAATCGATGGAGTGCCGAAGGAGATTAGATTTTACGGAGAAACAGCTGTCATCATGATGGACTGGGATGATCCAAGAGAGATCAAATTCTTGCCCGGCTGCAGAAGAGTTAGATTCGATAATAAGGATTCCGTAGTATTATCTTTCAATGAAGGCTACAAACAAGTGGAGATCGACGGTCAAGTGTTTAACATTCGGTTTGGGGCGCCGACGAGGGAGCTTTATATAAATGGCAGATGGTACGAATGCATTTTTGGTGGTCAGCCTATCGGCACGATCATCGATGGGAGACCTAGATTAGTGCAATTAGAAGGGCCGCCTCCCCAAGTTGATATCGGAAAGACTAAACGCACAGATCTAGTTGCTGGCAAAATCAATGTCATCGTGAACGCCACACAGAGGTGTCCCGTCTACCTCGATGCTAAAGTACAAAAGTTCTTCATCAATAGACACGTGCTCACGATACGCTTCGTGGATTCGTTGAGAACTGTTCTAATAAACGAGCAACCGTTTAAACTGGAGTTTGACGGTTTACCTAAACCGATATCGATAGGCAATGAAAAGTTTTTCATTAGATTTTCGGCACTCCCTAGTCACATAAAGGCTGGTCACATAGAAATAGCAAATATGGAAGGCACGAGAATGGAACCGGTCATGCAGCCGACACTCGGCTTTAACAGTGACAGTAATACACAAGGTAGGTTTTTTTTTTAATTATTTTAGAATTGTCATTACTGTAGATTGCTTTTTGAAATGATGTGTATTCAACATGGATGATGAATCATTGAAATGATGATGAAATGCATTGTTTATTAATTTAATAAAAGTAAGTACATTTTCAGGTGTAGCCATGTTAGCGAGTGCCACGCCTTCAACAATGGCACCCGCGTCTGCTTCAGAGTACAGTTCAGCTGAGCCGATGTTTCCAATCCTGGCCAACATAAATGTGAATGATTTGTTTGCTAAACTGGTTGCCAGTGGCATAGTGCAGGTCAACAACGAATTAAAAACTGAACCCAAGGAAGAGGTGAAAGAAGAGGCCAAACCGAAGGCAAAAGAGGATAAGAATGTCATCCATAAAGTTGATTTGCTGAGAAGTGAAACTTTGAAAGTGTAAGTAACATTTTATATAATCAACTTTCTCGTTTTCCATAATGTAAAGTATCCTAGATTTAGGGCCTGGCAATTGGTGTTATCAGTTAATTTAAAAATTTTCGCGTTGTTTACATATATTTTAAATATGCAATCGGGATTTAACGCGATAAAAAACCTTTGCAGGTAAATAGTACATCTGCTTTTTTATTACAGATATTGTATTACGTGTATTGCACCACGACTGCTTTAAGTCCCGATTATGTATTTAAAATTGGTGTGTTTATATAGCATTTAATATTAGTTTGTACTTTATATCTCTATCTTACTGTCGTTAATAATCGTTAGCTGAATTAAAATCAGAAAATTTTACAAATTTTCTATAAAATATTAAACCCATTAGTTCTTTTGTCCGTAAATAGGGAAAGTAGATAAAATTTTGAAAAATCTTTTCAGGGTACAATAATATAATAGGGTAATAGGACTTATAAAACTGTTCTTTTGCAGTTTTGCCGGCGTATATTAAATTTTAAAATATAAAATTTTATTTAACTATATACAGTGAACTCTCTATATTAGCGACTCATTTGAACTACTTTCAATAAAAAAATCTTATTGAGAAAATTTGCTTATAGGGGAAAAAAGAGTATAAAAAATACTTACCGTCTGGAAAATATTTTTCCTTACTTATTTTACTAACTAAGCTGAGTAGAATAAATAAAATTTAAAGAAATTGCTTATTGAGAGGTTGCTTATACCATATAGAGCGTTCACTGCACTAAATTTGAATGAAATCCATCGAGTCATTTAAGTGTGATCGCACGCATCTACGGTTAGCGTGGTCGCAATCTGTTGTGTTCATAATATGATGAGGTTAATGTGTTAATGTGCGTGGGCACGTGCAGGAAGCAGGAGGCGCTGGTGGCACGGCTGTACGGCGGCATGCAGTGCTCGGGCTGCGACGTGCGCTTCCCGCCCGAGCACACGGTGCGCTACTCGCAGCACCTCGACTGGCACTTCCGCCAGAACCGCCGCGACCGCGACTCGGTCCGCCGCGCGCATTCGCGCCCCTGGTACTACGACCACTCCGACTGGCTGCACTATGAGGAGATCGAGGACCTCGAGAACAGAGGTGAGAGGACGCCTCCGGTCTCTCTTCACGCATGGCTTTACTCTTCGTCTTCCACGCTACTGTACCCTTTGCTACTTGTTTACACTTTATACAAGTTTGTTGGCAAATGTCATGCAACCAATTTTTAGACTATTACTTATAATATGCTCATAGTCTATTACTTACTTGATTTTTTTTATATCACCGAGGTGGTAAACGAGCACTTTCCAGTTCGATCTGGAGCAATTACTATGGATGCTTGGTAACAGCAGGGGTATAGCAAACGCTTTGTCCGTCCTGAATTAAGCCTGTCTTTATGGAAAATATTTGCAGGGATTTTGTACCACAGAATATATTAGTACATCTCAGAATATACTGACGTTCATGGTATATGCATTGCCACATCTATAGTAATATTGTTTTATAATTTAGAAAAAAACTGGTTCGAGACTGTTGGGGCGGCGGGCAAGGGTATGGCGGAGGCGGCGGCCGAGGCGCCCAGCGTGGCGGCCGGCGCGCTGATTAACCAGCACTGCGCCGTCTGCGGCGACCGCTTCCAGCAGTTCTACAACGAGGACAAGGAGGAATGGCATCTGAGGAACTCGCTGCGCCACGACGACGACTTTTACCACCCGCAGTGCTTCGACGACTACAAGGTTGGCCTCTCAAACCAATACCTGATCTGATCATGTCTAATAGTACCTAATATAAATAAAAAATCAATTAAATAATATTTTTTATGTCGAATGTTTCTATTATTTGCGATTTTAAAATAGCATAACTATGAGTTTATTTAAATTGGGATAACAATTCAATTCAATTCAATTCAATTCAATTTATTTATTCGCTACAATACTACATTTTATTGAATATTTTTTATAAGTAACAAGAAGGTGTCATAAAATATAACAAAACAAAAAAAAAATATAAAGCAACAAAATAACCAATAATAATTGTAAAATATAACATTACAATTAATTTACAAATATCATTAATAACGCATAAAATATTAAAAGAGTATTTTAAAATTCATCAATTGAGTAGATGCATCTTTCCAACAAAAGAGTATAAAGTTTCATTTTCAAAATTCTCCAATCTTTAAAAGTTTTTAATGCATTGGATAATTTATTATGCAATTTAACCGCTTAAAATTTTGCGCTATGTTTTACGCCATGTACTGGATATCATATGCAACATCTTTTCGTCTAGAAATCATGCGTATATTTCTCTCTTCTCTAGTTTCTTTTGGCAGACGATAGACATCAATCAGGATACTTAAAAAGTATTTATCTACTAAACAATCATACGCATACTTGTTATTTGTCATTATCTTTGGCCATTATTAATGAGGATGTCTTTACATATATATGATTTTGTGTACAGGCATCGTTAACCAAAGAGAAGCCACTCCGAGAGTCGTCCATCGAGATCGAGGACGTGGACGACGTAATGTCGCAGTCGGACAACGAGTCTGTTGTGGAGGTCGTTAAAACTGACGACAGGAACACTCAACCCGTAGAGGTGAGTTTATAATTAACATAAATATGATTCCATAGATACAACAGAGTAGGTGAAAGTGGTTACCCTTCGTACACATTTTAGATTTTATTATTTTACTTTATGATTAATTGTCAAATTGATCTAGTTTATGTACCTAAGTGTAACAAATATATTGCAGATTGTTATAAAAAAGTTACCATAACATAACAATTATCTTTGGTTTTCCCTGGTGTCTCATCACTTTCTATTTTCTTCGCTTTCTTTTTCTTTTGTTTTAAATTAATTTCCTTCAAACTACGTTTTACTACTTTGGCTCTGGTTTTCCTTTCCGGTTCTATTTTTTTTTCAATTCTTTCTATGTCTCTCTTGCAGTTCAGTTTTTTCAGGTGTATCTGTATACATACGAGATTACTCTTCTTCCAAGGAGAAGAATATAATAAGACTCGTAAATTTTGAATGAAAAGTTCGTGAGGGTTCATAGGCGTTAGAGTCTCTTGATTTTATTTTCTTGACTCTGCTTTTCAACATCAGCAACGATCTAACGCCTGAAAAAAAGGGGTATGTCTCCATACCCTGTAACTTTAGCAAGGGTAGATCCCTAATATTGCGTACGGCAAAAAATTCACCTTGTACATTTATTGTGTTCAGATCGTGGAGGATAATGATGAGACGGTGGCTATGCCCCAGCCGATGGAGGACGACGGCGACGAGGATGACGTAGTGTTTGAGGCCCAGTCGGTGGAGCAAGTGGACGTGGAGGACGACGCCGACACCGACGACGAGACGGTCGAGCAGCGCCGTCAGCGGGACGTACTCGCCGCCATCGACATGGCCAACGTACGCGTCAAGATTGAACCTATCGACCCTGGTCAGTTGCTATTGCTTTACTATACAGCTCTCACACTTATTGTAACGTAGCTACGTCACCTTGCTATTGTTGCGGTTTCGATTCGCGTGCAATACAAACACTTATTCTGAATTGATGTTGAATCATGAAAAGAAAGAAAACTATTGGTCATAATAAATGAACTAAAACATACTTCAGTCCATGTAGCATACTACATATGATGTTATTTAAACTAAATAGCTAATGTGACAAGAAGTTAATTTTTACACACGCAAACCTGTCTTGTTTCATCCAGTTTCATAAATTATCATTGCAAGAGATTTCCATCAACATTACCCAAGTGATGATATATAGTCCTCTAATTTTAAACCTCTTCCACAGACGATGAGCCAATAATAACAGCAGAGGAGACCATCCCCACCGCAGTCGATACCACACACGTAACAGTGCTGTCCTCTATCGACGGGAACGTGCAACTCGAGGCGATTCCCGCGCCAGTCACCTCGCGCAGCATACGTATAAATATATCTAAGTCGATACCCTCTTTTGTGAGTAATGTACAGGAAAATAAAATGCTCGAAGAGATAAACATGGATGATGAGCCTCTGCCTCCTGGCGAAGAACCACAGTTGTCGTACAAGCTGAAACCGACGCTGGAAAATGTACAATTCAGTAGGCAACCACCCGCGAATAAAGGCAATGAACTGTCCGGACTCTGTTCTATTATGTGAATATGTTGTGATAAACAAGTTTTATTAGCAGTGTGAAATGAACGATTCCCTGGTTATGAAGTGTTCGTGAAACTTTTTCGTTCGTGATTTTGATAATTTTTCTGCATTTGAATAGAGTTCACTCCTGTGTTGGTCCTATATAATTATTAGTGATTTGCTCAACGACTAAAGTAGCCATGTTTCAGAATAAAATGAAAGTTGTAAAATTAAAAACATCAATTTGTTTATAAAAAATCTCCATTGGCGTTATTTTTAATAGAAAAATTATACTCGTATTGAAACGGTCAATTGTGTAAGCAGCTCTATAGATGAGGTGTGATGGTCTTTAGGCAAGTTATTGACTAAATTGCATAATAAATATATAGGATATACTAAGATTCAATCGTTTGCATCGCATGGTCGTCTCACATATAATTCGCCCTACGATCAGTCCGAGGTGATTAGATGAACTAGGTTTCAACATTTAACAAGTTGCTAACTGCAACTTTGTAACAGCAAACTTTGCACAATGATTTCGAAAATATATATATAATTAGTAACAGTCATACTACTTGAACTGGATCTTATAGAGCACAAGTCTTGCAAATAAAAATTTTACAAAAATGTACTTATCATCCTCTAAATTTAACTTACTATTCAATTATTACTTGCTTTCCTTTAGAGGTTCCTTCTATTTCTTTGTACTTCACATCGACTTGTTTAGTTTAAGAATAAGTATCTCAAATTTGTGTTTAGTTCTATGTTGTGTAAATAAATGTTTATATTATAAAATGAATTTGTTTTTTTTTCAATCAAAGCTACTAAAAGCCTACATATACGAGTAAATAGTAATCCCTCCTATAACACGGTAGATTCGTTCAGGAGTATTCTCGTATAAGGTGCTTGTACAAGTCCGTATAACGCGCTTGTATGATCTCATATAATGCGTTTATACGACCTCGTATAATGAGCTTATACGACCCCATATAACGCGCTTGTACGACCCCATATAACGCGTTATGTACAAATGATTCACGTTTAACTTTTCTCTTTAAAAGAGATTAAAATTGAATATTAATAAAAATAAACTATTATTAACGAAATATTTATTTATTTATTCATTAGTACAAATATGTGTACATGGCGGACTTAATGCTAAAAGCATTCTCTCCCAGTCAACCATAGGGATGTGTCAGAATACTCGAATGCGGTACTACTAATTATTGATATACATACATACTAAAATTACATATATAAACGAATAAATATATATGAATATCAAATATACTTACACATATATGATATATACTATATTATACACGAATTTGGGAATAATATAAAGCACTTACTGCTCGGTATATATCGGTAAATATGTATGTTTAATTAAAATCAAACTAAGAACATTTTAAATAAAAAAGTTTTGCATATGTAACTAAAAACGGTTAATTTGAAATAAATTTATTTATTTATTTTTATTTATTGATTCTTTATTACACAATAAAACTTTTTACAAGTGGCGAACTTAATGCCATATGGTATTCTCTACCAGCTAACCATTAGGTAAAAACAGAAAGCGTATAAAGGGCAGATGTGGTGAAAAATATGTGACACAATTATAGCAACATACTGAAATAATTATACATAATAATACATAAGAAATACACATATAACACATAAGTACTACTTATATGATTATATATTGATTGATATGTTGAAAGCCGATAAATATTTTTTCGAATTTAAACAATTATTACAAGGATTTAACTTAAAGTTAGCAATCAACGATCCAACGCGTCTATGTAGTGGTACATGTAATGATAATTTTGAACATAATATTAAAGATTGTAAAACTCGAATACTTGAATTGGCTCTCTCAGACCACACAGCGCAATTATTGATGTGTCCGGTCTCAGAGAAGTTTGGTAACCCATACTGGTATATAATGAAGCGTGATTATAGTAAAGAAAATATAGAAAAATTTAAGCACTGTCTAATGGCCATCTATTTCAAGGACGTATATAATACCGCCTTTTGTACTACATTATACGTATTGAAAATTGTTCAACAAATCCTATTATGTTGGTGCAATAAAGTGTTAAATAAATAAAAATAAAATAATAAATAATACTAACAATCCAAATACTGCATTTAATAGTTTTTTTGATGAATAAGTTATTTTATGACATGTGTTTCCCATTGATGAGAATCAGAATGCGTTCTTATCAACGACCTAAATGGATTACCAGAGGTATTATAAAATGCTCTAGATAGAAAAGAAAACTGCTTTGGAAATACAGAAAAGATCCAAATCCTCTCAATAAAAAGTGCTTCAAAACATATTCAATTAAACTAAAAAATATAATGAAATTAACAAAAAAAGCACAAAACAATTACTTTATTAAGACATCTAAAAACAAAACAAAGACCACCTGGACAATAATTAATGAATTTAAAAATAAAACTAAGAATTATATAACACAAATTAACAACGATCACAAAAAATAACCGATCCTAATAGAATAGCTGAATTATTTAATAATTTTTTTATTGAGCAAGTTAAATCGCATAATAATTTCAAAGCAAGAAATATGACATCGAATAATGTAAGTTCCTTATTCATAAGACCTACAAATCCAGATGAAATTTTGACAATAATAAGATCTTTAAAAGACACTAATAGCACTGGTTACGATGATATTTCAACAAAAATTGTAAAAGAAGTAGCTACTCAGATAGCACCAATTTTGAGCTATATTATAAACCTATGTATTGAAAATGGAACTTTTCCCGATAAATTAAAAATAAGTATTATAAAACCTCTATATAAAAAAGCAGATCGCAAATGTATGTCATCGTATAGGCCAGTAGCACTTATACCTATATTTTCTAAAGTAATTGAAAAGGTAATTTATAAAGATCTTTATAATTTTCTTGAAAAATATAATTTATTGGTAGAGGAACAAACTGGATTTAGAAAGAATAAAAATATAAATTTGGCTATATATAAATGTTTGAAAAAAATTATAGAACCACGTTGATAATAGGAAACCCGTCTGTGCTTCATATATGGACCTCTCAAAAGCATTTGACCATGTAGATCATGCGACCTTAATTGAGAAATTACACACATATGGTATCAGAGGGATTTCATTAGATTTCATTAAGTCATACCTAAGTGGTAGAACGCAAGCAACGCAAATCGACAGAATATGTCCAAAATCAAAAGTTGAAATCAATTTTATATCAGACTTCAAAGAAGTAAAATATGGCGTACCGCAAGGGAGTATTTTGGGTCCATTATTGTTTCAGATATATATAAATGATATCCCAAATATAACTACTAACCCTATGATATTATTTGCAGATGATAGTACCGTAATATGTAGTGATGACAAATCGAATGAACTTGAAATAAATATTAACAATACAATAAAAATATTAAAAGACCGGCTAAAGGAAAATAATTTAAGGATAAACTTAGATAAAACACATTTTATGAATTTTAGTAATCGACAAAATAATTTGACATCTTTTAATATTGATTTTAATGGAAAAAAAATAAATAAAGTGAAAATTACGAAATTTTTGGGATTAACGATTGATAATAATCTGATATGGAAACATCATATAGAAAATATTAATAGCAAAATAAACCAATTTTCATACGCATTACGCATGTTGTCTAAGATTGTTAATCAGACGAATTATGTTGAATTCTTACTAAAGTATGGTGTCATATTTTGGGGCAATTCGACCGTAATATCCCGTAATACCGATAAAATTCGCATTCAGCCTCACGTCACAGCATTATTTGATAAAAGTTTTTTCGGTATGGTCTCTAAAATATATAATAAATTCCCGAAAGCATTTAAGGAAATAGACAGTTTAAATGTATTTAAGAAAGAAGCAAAAGAATGTTTGACAGCCAAATGTTACTATACGTTGCATGACTATTACATTGATAAATATTAGACATACAATTTAATTATTTTTATGGACATTTTTAACATTTTATTATTATTTACTTCATTCTCGGCTAATTTGCCGGTTTTCTCAGACAACCCGTCCCAAAAACCTTTGGAAAAAAGAAAGCTGAGATCCCAACCCCTTTTATTACGTGTGTGTATGCAAATATGCATATATATTATTCATATGCTTCATGATATTGTTTTTATTGTTATAAGTTATTATTACTTTAAATGGACATGTAATTATTATTTTCATCTAATATATGTACCCATATTAGTGCAATAAATGATTTGAATTTGAAAAAAATTTAATTTATTATATTAATAATAAATAGTTATATTTATATATATGAATACACACATACATAAAAACTATAATAAACATTATTAAATATAGTAACTATAGTAGTAGTATGTAGCACCACATCCACCTTGTTGGCTGCTACATGTGCCTTCAATGCAGGGATGCCCTTCGGTGGGCCTGTATCTTCACCTTGTGGACCTTGGTTTGCCATTTTCTAATCATAATATAAAAGATATTTACATTATTTTCATATTTTAATAATATTATAGTCAATTGCCAAGTGCCTTTAAATAATTAAAAATGTTTAACAAAACCTTATTGAACAATGGCCCATTAAAGTTAATGGAAGAAATTACTAGAAGTAACTATTATAACAAAAACTGCTATCAATAAATCCATAAATTTATTTGTTACAGATACAATATATGAAACATTGCATAAGGATTTCTTATATAAAATAAGATATTTTTTTTTTAATATTATTGCACAAAATCGAATTTCAGTTACAAAATTGGTATAGCATCATAAATGTTTTTATTTAACATACATACATACATACATATCTGTCACGCATGTCTCCCATTAAGGTAGGCAGAAACAGTGAAACTTTATTTTTTTTTTATTTAATATTGTGTGTTATTTAATATTATAAATACAGATTGGGGTTGTTAAAATAAAAGCTTTTTTTTATACGACTTAGAATGGCAAACAATCTGACGGCTCACCTGATGGAAAGTGGTAACCGTCGCCTATAGACATGAGCAGTACCATGGACATAACAGTACACACACATACTGTTTCGCCTGTGATACCCCCCATGCATTGCCATTCCTGAGGACTCAGGTGTTATTCCTCTGTACCCTGTAAATTCACGCCATATCCCACTCGTGAAACCGAAACACAGTCATGCAAACACAACTGCTTTACGGTTGAAACACAAATTGGATAGAGGTACCCAAGCAACCGACTTTTGTACAAAGTCTCTCTCTGGTACCGCACAGTTCAAATATAATATATAATTTAAAGAAATTTCTTTCACAAAGCGACACAACGGATATTCATCATTCGCAGTATATTTTGGCTCAAAAACATATTTGACAGTATCTGGACAGTTGCATTTAGAAGCTATCTGTAGGGGAATGGGCAATGTTTACACTCTAGGACCCACATTCAGAGCTGAGAATGCAAGATCGAGACTACATTTATCAGAGTTTTACATGCTAGAAGCTGAGTTGGCTTTTTGTTACAGCTTACAGCAATTACAAAATCACATAGAAGAATTATTAAAGTATATCTTCATTGAAACGAGACATACAAATGAAGTTGATTTATCTCTGATTGATAAGGAGAACAGTAAACCACCAGCATGGTTGTAAAAAAAGTTTGCCACTCTCACATATGATGAAGCTCAAGATATTTTAAAGAAAAAAAAAGGATATTTTAAAGAAAAAATACAGAAAATGGAATAAATAAAGAACAAGAATTGGCGCTCATATACTACTGCAATGGTGCACCTGTTTTTATTGTAAGATGGTCTAAAGATCTTAAAAGTTTTTATATGAAGGAATGCCAGAATGATAATACCAAGGTAAAAATGTAGTGTGATGATGATGTAACTATCTCTTTATTTATCCCTTCTATAGCCCAAGAAAAATGCCTGATTACTCTATTCTTTCTTTTTTCGACTGCCTGAATAAAATGCAACGATAGAGCTGTAATGTATTCTATGACTTACTCTTTATCATGTTCATTTCTACAATAAAATTATTTTTCCAGGTCGATTATATTTACTCGCACCAATAACAGGCGAAATAGTTGGAGGCAGTCTCAGAGAGGATGATTATGACAGATTGAAATCAAAACTACCATCAGACAAACTAAATTGGTATTTAGAGCTTAGGAAGTTTGGTAACATCCCCACTGGTGGTTAAGGACTTGGTTTGGAGAGGCTATTAGAGACTATGTGTGGTATCACTAACATTAAAGATACACTACCAAGGAGATACCAAACCCTGTAATGTAACTAACTACCTTTGTATAAAGAAATAAATTTATTTATTATTATTATTTATTACTACCTTTTCCAAGATGGCCCCATAATTGTAGTATGTAGTACTCTGTGTAAATAATAAGGAAACCCTGTTTTCTTTATAAACAAAATGTAGATTTTAATATTGCTGATATTCTATGAATATCGCATGTGATAATTTATCAATGTATAAATACTGTTGTATAAATTAAATATTTTATTCTAATTCAAACATCATCCGTCAAATGGATGGATGTAGATATGTGCATTGTATTGTGAAAACATCAATTGTTACAAATTGTCTTAAAATATCTCAAATAGTCCATTTAGAATAGTTATTAGAAAACCAGATCAATTAAAAAATATTTAATTGACTCTACCAAATTGAACCCAGGAACTTGTACAAATTAATGTAAGCTGTCACCATATAATATAATGCCTATCACTGAGCCATGAAAGAGGAATACAAAATCTTTTTTTGCATTTAAAAATAAATACTAGATAACATTTAGTAATTAAATTTACTTATATATATGGTACAATATAAGTTACAGACCAAAAATTATTTTTTTACAGTGAATTGCTTATATAGAAAATTATTTGTAATCAAACTTAGATTAAGTTAAAATTATTTATTAATAAATTCTTGAAAATAAGTCTTTCTTTCATTTTCCATAATATTAAACTATAATTACAGTAATCTTCCCTATAACACGATACTCTTATAGCACGTTTTCATATTACGCGATTTCAATCCCTCGTATAATACGGATATTCCCCCATATAACGCGACGATTGAACATTGCCTTAATTTTCTATATGATGTTTCCATATCAATCCGAAAAACAGAAGGAACCTTGTAATTTTCACTTTTTTTTCCATTAAAATCAATATTAAAAGATGGAACGTTATTTTAATTTTTTTTATGCAAATTAGAATATATAACGAACTGACGGCCTTGATGGAAAGTTAATGTTGTGTGTAAATTAAGGTCGCATGATCTACATCGCCTATAGACAGACGAGCAGTACCATGGACATAATATAGTTTATACTTTTTTCGTCCATGATCCCCCAAGAAAATTATAAAGATCTTTATAAATTACCTTTTCAATTACTTTAGAAAATATGTATTGCCATACGATGAGGGCTCAGATGTCATTCCTTTTCTGTACCAAAATTGGTGCTGTAAATTCACTGCCATATCTCGCCCTTCAAACCGAAACAGTCACAATAACACAACTACTAAAAAAATTATTAAATAATTCAGCTATTCTATTAGGATCACGGTAATAATTTTTAGTTTTATTTTTAAATTCATTAATTATTGTCCATGGCCTTTGTTTTGTTTTTAACACATTAATAAAGTAATTGTTTTGTGCTTTTTTTGTTAATTTCAAAGCACTTTTTATTGAGAGGAACTTTTCTGTACCAGTCTCCCCTCTGGTAGATAGTTCCGACATCGAATAAATATGTAATAAAACTGTAAATTTATTTGAACAATTTTCAATACGTTTAGTACAAAAGGCGGTATTATATACAAATAGATGCATAATTTTTTTTCTATTTAAAATCACGTTCTTATATACCAGTATGATTTTAATTAAAGAGAGCACACAAGTATTCGAGTTTTACAATCTTTAATATTATGTTCAAAATTATCATTACATGTTACATAGACGCGTTGGATCGTTTTTGCTAACTTTAAGTTAAATCCTTGTAATAATTGTTTAAATTCGAAAAAATATTTATCGGCTTTCAACATATCAATCAATATATAATCATATAAGTAGTATTTATGTGTTATATGTGTATTTCTTATGTATTATTATGTATAATTATTTCAGTATGCTGCTATAATTGTGTCACATATTTTTCACCACATCTGCCCTTTATACGCTTTCTGTTTTTAAGAATACCATATGACATTAAGTTCGCCACTTGTAAAAAGTTTTATTGTGTAATAAAGAATCAATAAATAAAAATAAATAAATAAATTTATTTCAAATTAACCGTTTTTAGTTACATATGCAAAACTTTTTTATTTAAAATGTTCTTAGTTTGATTTTAATTAAACATTATTTATATATACCGAGCAGTAAGTGCTTTATATTATTCCCAAATTCGTGTATAATATAGTATATATCATATATGTGTATAGTATATTTGATATTCATATATATTTATTCGTTTATATATGTAATTTTAGTATGTATGTATATCAATAATTAGTAGTACCGCATTCGAGTATTCTGACACATCCCTATGGTTGACTGGGAGAGGATGCTTTTAGCATTAAGTCCGCCATGTACACATATTTGTACTAATGAATAAATAAATAAATATTTCGTTAATAATAGTTTATTTTTATTAATATTCAATTTTAATCTCTTTTAAAGAAAAAGAAACGTCATTTGTACATAACGCGTTATATGGAGGGATATACTATAAACGCATTATATGAGATCATACAAGCGCGTTATACGAACTATACTCCTGAACGAATAGGGGGATTTTTATGTAGGATTTTAGTAGTTTTGAATGAAAAAAAAATTCATTTTACAATATAAACATTTATTTACACAACATAGAACTAAACACAAATTTGAGATACTTATTCTTAAACTAAACAAGGTGATGTGAAGTACAAAGAAATAGAAGGAACCTCTAAAGGAAAGCAAGTAATAATTGAATAGTAAGTTAAATTCAGAGGATGATAAGTACATTTTTGTAAAATTTTTATTTGCAAGACTTGTGCTCTATAAGATCCAGTTCAAGTAGTATGACTGTTACTAATTATATATATATTTTCGAAATCATTGTGCAAAGTTATGTTATAGTTAGCAACTTGTTAAATGTTGAAACCTTTCATCTAATCACCTATATATTTATATGTGAGACGACCATGCGATGCAAACGATTGAATCTTAGTATATCCTATATATTTATTATGCAATTTAGTCAATAACTTGCCTAAAGACCATCACACCTCATCTATAGAGCTGCTTACACAATTGACCGTTTCAATACGAGTATAATTTTTCTATTAAAAATAACGCCAATGGAGATTTTTTATAAACAAATTGATGTTTTTAATTTTACAACTTTCATTTTATTCTGAAACATGGCTACTTTAGTCGTTGAGCAAATCACTAATAATTATATAGGACCAACACAGGAGTGAACTCTATTCAAATGCAGAAGAATTATCAAAATCACGAACGAAAAAGTTTCACGAACACTTCATAACCAGGGAATCGTTCATTTCACACTGCTAATAAAACTTGTTTATCACAACATATTCACATAATAGAACAGAGTCCGGACAGTTCATTGCCTTTATTCGCGGGTGGTTGCCTACTGAATTGTACATCTTCCAGCGTCGGTTTCAGCTTGTACGACAACTGTGGTTCTTCGCCAGGAGGCAGAGGCTCATCATCCATGTTTATCTCTTCGAGCATTTTATTTTCCTGTACATTACTCACAAAAGAGGGTATCGACTTAGATATATTTATACGTATGCTGCGCGAGGTGACTGGCGCGGGAATCGCCTCGAGTTGCACGTTCCCGTCGATAGAGGACAGCACTGTTACGTGTGTGGTATCGACTGCGGTGGGGATGGTCTCCTCTGCTGTTATTATTGGCTCATCGTCTGTGGAAGAGGTTTAAAATTAGAGGACTATATATCATCACTTGGGTAATGTTGATGGAAATCTCTTGCAATGATAATTTATGAAACTGGATGAAACAAGACAGGTTTGCGTGTGTAAAAATTAACTTCTTGTCACATTAGCTATTTAGTTTAAATAACATCATATGTAGTATGCTACATGGACTGAAGTATGTTTTAGTTCATTTATTATGACCAATAGTTTTCTTTCTTTTCATGATTCAACATCAATTCAGAATAAGTGTTTGTATTGCACGCGAATCGAAACCGCAACAATAGCAAGGTGACGTAGCTACGTTACAATAAGTGTGAGAGCTGTATAGTAAAGCAATAGCAACTGACCAGGGTCGATAGGTTCAATCTTGACGCGTACGTTGGCCATGTCGATGGCGGCGAGTACGTCCCGCTGACGGCGCTGCTCGACCGTCTCGTCGTCGGTGTCGGCGTCGTCCTCCACGTCCACTTGCTCCACCGACTGGGCCTCGAACACTACGTCGTCCTCGTCGCCGTCGTCCTCCATCGGCTGGGGCATAGCCACCGTCTCATCATTATCCTCCACGATCTGAACACAATAAATGTACAAGGTGAATTTTTTTGCCGTACGCAATATTAGGGATCTACCCTTGCTAAAGTTACAGGGTATGGAGACATACCCCTTTTTTTCAGGCGTTAGATCGTTGCTGATGTTGAAAAGCAGAGTCAAGAAAATAAAATCAAGAGACTCTAACGCCTATGAACCCTCACGAACTTTTCATTCAAAATTTACGAGTCTTATTATATTCTTCTCCTTGGAAGAAGAGTAATCTCGTATGTATACAGATACACCTGAAAAAACTGAACTGCAAGAGAGACATAGAAAGAATTGAAAAAAAAAAATAGAACCGGAAAGGAAAACCAGAGCCAAAGTAGTAAAACGTAGTTTGAAGGAAATTAATTTAAAACAAAAGAAAAAGAAAGCGAAGAAAATAGAAAGTGATGAGACACCAGGGAAAACCAAAGATAATTGTTATGTTATGGTAACTTTTTTATAACAATCTGCAATATATTTGTTACACTTAGGTACATAAACTAGATCAATTTGACAATTAATCATAAAGTAAAATAATAAAATCTAAAATGTGTACGAAGGGTAACCACTTTCACCTACTCTGTTGTATCTATGGAATCATATTTATGTTAATTATAAACTCACCTCTACGGGTTGAGTGTTCCTGTCGTCAGTTTTAACGACCTCCACAACAGACTCGTTGTCCGACTGCGACATTACGTCGTCCACGTCCTCGATCTCGATGGACGACTCTCGGAGTGGCTTCTCTTTGGTTAACGATGCCTGTACACAAAATCATATATATGTAAAGACATCCTCATTAATAATGGCCAAAGATAATGACAAATAACAAGTATGCGTATGATTGTTTAGTAGATAAATACTTTTTAAGTATCCTGATTGATGTCTATCGTCTGCCAAAAGAAACTAGAGAAGAGAGAAATATACGCATGATTTCTAGACGAAAAGATGTTGCATATGATATCCAGTACATGGCGTAAAACATGGCGCAAAATTTCAAGCGGTTAAATTGCATAATAAATTATCCAATGCATTAAAAACTTTTGAAGATTGGAGAATTTTGAAAATGAAACTTTATACTCTTTTGTTGGAAAGATGCATCTACTCAATTGATGAATTTTAAAATACTCTTTTAATAATTTATGCGTTATTAATGATATTTGCAAATTAATTGTAATGTTATATTTTACAATTATTATTGGTTATTTTGTTGCTTTATATTTTTTTTTTGTTTTGTTATATTTTATGATACCTTCTTGTTACTTATAAAAAATATTCAATAAAATGTAGTATTGTAGCGAATAAATTGAATTGAATTGAATTGAATTGTTATCCCAATTTAAATAAACTCATAGTTATGCTATTTTAAAATCGCAAATAATAGAAACATTCGACATAAAAAATATTATTTAATTGATTTTTTATTTATATTAGGTACTATTAGACATGATCAGATCAGGTATTGGTTTGAGAGGCCAACCTTGTAGTCGTCGAAGCACTGCGGGTGGTAAAAGTCGTCGTCGTGGCGCAGCGAGTTCCTCAGATGCCATTCCTCCTTGTCCTCGTTGTAGAACTGCTGGAAGCGGTCGCCGCAGACGGCGCAGTGCTGGTTAATCAGCGCGCCGGCCGCCACGCTGGGCGCCTCGGCCGCCGCCTCCGCCACACCCTTGCCCGCCGCCCCAACAGTCTCGAACCAGTTTTTTTCTAAATTATAAAACAATATTACTATAGATGTGGCAATGCATATGTAGTACCATGAACGTCAGTATATTCTGAGATGTACTAATATATTCTGTGGTACAAAATCCCTGCAAATATTTTCCATAAAGACAGGCTTAATTCAGGACGGACAAAGCGTTTGCTATCCCTGCTGTTACCAAGCATCCATAGTAATTGCTCCAGATCGAACTGGAAAGTGCTCGTTTACCACCTCGGTGATATAAAAAAAATCAAGTAAGTAATAGACTATGAGCATATTATAAGTAATAGTCTAAAAATTGGTTGCATGACATTTGCCAACAAACTTGTATAAAGTGTAAACAAGTAGCAAAGGGTACAGTAGCGTGGAAGACGAAGAGTAAAGCCATGCGTGAAGAGAGACCGGAGGCGTCCTCTCACCTCTGTTCTCGAGGTCCTCGATCTCCTCATAGTGCAGCCAGTCGGAGTGGTCGTAGTACCAGGGGCGCGAATGCGCGCGGCGGACCGAGTCGCGGTCGCGGCGGTTCTGGCGGAAGTGCCAGTCGAGGTGCTGCGAGTAGCGCACCGTGTGCTCGGGCGGGAAGCGCACGTCGCAGCCCGAGCACTGCATGCCGCCGTACAGCCGTGCCACCAGCGCCTCCTGCTTCCTGCACGTGCCCACGCACATTAACACATTAACCTCATCATATTATGAACACAACAGATTGCGACCACGCTAACCGTAGATGCGTGCGATCACACTTAAATGACTCGATGGATTTCATTCAAATTTAGTGCAGTGAACGCTCTATATGGTATAAGCAACCTCTCAATAAGCAATTTCTTTAAATTTTATTTATTCTACTCAGCTTAGTTAGTAAAATAAGTAAGGAAAAATATTTTCCAGACGGTAAGTATTTTTTATACTCTTTTTTCCCCTATAAGCAAATTTTCTCAATAAGATTTTTTTATTGAAAGTAGTTCAAATGAGTCGCTAATATAGAGAGTTCACTGTATATAGTTAAATAAAATTTTATATTTTAAAATTTAATATACGCCGGCAAAACTGCAAAAGAACAGTTTTATAAGTCCTATTACCCTATTATATTATTGTACCCTGAAAAGATTTTTCAAAATTTTATCTACTTTCCCTATTTACGGACAAAAGAACTAATGGGTTTAATATTTTATAGAAAATTTGTAAAATTTTCTGATTTTAATTCAGCTAACGATTATTAACGACAGTAAGATAGAGATATAAAGTACAAACTAATATTAAATGCTATATAAACACACCAATTTTAAATACATAATCGGGACTTAAAGCAGTCGTGGTGCAATACACGTAATACAATATCTGTAATAAAAAAGCAGATGTACTATTTACCTGCAAAGGTTTTTTATCGCGTTAAATCCCGATTGCATATTTAAAATATATGTAAACAACGCGAAAATTTTTAAATTAACTGATAACACCAATTGCCAGGCCCTAAATCTAGGATACTTTACATTATGGAAAACGAGAAAGTTGATTATATAAAATGTTACTTACACTTTCAAAGTTTCACTTCTCAGCAAATCAACTTTATGGATGACATTCTTATCCTCTTTTGCCTTCGGTTTGGCCTCTTCTTTCACCTCTTCCTTGGGTTCAGTTTTTAATTCGTTGTTGACCTGCACTATGCCACTGGCAACCAGTTTAGCAAACAAATCATTCACATTTATGTTGGCCAGGATTGGGAACATCGGCTCAGCTGAACTGTACTCTGAAGCAGACGCGGGTGCCATTGTTGAAGGCGTGGCACTCGCTAACATGGCTACACCTGAAAATGTACTTACTTTTATTAAATTAATAAACAATGCATTTCATCATCATTTCAATGATTCATCATCCATGTTGAATACACATCATTTCAAAAAGCAATCTACAGTAATGACAATTCTAAAATAATTAAAAAAAAAACCTACCTTGTGTATTACTGTCACTGTTAAAGCCGAGTGTCGGCTGCATGACCGGTTCCATTCTCGTGCCTTCCATATTTGCTATTTCTATGTGACCAGCCTTTATGTGACTAGGGAGTGCCGAAAATCTAATGAAAAACTTTTCATTGCCTATCGATATCGGTTTAGGTAAACCGTCAAACTCCAGTTTAAACGGTTGCTCGTTTATTAGAACAGTTCTCAACGAATCCACGAAGCGTATCGTGAGCACGTGTCTATTGATGAAGAACTTTTGTACTTTAGCATCGAGGTAGACGGGACACCTCTGTGTGGCGTTCACGATGACATTGATTTTGCCAGCAACTAGATCTGTGCGTTTAGTCTTTCCGATATCAACTTGGGGAGGCGGCCCTTCTAATTGCACTAATCTAGGTCTCCCATCGATGATCGTGCCGATAGGCTGACCACCAAAAATGCATTCGTACCATCTGCCATTTATATAAAGCTCCCTCGTCGGCGCCCCAAACCGAATGTTAAACACTTGACCGTCGATCTCCACTTGTTTGTAGCCTTCATTGAAAGATAATACTACGGAATCTTTATTATCGAATCTAACTCTTCTGCAGCCGGGCAAGAATTTGATCTCTCTTGGATCATCCCAGTCCATCATGATGACAGCTGTTTCTCCGTAAAATCTAATCTCCTTCGGCACTCCATCGATTTGGATCGTTTTAACAGGATCTCGATCTATGTACTCTAAAATTCTAAAATCTGTAGGTGGGATGGCAATTCCTGGCGCGCCGAGAGGAGGTGGGGACACGGTCCTTTCGTACGGCTGGAGAGGGCTCTCTCCCTGGCACATGCCAGGTGTAGGCGTCGGTAAGGGCAACGGTAGCCGCGGGTCGAACGGTGGTCTCATCGCTCTCTTGTCGAATTTTCCTCTAAAGAACTGTTGTGCTGGATCACGGAATCTTCGCGGTCCGTACACTTTGACTCTCGGTCTGGGCTGCCCTCTCCACATGGGCGTGAATGGTGGGAACATCGGCATCGCCGGAGGCATTGGCTGTACATCAGTAGGCGGGGGACCATCGCATCCATCCATGGAGTTTGTATTCGTTCTCATAATTATATTATATTCTTTATCATTCTCCGAATTTGAACTATCTGATGGGGTATCTATGAAGACAGGGGTAATACTCTCATCAATATCTTCAAATTTATTTCGATCAGTCGGCGATGACTTGGGACTAGCAACTTTAGTATTCTCATCAATCGTATGCGACTTGAGTTTCCTTTCGGACACTTCTAATGACTCCGGCTGTTTTGCTTCTTTTAATTCGAGTTTCTCGTTCAGCTGCAGTAATTGGCGCATTAAAGCATTATACGGACTTTTGTCCAATTGGCCATTACTTGACTGTTCTTTAGCTTGGCGCATGTTATTACCGGATATTGTTTTTTTATGGTCCTCTGTGTCGGAGTCATCTGTGTTATCGGTTCTCAAATCTATATCTTCGGAACTGAGAGTACGACGTCTCTTCTTTCCAACACCTGATGTTAAAATGATAAATATTAATACAATAAAAAGAAAATCGTTTTATAATCAATTTGTTATGATTGACAAAAACTGTTCTTTAACAGCTACATTAGACCTGCATAGGATTTGACGCCTGCCAAGCGTGTCAACTACCCGCAGTGGACAGTTAAACTATAAACATATACTATTTTATGAACTATCACAAACTAAATTTATATAACAATTTTTTGACTAAATCTATTAAAATAATTTAAATTTAGAGAAATGACACTTTAGAATCGACTTTACTGTTTTCATAAAAAAATATGCCAAGTTATTTCTTAATTATGACAAATAAAGAAAAACAGATCATTAGTATCTACGAATAGTATATACAAATGTAAAAAAGGAAAAAACATTTGTGTAGTTAAATTAATAATAAAAATATGCATATATTTGCACTGACAAGGAAATCAACAAATCAAATACAACCGTTTCATATTCAGTCTAATTATGAAAAATAAAAAAAACCCCAGGTTACAGTCACACCCCCTTACAATACAGCGCCATCAAGGGGTTTGATGACTTCAAATATGTCACATGAATGATGCAAGAGGCTCAAGATCATACTTTGGCAAAATATGAAGGAGAAATACAAAAACAGACGATGTAAAAATTAAATTAATAATGTAAATCACTGAAGTAAGTTATACTTATTAATAAGACATTCATTGTCACCATACAGTATTCGATAGTTTTTGAAATAATATCCTAGATAAAATAATATACTACATAATTAACGTAAGATATCACAATTTGACGAAGAATGGTTTTTAAAAAATCTTCAAATACGGTATTCGTCTAGCCGTCATTGATACAAGTCGAATACTATATTCTTACCACATGAATACTTAATAACTTCTAAACTCAAACAGGAAAAGCTTCGTAACATACAGTGGAATGGAAATTAAGGTGGTAATAAAAATTATCAAGTTTATGTGTGTTGACAATGTTTTTAACAGTAAGCACTTTTCCTACCTATAACATGTCATGTAGATTTTTGGATACTAAATGAGCATTTTATATAGTAAATAGTATTCCCCAGTTGGAGCGTTACATTAAGAACTGCTTCCAAGATGTACAAAATACTACGTTCCTAAACAAGTTTTCTTTATCCCCAAATAAATTAATTTTCACAAAAATTACCCTCCCAATTTATAAAGCCATAGTGTCCTATAATTGTATAACAATTAACAGTTATGTTTAAAAAAAGATTGTAAATCCTTTTTATCCAAAATATGAAATATATAATATCATATATACTACTCATATAATCAGTTTCCAATTTCCAAGACAAGAATCGATTAGGAAAAATCATAATAAAATTAATCATCAAACTATTCCCCCAACTGTATAACAAAATTGATACTAGAAATAATCATGGATTTGGCGGTCATTTACGGATATTACGATAGGGAAGAGACACAGAGAAGAGAGAGAAAAGTACACTACCCTGGGCATATAATATAGCATATATAAATTAAAGAAGCCCTTCAGTAATATACCGTGCAAAGGAAAAGTGCTTATAGAGTAGTACTGTAATTAACATAAGACTGCAAATTAGACAAACTCTGTGACCGTGCCAAGATACTTAAGTTAACTATAACCTATAAAATAACTTATCTACTTTTTGTAATTTGCGGAACTTAGCAATAAAGGGTTATATAATATATGCGACGTAAAACAAATTAATATGAGTACTCCAAGAGTTGTAAAATATTTTATTTTCACACAAGTGCAACCTCAATACTTCCGGCTCTCTGTTATAATTTAATATCACAGATCATAGAAAATACCAAAGACTAACTTTGTATTTTCTATCGGCCCTAACCTCGCATTTTGTTAATATTGAATGATATCTTACTTGATGAATCATTTTCAGTGTCTGTCTTATCCTGCTCGGTCTCGGTGTTGTTCGTTCTCATGTGCCGTTCCCTGTGGTAATTTTTGAGCTCCTTGCTCCGCGACTTCTTCTCCGGCGAGGACTCGCTCGAGCCGCTCTTGCCGTCGGCTTCCTCCCGCTTCTGTTTCCTCTCTGCGCACAACCCTTTCCGTTTCTTATTCGGAACCGGCGAGTCCCTGTCTGCCTCCTCGCCCCTATTTATTTTGGGTATGGGCGGGAGGTTGTTGATCTTTTTGGGATCGGGCACTTCTCGATGTAGTCACTGATCGTGTTCTCGGTAGCATCAGTCTTCTCCTGGGGTTTCTTGTGGACGTCGTTCCGGCGCACGTCGCATTTCCGCTCGCTGGCGTCGTCCGCCTTCTTGGGGCGGGGATCATCGCGGGGCCGCGCTTTGTCTTTCCGCGGGTGGTCGTCGCGGTTCTCGAGGCGCGGGTCGCGGCGGCGCGGGTCGCGACGGCGCGGGTCGCGCGGGCGCTGCGGCGCCTCGTCGGGCCGAACGTCTATCGTGATCCCATTTTTGCGTTTAGCAACATGTTCGAGAGATTTAATGTCGAATACGTTGGGCGCGATCGGCACTTGAGGCACTACAGGTATGAGCGGCATCACAGGAGCCACCACGGGCGCCGCGGCGGGCCCGGTTGGCGCGGACGCCGCGGCGGTTCGCAGTCGCGCCAGTCGCGGGTCCCTGCGGGCGGCCGCTAGTGCACCACTCACTGGCGCTATGCGTCTAAGCTTATTCACAGGCTGAAACAAAGATCATATTGAAACATTCGTCCACTGCATATAGCGACGAGTCTGTTAACATAAAATAGCTGAAAAATATATGTATTATACCTACGTTCAAATACAAATTCAGAGTCTAATCGCAGAAAATTAAAAATATAGTTCACTAATTACCGTAGCAAGTAATTGATTTCAATATTTAGTATCAGATATTTAAGCATCAGATACTTACCGGCCCGAGGCGTTGCCTAACCGGCATCGTCGACGGCACAGTGGGCGGTTTTATCACACTTGTAATCTGCGAACAATAAAAAAAAAAAAAAAACTATGACATTCAGAGCGTTATATGATGTACATAGGGCTGGTCATGGACAAGGTTTACAAATTACCATCAAGTGGACCGTCAATTTGTTTGCAATTCCGAGTGTCTTAAAAAATCTAAATATTTTCATAGTAACCGCAAATTAATTATTGTTACACCGCCACCTAAAAGTATCTGGAAATTTAAGAGACCTAATTTTTATGAAATAATATCATACGTCTTTATAATTAAATAGAATGGCATAGTTTTTTTTTTTATACAACTTAGAATGGCAAACAAGCTGACGGCCCACCTGATGGAAAGTGGTAACCGTCGCCTATAGACATGAGCAGTACCATGGACATAACAGAGTATACTGTTTTTCCCATGATACCCCCCATGCGTTGCCATTCCTGAGGACTCAGGTGTTATTCCTCTGTACCCAGTAAATTCAGTAAGTTCTCTTACAATTTATTAAACACACTTTGGGTCATGCATTATATCAATAAAGCTATTATAAAATAAATAAAAATGATAGAAACGTCAAATAAAAATAAAATATGTATTTTATTGTATTGTTGTGTTTATAAATTGTCTTGCTTATTTCCTATATTGCATAATGCAAATAAAGTATACTCATTCATTCATTCTTATTCTGTTATTTATAGTTATTTTGATAATCAGATTTTATTCTTTCATTTTTAAAAATTATAACTGATAAATCATCAGCAAATAAAACACATTGATGTTTAGTTATGTCTGGCAAGTCATTTATATAATATATAGAAGGAATAGCAGAGGTCCCAATATACTTCCTCGTGGTACTCCCGATAGACTACAATGATATTTAGATTTAAAATTCTTGTTTATGTTTGTATCGTCAAATTTATTTATTAGTACTGTTTGAGATGAAGCTTGATATCCATTTCAGAGTAGGACCTCTAATCCCGTATCGTTCGCACTTATTTAATCATATTGTATGATTTAAATTATCTAAAAATATATATTATATAAAAATATTTCTGTTACTCTCTTTTTATTGTCTATATAATGTGTCAATTTACGAATAACAGAAAATACAGCTAATTTTGTCAATTTTTTTTTTTTTTTTTTTTTGGAATCCAAATTGTTCATTTCTAATTATATTAAATTTATTAATAAAATTATTCAGTCTAATAAGCATCAATGTTTCAAATACCTTTGACAATATTGAGTTTTATGTAATGTTTAACGTTTAATTTGGTTTTGTCATCTTTTTTATGTAGTGGGATTACTATTGAATGTTTCAATCGATTTGGAAATATAGCTAGCGTGAAAGACAAGTTCACAATATACGTTAACACTGTGGCAATCTCGTTTGCAAACTCTTTTTAATATGTGAGTTGAGATATCATCAAAACCCACAGACCTAGTATTTTTCAAAGATTTTATAATTTTAATGACTCCAATAAAAGTACAAGGTATTATAAATATTGATGAATTCAAGTTTTGAATATTTTTATGCTGGCAATTAGCTTTTACATGATTTTTTTGTATAAGACATAAAATAAGCATTTGCAATATTTTGAGGATCATTTATTTTTTTATTCTTAACCTTAATACATTTAATTTCTTGTTCACTTATATTTCTCCTTTTTTATTTATAACATCTCAAGTGGCCTTGCACTTATTTCTTGTCTTATTGACAATACTATTACTATTATGCCTTCTTTTTAAGCAAGTGATGCATTTATTTAGAATTTTTGTATATTTAAGATAAGTTGATTTAGTTTTACTTGCATTTTGTTTATATGCATTATATCTAAGTTTTCTTTCATGTGCGTTGCGTTTTATTCCTTTGGTGATCCACTTAGCTTTATAAATATTTTCTCTGATTTTGATTTTATTTATTGGAAAACAGAGATTATACAGAGAACAAAATATGTCATGAAATAATTGAAACTCAATATTTAACTCTATACTAAAATAGCATCACAACGGCCTACTTCATTTCATCATCAATTAACAATTTAATGATAATAATTATAATTATTATCATTAAATCAATAATTATTTAATGAAACATGAAATTAATTTATGTTATAAATAGTTTATAATGCAGCATCTGATGTTACGAGGGGAGGTCAAAGAGTTTGCGGAAAAGGGTTGAAATTAAACATTAAACTATTTTTCCTTTTTAATATATTCTCCAATTAACCTTAATACGAGTACATTTTTCGAATCTCTTAAATAATTTGTTTATACAATCGAAAAAAAAAAGGTTTATCTTCGCTGTTAAAATACGAGTAGGTCGAAATTGCAGACTTGACTTCTTCATCGTCGCCAAATTTTTTTCCATACAGCTCCTTTTTCGTTTTTGGGAATAAATAATAGTCGCTGGGGGCCAAATCTGGAGTGTAAGGTAGGTGGTCTAATTTTTCAAACCCTTATAGGTGAATGGCAGCCGTCGCAAGATGGCACGTGTGGACGGGAGCATTGTCGTGCAAAAGGAGCACACCTTTTGACAGCTTTCCTCTTCTTTTTTCCTTGATAGCTTCTTTCAATCTGTCCAGTCACACCACGGTCTTTATAATCGATCAGCAAAATACCTTCTGTATCCCAAAAGATAGTCGCCATGATCTTTTCGGCCGATTCTGACACTTTCAACTTCTTCGGAGGAGTTGTGCCTTTTTTATGCCACTGCATCGACTCTATCTTCGACTCAGGTTCATAGTGGTGAACCCAGATTTCATTTCCTAAGCTCACGCTTGTCTAGTAGTTGGAAAAAACTTCACGCGAGTCTCGAGTGGATTATTTTTAGGATTAAAACAATACCAACATAAATAAATAAGTGGATATAATCTGTTTTTTCTTTGGCACAATTAGTAAACCGTAAACAATGTTCGCATGTCTCGATACTGCAATTAGCAATTTCATTCGGCGTTTTTTTTATATGTTTCGACATATTTTCAATTGTAAGTAAAAAAAAATATATATATAACATCAAAATAGATAAAAATCAGTTTTAAAACATATAAATGTAACTGTTTCATACGATACTCCATTGGCAAGTAGGTAAATTTTAAAATTTGCCTTACGCCCCTTACTTTTGGGGCCCCAGTGTAAGAAATATAAATATTTTTCAATTATTCCTATTGAAATATGTGCCGACCTGCAATATATAAAATTATTCCAAATTTCATTTTATATATTTATTTCAAATTTTATATATATATATGGTAAACACACATCAAAAAAGTCAACATCCCTACAGCTCTTTGCATTTCATAATGTAAAAAATGTCTCAAAATCCAAATTTGTACAAAACTTTTTTCAAATTATTGTTTAAATCATAAAATTGATACAGAATACAAAATTTTAATAAGCTTTTGAATTTGTGAAAAAAAAAATGTATGTCCTCTAGATCAAAATAGTTTACAAAATAATTTATTTGGATAAGGATTAATAAATAGGTATGAATAACATGTACAACGCGACAGCGTTATTATTTCTACTTCTATGACTTATTAAATTCGTAATATGAAATAACCGATTTGAACAATTCAAAAAGTAATCTACATAAATTGAGACAGTTTTGAAAAAATTTACATACAATACAAATCTTTCCTCTTTATAATATTAAAAAAATATTATAATAATATTAATAAGGTACTTACACTGTATCTGGTTCGGTATCGGTAATAGTCACTCATGTCGAAATATTGAATTCACAATTTCACGTAAAACAGTTTAACACAACTAGCTCAAAAGGCGTACGCGCACTAACACAGCCCTTCGTTCAATGTCAAGTGTTTCGACTACAACAGTCCACAGGACTACCCCTCCATAGTAATTGATAACAAACAATATTATGGTGTCTTCGAGCATGATACTACAGTAATGGCCACAACTTAATATTCCTAATATAATTATAATTAATTTAATAGGTTTGCTGAATGGGAACTCTTACGCAGTTAAGCTCATTTGCTGTATATCTTTATTTGATATATAAATAATATAATAATTATTTACAGAATGACATAATTTGTACTTTAATATTAATTGGCACTGACATTGAACTGAATCTAATATTTTGTTAATGATTGATTTTTTAACATACTATTATAATTTTATTATTATTAATCGAATAAATAATGGATGTAAAGTAACTTATATGTATGTATTAGTTGTAATGTAACTTGTACATAGCCAATAATGATGTTGCATGCTTTAGACTATAAGGCGAACATTTGTACTTCACACTAAATCAATATCTGTAAAAACAATGTTCTGGCAAATAAATCTATCTATCTATCTAATAATAATGTAATTTTTGGATACAATAAAATATAAATAAAAATAAATCAATAAAACCCCCAAGGGGGAGACCTATGTACAGCAGTGGATGGTGATGATTTAAAATTTACTTATAAAAATATATACATAAACCGTCTTTATTAAAAACGTTCATTCTCATTTTTATACTTTATTGAACTGTAAGTACTATATGTTATTTTTCTCACTTTCGTGCATAGTATAGTATATTTTATATACGTGTATATCTTATATTTGTTATTTATGAATATTTATTCGTTGATATATGTAATTTTAGTATGTATGTTTATCAATAATAACTAATACCGCATTCGAGTATTCTGACATTTCCCTAAGGTTGACTGGGAGAGAATGTTTTTAGTATTAAGTCCGCCATGTACACATATATGTACTAATGAATAAATAATAATAATAATACATAAATAACCATCTATCGCATTAATAGTTTAACCGCTCATAGTGATTGGAAAACTTACGCACCTTTTGTCACCTAGTTCAGCAAAATCCTAACGAATTTGATTTAAATGTAATATTATATTGACGTGTGGTCCCGGCATGGAATTGGCCATTGCTTCCATTCCCGTGGTTGGTGGTAAAATTTAATGATCAATGGGATGATGGGAAACAGCGACCCTCTTAATAACGAAATTCTGAGGTAACAAACACAAAAAAAAAATAGAGGCGAATACTATCCAAATAAATGCCTTCCTTTTTGGTATTGATTGAATATGTATAAGTTAGAAATTCAGAAAAAAATACCACATACACGTCATATTTCGAATAGAGAAGAACATGGGTTACTTTTCATTGTGATCAGTTAACATGACCCTGGTCATGCAGACAGAGTCGAGGGCAAAATATAAAGGCAACGTAAACAAATACATATTTTTATATTCTTCATTAAAAAACAGTGAAGGAAACTTGCACCTACATATTGTTTTTTCCTAACAGTATTATCCCTAACATTCCGTAGACAGAGAAACAATCAAGGAACAATGCAAATTTTAATAAATGCATTCTTAAAATTTTACCAGAAATTTTACAATGCATAAAATAAGCATTCAGGTATGTCTTAAACCGCCAGTCATTAAGCGCCTCAATTGTGTGACGTATTATGTACCATTGGATAATTTCGTGCAAATTTGCACGTATTCAATGTTATCAGGAACTCATTAGGACGGCAATAAAAATGAGTAATTTAGTTTGGAAAAGCTGTTAAAGGTATTACAAAATATCTATTATAAGAGGTGCGTTAGATGGTAACCGTGTTTATTTGTGGATATTAATATAATTGCTTTCTATATAAATATGTACCTAATAGTGGTAAAATATGGGAAATTTAATTTCATCTACCAAATTTTTATGCAGTTAAACGAACACTCAAATTATGGAATGAGCTTCCTGCCGAGGTTTTCCCAAGAGACTACAACATGGGGTTCTTCAAAAAGGGGTAAAAAGGCATGCACACGCACACACGCGCGCGCACATACACAAACACTCTTTTTTCCAATATTAACTTTATTGTTCTTTTTTTATCTCCTACTTTTAATTATATTTCTTATGTGCAAAATTTTCTAACGTATATTTTTTGTCGGATGACCAATTAGGAACTTGTAATATTTATGAACAAAATATACAGTTAAACAAAACAAAACAGTACAGACTAACGTTTTCTCAGCGGAATGAGATGGAAAAACAAGTCCAAAAAATGTTATCTGATGATATCATAGAATCGGCTAAGAGTAATTAGTCCAGAGCAGTTTTATTGGTTCCTAAAAAATCTGATGATAATAATAAGAAATGGCGACTAGTAATTGATTTTAGAAAATTAAATAAATGTGTATTGGACGATAAATTTCCGCTACCAAATATAACAAATATACTTGATTCACTTTCTGGTTCCACATATTTCACGCAACTAGATTTATCTCAAGGCTATTTCCAAGCGAAATTAAAACTGGAGCGTAGAAAGTACACTGCCTATACGACGCCGACGGGCCAGTACCAGATGACGCGCTTCCCGATGGGATTGAAGACGAGACCGAGTGCGTGACAGTAGCCATGTCGGGACTCAATTATAATCAAAAATGTTTTATATACCTAGATAATATAATATGTTTTGGACGTAATTTAGATATGCATTACAAAAACCCAATCGATATTTTGAATAGATTGCGAAAAGTAAATTTAAAGCTTAATCCGGAAAAATGCGATTTTCTTCGCAAGGAAATTTTATATCTGGGACACGTCGTTTCTGCGAATGGTATTAGCTCCGACCCCGAAAAAATTAAAGTTTTAAAAAAATACCCCACCCCGAATAATTCAAATTAAGTCAAGAGATTCATCGCATTTTCTAATTATTATCGGAAATTTATCTCTAATTTTGTTAAAATATGTTTGCCCTTAAATAATTTATGTCGAAAAAATGTTACTTTTCACTAGGATAAAGATTGCCAAGATGCTTTTAATATTTGAAAAACATCACTAATTAACTAATAAAATACTTTTATATTACAAACAGATGCATCGGAACATGCACTGGGAGCGGTATTATGTAATAGCGATCGTAGACCGGTGGCCTACGCCAGTCGTAGCTTAAACAAGACCGAGCGTAGATACCTATATTTTAGACCTTATCTCTATGAAAAACGATTTATTATAGAAACAGACCATCGACCATTAGTATATTTGTATACATGACCGATCCTTTAAGCAGGTTAACCAAATTTAGATTATTATTACATGAATTTGGCATTGACTCCATTGGCAAGTAGGTAAATTTTAAAATTTGCCTTACGCCCCTTACTTTTGGGGCCCCAGTGTAAGAAATATAAATATTTTTCAATTATTCCTATTGAAATATGTGCCGACCTGCAATATATAAAATTATTCCAAATTTCATTTTATATATTTATTTCAAATTTTATATATATATATATATATATATATATATATATATATATATATATATATATATATATATATATATATATATATATATATATATATATATATGTACACACACATCAAAAAAGTCAACATCCCTACAGCTCTTTGCATTTCATAATGTAAAAAATGTCTCAAAATCCAAATTTGTACAAAACTTTTTTCAAATTATTGTTTAAATCATAAAATTGATACAGAATACAAAATTTTAATAAGCTTTTGAATTTGTGAAAAAAAAATGTATGTTCTAAAATAGTTTACAAAATAATTTATTTGGATAAGGATTAATAAATAGGTATGAATAACATGTACAACGCGACAGCGTTATTATTTCTACTTCTATGACTTATTAAATTCGTAATATGAAATAACCGATTTGAACAATTCAAAAAGTAATCTACATAAATTGAGACAGTTTTGAAAAAACTTACATACAATACAAATCTTTCCTCTTTATAATATTAAAAAATATTATAATAATATTAATAAAGTACTTACACTGTATCTGGTTCTGTATCGGTAATAGTCACTCATGTCGAAATATTGAATTCACAATTTCACGTAAAACAGTTTAACACAACTAGCTCAAAAGGCGTACGCGCACTAACACAGCCCTTCGTTCAATGTCAAGTGTTTCGACTACAACAGTCCACAGGACTACCCCTCCATAGTAATTGATAACAAACAATATTATGGTGTCTTCGAGCATGATACTACAGTAATGGCCACAACTTAATATTCCTAATATAATTATAATTAATTTAATAGGTTTGCTGAATGGGAACTCTTACGCAGTTAAGCTCATTTGCTGTATATCTTTATTTAATATATAATTAATAATATAATAATTATTTACAGAATGACATAATTTGTACTTTAATATTAATTGGCACTGACATTGAACTGAATCTAATATTTTGTTAATGATTGATTTTTTAACATACTATTATAATTTTATTATTATTAATCGAATAAATAATGGATATAAAGTAACTTATATGTATGTATTAGTTGTAATGTAACTTGTACATAGCCAATAATGATGTTGCATGCTTTAGACTATAAGGCGAACATTTGTACTTCACACTAAATCAATATCTGTAAAAACAATGTTCTGGCAAATAAATCTATCTATCTATCTAATAATAATGTAATTTTTGGATACAATAAAATATAAATAAAAATAAATCAATAAAACCCCCAAGGGGGAGACCTGTGTACAGCAGTGGATGGTGATGATTTAAAATTTCGTACAAGATGGCAAAAACATATTTTATCCCATAAAAATACTCAACATGTCTATATAAGAATTTATTCTGCACCCATATTAAAAAATATACATAAACCGTCTTTAAAAAAAAACGTTTATGCTCATTTGTAAACTTATCTGAACTAACTAAGTACTATATATTATATTTCACACTTTCGTGCATAGTACAGTATATCTTATATACGTGTATATCTATTTGTTATTTATGTATATTTATTCGTTGATATATGTTATTTTAGTATGTATGTATATCAATAATTACTAATACCGCATTCGAGTATTCTGACACTTTCCTAAGGTTGACTGGGAGAGAATGTTTTTAGTATTAAGTCCGCCATGTACACATTTATGTATTAATGAATAAATAATAATAATAATACATAAATAATATTATTCTTGTAGTAATGTGCAACAATAAGGTATGATAAGATAATATTTATCAATTTTCTCCATATTTACATTTTATTAATAAGTTTAATTGATATTTCATACATTTATACATCATGTTTACACGAGTAATCCGACCGAATACCACATTTTATTGATTATTAAAATTTAAATATAATATCATCATCATCATCATCTCAGCCATTACCCCTCCACTGCTGGACATAAGTCTCTCCCATAGACTGTAATAAAGAACGGTTCTGAGCCACCTGCATCCACTGACTCCCTGCAATGCATTTCAGGTCGTCACTCCATCTAGCGGGGGGGGGGGGGGGAGGTCGTCCTACACTACGTAAATATAATATAGTACTATTTATTAGGTTCTTTCAGCAATTATTAATTAATTTGTTATAATATGGCATCGGCGTCGAATAAGCAATATAACTATACTGTATAGTTCAGCAAAATCCTAAGGAATTTGATTTACATGTAATATTATATTGGCGTGTGGTCCCGGCATAGAATTGGCCATTGCTTCCATTCCCGTGGTTGGTGGTAAAATTGAATGATCAATGGGATGATGGGAAACAGCGACCCTCTTAATAACGAAATTCTGAGGTAACAAACACAAAAAAAATAGAGGCGAATACTATCCAAATAAATGCCTTCCTTTTTGGTATTGATTGAATATGTATAAGTTATAAATTCAGAAAAAATTACCACATACACGTCATATTTCGAATAGAGAAGAACATGAGTTACTTCTTATTGTGATCTCAGATAAAATTATCCTGGTCATGCAGACAGAGTCAAGGGCAAAATATATAGGCAAAGTAAACAAATACATATTTTTATATTCTTCACAAAAAGCAGTGAAGAAAACTTACCCTACATATTGTTTTGACAATGCAAATTTTAATAAATGCATTCTCAAAATTTTACCAGAAATTTTACAATGCATAAAATAAACATTCAGGTATGTCTTAAACCGCCAGTCATTGAGCGCCTCAATTGTGTGACGTATTATGTACCATTGGATAATTTCGTGCAAATTTGCACGTAGTCAATGTTATCAGGAACTCATTAGGACGGCAATAAAAATGAGTAATTTAGTTTGGAAAAGCTGTTAAAGGTATTACAAAATATCTATTATAAGAGGTGCATTAGATGGTAACCGTGTTTATTTGTGGATATTAATATAATTGCTTTCTATATAAATATGTACCTAAAAGCAATGAAATATTTCATGCCACCTAATAGTGGTAAAATATGGGAAATTTAATTTCATCTACCTAATTTTTATGCAGTTAAACGAACACTCAAATTATGGAATGAGCTCACTGCCGAGGTTTTTCCAAGAGACTACAGCATGGGGTTCTTCAAAAAGGGGTAAAAAGGTTTCTTCAGAGTAATACCCCTGGTATTGCAAGCGTTCATAGGCTACGGTAACCGCTTACCATCATGCTATATATGTTTGCCATCACAGTGGTATAAAAAAATAAAATTTTAAACTTTGAGACGTGACGTACAGGTGTTAAATTTGTCGCGTGGTAATTTAAACCAGACTTCAAAAATGAGTTAATTATTATTAACGACTTTTTGTGTTATGAGTCTTTTTTAATAAAACAAATCTTAGTTAAATGTTACATTCATACGAATTATATCAAGATTCGATCATCATCATTCATTAACATCAATTAAAATTCAGTCATACCATTTTAATCATTTGAAAGTCGATTAAAAACTTCGTTTTTTATTAAAAGTTCCCTCTTGTCGGCGCAACTAATTCATGCATTCTCTACCAACCTGCTTTATCCCAGGCCATATCTTTGACCTCCCTAACAACGACGTGACACCTAATGTTTCTTTTGCCCTCTATTTTTCTTTCCACTATGATCTTTAAAAAACTGTCATGACGAATAAGATGGCCCAGCATTTTGCCTCTTCTATTCTCTATAGTTTTAATTAATGTTTAAATAATTTAATAATATTATATAAACTAACTTTAACATAAAATTAATAATATATATTAATATAGTGAATAAATAATAATATAGTTATACCTATACATATATATATAGTTTTAAAACAAAACTTAAGGACTTTTATTTGAGCAAGTTGTCATCTTATTAATATGTTTATATGTCTGGTTAGCATACTTATTTCTTGTATACTTTTCGTGAACAGTATTTATATATATTTTTATTTATTTGTATAGGCGTTTATATGCATGTATATATATATATATATATATATATATATATGTATGTATGTATGTGTGTATTTAGAACTAACAAAATTTTTCATCGCGCCTTCCATCAAATTGTTTATAATTACTCCTTTCCATCCAAAGGTTGCCTGGAAGAGATCGCTCTTAGCGATAAGGTCGCCCATTGTTTTCTCATTGTGATTATTTCTTGTAATTATTTATATTTATATTAAGTTTACTATTGTAATCTTTTGTAGGAAACAATAAAGAATATCTATCTATCTTAATTAATTAGCTTAGTTTAGTGTTTCCTTTATCTGTCCCATGTAGTTATTACATTAGTTTAATTAAAAACTACCGAGTCTAAAAACATGTAGCGTAGCATATTTTATATGTGCTACATGTTTTCGGCTTTCAAGTAGCTGTTTCCCGCGGCGTTGTCCACGTGAATCGATATATAAAATATTAAAAATACAAATTAAAATATGCTAATTCAAGTGATCGGTTATTTTAAACAGTTTTATGTGTGATTCTTTACATTGATGTAAGTTTTTCATTTATAAACAGATTGAAATAAAATAAACACTAAATGTTAAGTTGCGCAAACAGCTACGCATTAGTGAAAAATTCTTTAGGTCGGAATTTGGACGTCTCAAGTATTAAAATAAAAGGCTAGGCTATTAGGATTTACTTGAAATTTATGTCAGTCTATGCCGGTCTCCGTTGAAGTCTTTTGTTTTCTCAAAACAATTTGCTTTTGTATATCGAGTGTCTTAGCGGCTAGCGAGAATACTGCTCAAAGAGACCGCAATAACACCCCTTAGTCATAAAAACAAAACCTAATAAAAAAAACCTACAGACCTATTTCAAGTATTTGAATGCTTTATAACACTTTCAAATGGAGATTTTATCACAAAAAAAAAACTTTGCACAAAAGGACAAAACGATACCTAAAGTAGGTCTAATGAAACGTATTTATGAATAAGGGCTTAAATATCTACAGTAATATTTTTACAAACAACTATTTTTATTATTTTATTGTTTATTTCTATACATACTGTCCCAAAAGAGTTTATTAAAATTAGGTATAACTACTAACGTATCCCGAATCTTGTAGTAATATATTTTATAAAAAAAGTAAAGAAATATAATTAAAGATTACAAACCAAAAAACCGACTTTCAATTTTCGCAATCCCCGTTATTTTGATTTAAAAACTAAACTACTGAAGCGATTTTCATACATTTTGTATGCGACCAGTGTGAAGTATATCCTGATACTGACGGGACTCATCAGCATCATATCATATTTATAAATAGAATTGGTCACATTAACCACCTTATTTATAAAAACTAAAACCTTCTATAAACCTATTTTAACTATTATACGATTATTTTCGATACCGCTGTCACCGGTACCGATGCCAGCGGTTGAAACGTTCGCCGTGGTGCTGGGGCGCGCGCAGAACGTTGCGCGCGCGTCTGCGTCGTTTGCGTCGGAGCTGTGGGGGCGGCAGGGCGGGTTTGACAGGACTAAGGAATTCAAACAACTGATCACATCGAAGTATGATTTATTACTGCTCCTATAATTAAACGATACATGTTTATATAAATGCTTACTTACTACGTCACATGCGCTACCAAAAATACAATAAAAAAGAAATCATTAAAGGTTCTTTTTTATATTAAGATGTAAGGTATTTTTTTTAAACAGTGGAATAAGCATTGAATACCTAAAACAGATTATACGAACGATACAATGTTCTGTTTTAAAAATAGATTAGTATGTAGTAATACATTTCTTTTCTCTAATCATCCTATATGCTCTGGTTCATATTACCAGACACAATCAGTAACAAAAGTGTTTTCCTAAACATTATTTCATTATGTATAATAAACTTTATCAAAGGACGATAAACCACAATCCGTGATAACCATAGGTTCTTTGACTGTTTTTAAATACTTATATCGTTGACACTTGTCACATTTCTTTCCTATTCACAAAACTAGCTGTGTGTAGACCCTAGGTAATCGAATCATTTCCACAAGTGTGTGATCAGGCCAATCGTTGCTAGAAATTTCAATCGCCGTAGGGCTCCCGCTTCCATTATCAATCTGATTTCTTCGTTGAGCTCTTATTAACACAGCCATAATATTTTAATTCATCTCTTTCAAATCCTCACTAGTCATTTCTAATCGTGACAATGTATCTGCAGCTACGTTGTCCCGGCCCTTCACATACACTACCTTTAAGTCATATTCATGTAATAATAATCTAAATTTGGTTAACCTGCTTAAAGGATCGGATCATGTATACAAATATACTAATGGTCGATGGTCTGTTTCTATAATAAATCGTTTTTCATAGAGATAAGGTCTAAAATATAGGTATCTACGCTCGGTATTGTTTAAGCTACGACTGGCGTAGGCCACCGGTCTACGATCGCTATTACATAATACCGCTCCCAGTGCATGTTCCGATGCATCTGTTTGTAATATAAAAGTATTTTATTAGTTAATTAGTGATGTTTTTCAAATATTAAAAGCTCTCTGGCAATCTTTATCCTAGTGAAAAGTAACATTTTTTCGACATAAATTATTTAAGGGCAAACATATTTTAACAAAAGTAGAGATAAATTTCCGATAATAATTAGAAAATGCGATGAATCTCTTGACTTAATTTGAATTATTCGGGGCGGGGTATTTTTTTAAAACTTTAATTTTTTCAGGGTCGGAGCTAATACCATTCCAATTAATACCAAGAAATCGCATTTTTCCGGATTAAGCTTTAAATTTACTTTTCGCAATCTATTCAAAATACCGATTGGGTTTTTGTTAAGCATATCTAAGTTACGTCCAAAACATATTATATTATCTAGGTATATAAAACATTTATCATAATTGAGTCCCGACATGGCTACTGTCACGCACTCGGTCTCGTCTTCAATCCCATCGGGAAGCGCGTCATCTGGTACTGGCCCGTCGGCGTCGTATAGGCAGTGTACTTTCTACGCTCCAGTTTTAATTTCGCTTGGAAATAGCCTTGAGATAAATCTAGTTGCGTGAAATATGTGGAACCAGAAAGTGAATCAAGTATATTTGTTATATTTGGTAGCGGAAATTTATCGTCCAATACACATTTATTTAATTTTCTAAAATCAATTACTAGTCGCCATTTCTTATTATTATCATCAGATTTTTTAGGAACCAATAAAACTGCTCTGGACTAATTACTCTTAGCCGATTCTATGATATCATCAGATAACATTTTTTGGACTTGTTTTTCCATCTCATTCCGCTGAGAAAACGTTAGTCTGTACTGTTTTGTTTTGTTTAACTGTATATTTTGTTCATAAATATTACAAGTTCCTAATTGGTCATCCGACAAAAAATATACGTTAGAAAATTTTGCACATAAGAAATATAATTAAAAGTAGGAGATAAAAAAAGAACAATAAAGTTAATATTGGAAAAAAGAGTGTTTGTGTATGTGCGCGCGCGTGTGTGCGTGTGCATGCCTTTTTACCCCTTTTTGAAGAACCCCATGTTGTAGTCTCTTGGGAAAACCTCGGCAGGAAGCTCATTCCATAATTTGAGTGTTCGTTTAACTGCATAAAAATTTGGTAGATGAAATTAAATTTCCCATATTTTACCACTATTAGGTACATATTTATATAGAAAGCAATTATATTAATATCCACAAATAAACACGGTTACCATCTAACGCACCTCTTATAATAGATATTTTGTAATACCTTTAACAGCTTTTCCAAACTAAATTACTCATTTTTATTGCCGTCCTAATGAGTTCCTGATAACATTGAATACGTGCAAATTTGCACGAAATTATCCAATGGTACATAATACGTCACACAATTGAGGCGCTTAATGACTGGCGGTTTAAGACATACCTGAATGCTTATTTTATGCATTGTAAAATTTCTGGTAAAATTTTAAGAATGCATTTATTAAAATTTGCATTGTTCCTTGATTGTTTCTCTGTCTACGGAATGTTAGGGATAACACTGTCAGGAAAAAACAATATGTAGGTGTAAGTTTCCTTTACTGTTTTTTTATGAAGAATATAAAAATATGTATTTGTTTACTTTGCCTATATATTTTGCCCTCGACTCTGTCTGCATGACCAGGGTAATGTTAACTGATCACAATGAAAAGTAACCCATGTTCTTCTCTATTCGAAATATGACGTGTATGTGGTAATTTTTTCTGAATTTCTAACTTATACATATTCAATCAATACCAAAAAGGAAAGCATTTATTTGGATAGTATTCGCCTCTATTTTTTTTGTGTTTGTTACCTCAGAATTTCGTTATTAAGAGGGTCGCTGTTTCCCATCATCCCATTGATCATTCAATTTTACCACCAACCACGGGAATGGAAGCAATGGCCAATTCTATGCCGGGACCACACGTCAATATAATATTACATTTAAATCAAATTCGTTAGGATTTTGCTGAACTAGGTGACAAAAGGTGCGTAAGTTTTCCAATCACTATGAGCGGTTAAACTATTAATGCGATAGATGGTTATTTATGTATTATTATTATTATTTATTCATTAGTACATATATGTGTACATGGCGGACTTAATACTAAAAACATTCTCTCCCAGTCAACCTTAGGGAAATGTCAGAATACTCGAATGCGGTATTAGTTATTATTGATAAACATACATACTAAAATTACATATATCAACAAATAAATATACATAAATAACAAATATAAGATATACACATATATAAGATATACTGTACTATGCACGAAAGTGAGAAAAATAACATATAGTACTTACAGTTCAATAAAGTATAAAAATGAGAATGAACGTTTTTAATAAAGACGGTTTATGTATATATTTTTATAAGTAAATTTTAAATCATCACCATCCACTGCTGTACATAGGTCTCCCCCTTGGGGGTTTTATTGATTTATTTTTATTTATATTTTATTGTATCCAAAAATTACATTATTATTAGATAGATAGATAGATTTATTTGCCAGAACATTGTTTTTACAGATATTGATTTAGTGTGAAGTACAAATGTTCGCCTTATAGTCTAAAGCATGCAACATCATTATTGGCTATGTACAAGTTACATTACAACTAATACATACATATAAGTTACTTTACATCCATTATTTATTCGATTAATAATAATAAAATTATAATAGTATGTTAAAAAATCAATCATTAACAAAATATTAGATTCAGTTCAATGTCAGTGCCAATTAATATTAAAGTACAAATTATGTCATTCTGTAAATAATTATTATATTATTAATATATATTAAATAAAGATATACAGCAAATGAGCTTAACTGCGTAAGAGTTCCCATTCAGCAAACCTATTAAATTAATTATAATTATATTAGGAATATTAAGTTGTGGCCATTACTGTAGTATCATGCTCGAAGACACCATAATATTGTTTGTTATCAATTACTATGGAGGGGTAGTCCTGTGGACTGTTGTAGTCGAAACACTTGACATTGAACGAAGGGCTGTGTTAGTGCGCGTACGCCTTTTGAGCTAGTTGTGTTAAACTGTTTTACGTGAAATTGTGAATTCAATATTTCGACATGAGTGACTATTACCGATACCGAACCAGATACAGTGTAAGTACTTTATTAATATTATTATAATATTTTTTTAATATTATAAAGAGGAAAGATTTGTATTGTATGTAAGTTTTTTCAAAACTGTCTCAATTTATGTAGATTACTTTTTGAATTGTTCAAATCGGTTATTTCATATTACGAATTTAATAAGTCATAGAAGTAGAAATAATAACGCTGTCGCGTTGTACATGTTATTCATACCTATTTATTAATCCTTATCCAAATAAATTATTTTGTAAACTATTTTAGAACATACATTTTTTTTTCACAAATTCAAAAGCTTATTAAAATTTTGTATTCTGTATCAATTTTATGATTTAAACAATAATTTGAAAAAAGTTTTGTACAAATTTGGATTTTGAGACATTTTTTACATTATGAAATGCAAAGAGCTGTAGGGATGTTGACTTTTTTGATGTGTGTGTACCATATATATATATATATATAATATATTTGAAATAAATATATAAAATGAAATTTGGAATAATTTTATATATTGCAGGTCGGCACATATTTCAATAGGAATAATTGAAAAATATTTATATTTCTTACACTGGGGCCCCAAAAGTAAGGGGCGTAAGGCAAATTTTAAAATTTACCTACTTGCCAATGGAGTATCGTATGAAACAGTTACATTTATATGTTTTAAAACTGATTTTTATCTATTTTGATGTTATATATATATTTTTTTTTACTTACAATTGAAAATATGTCGAAACATATAAAAAAAACGCCGAATGAAATTGCTAATTGCAGTATCGAGACATGCGAACATTGTTTACGGTTTACTAATTGTGCCAAAGAAAAAACAGATTATATCCACTTATTTATTTATGTTGGTATTGTTTTAATCCTAAAAATAATCCACTCGAGACTCGCGTGAAGTTTTTTCCAACTACTAGACAAGCGTGAGCTTAGGAAATGAAATCTGGGTTCACCACTATGAACCTGAGTCGAAGATAGAGTCGATGCAGTGGCATAAAAAAGGCACAACTCCTCCGAAGAAGTTGAAAGTGTCAGAATCGGCCGAAAAGATCATGGCGACTATCTTTTGGGATACAGAAGGTATTTTGCTGATCGATTATAAAGACCGTGGTGTGACTGGACAGATTGAAAGAAGCTATCAAGGAAAAAAGAAGAGGAAAGCTGTCAAAAGGTGTGCTCCTTTTGCACGACAATGCTCCCGTCCACACGTGCCATCTTGCGACGGCTGCCATTCACCTATAAGGGTTTGAAAAATTAGACCACCTACCTTACACTCCAGATTTGGCCCCCAGCGACTATTATTTATTCCCAAAAACGAAAAAGGAGCTGTATGGAAAAAAATTTGGCGACGATGAAGAAGTCAAGTCTGCAATTTCGACCTACTCGTATTTTAACAGCGAAGATAAACCTTTTTTTTTTCGATTGTATAAACAAATTATTTAAGAGATTCGAAAAATGTACTCGTATTAAGGTTAATTGGAGAATATATTAAAAAGGAAAAATAGTTTAATGTTTAATTTCAACCCTTTTCCGCAAACTCTTTGACCTCCCCTCGTAACATCAGATGCTGCATTATAAACTATTTATAACATAAATTAATTTCATGTTTCATTAAATAATTATTGATTTAATGATAATAATTATAATTATTATCATTAAATTGTTAATTGATGATGAAATGAAGTAGGCCGTTGTGATGCTATTTTAGTATAGAGTTAAATATTGAGTTTCAATTATTTCATGACATATTTTGTTCTCTGTATAATCTCTGTTTTCCAATAAATAAAATCAAAATCAGAGAAAATATTTATAAAGCTAAGTGGATCACCAAAGGAATAAAACGCAACGCACATGAAAGAAAACTTAGATATAATGCATATAAACAAAATGCAAGTAAAACTAAATCAACTTATCTTAAATATACAAAAATTCTAAATAAATGCATCACTTGCTTAAAAAGAAGGCATAATAGTAATAGTATTGTCAATAAGACAAGAAATAAGTGCAAGGCCACTTGAGATGTTATAAATAAAAAAGGAGAAATATAAGTGAACAAGAAATTAAATGTATTAAGGTTAAGAATAAAAAAATAAATGATCCTCAAAATATTGCAAATGCTTATTTTATGTCTTATACAAAAAAATCATGTAAAAGCTAATTGCCAGCATAAAAATATTCAAAACTTGAATTCATCAATATTTATAATACCTTGTACTTTTATTGGAGTCATTAAAATTATAAAATCTTTGAAAAATACTAGGTCTGTGGGTTTTGATGATATCTCAACTCACATATTAAAAAGAGTTTGCAAACGAGATTGCCACAGTGTTAACGTATATTGTGAACTTGTCTTTCACGCTAGCTATATTTCCAAATCGATTGAAACATTCAATAGTAATCCCACTACATAAAAAAGATGACAAAACCAAATTAAACGTTAAACATTACATAAAACTCAATATTGTCAAAGGTATTTGAAACATTGATGCTTATTAGACTGAATAATTTTATTAATAAATTTAATATAATTAGAAATGAACAATTTGGATTCCAAAAAAAAAATTGACAAAATTAGCTGTATTTTCTGTTATTCGTAAATTGACACATTATATAGACAATAAAAAGAGAGTAACAGAAATATTTTTATATAATATATATTTTTAGATAATTTAAATCATACAATATGATTAAATAAGTGCGAACGATACGGGATTAGAGGTCCTACTCTGAAATGGATATCAAGCTTCATCTCAAACAGTACTAATAAATAAATTTGACGATACAAACATAAACAAGAATTTTAAATCTAAATATCATTGTAGTCTATCGGGAGTACCACGAGGAAGTATATTGGGACCTCTGCTATTCCTTCTATATATTATATAAATGACTTGCCAGACATAACTAAACATCAATGTGTTTTATTTGCTGATGATTTATCAGTTATAATTTTTAAAAATGAAAGAATAAAATCTGATTATCAAAATAACTATAAATAACAGAATAAGAATGAATGAATGAGTATACTTTATTTGCATTATGCAATATAGGAAATAAGCAAGACAATTTATAAACACAACAATACAATAAAATACATATTTTATTTTTATTTGACGTTTCTATCATTTTTATTTATTTTATAATAGCTTTATTGATATAATGCATGACCCAAAGTGTGTTTAATAAATTGTAAGAGAACTTACTGAATTTACTGGGTACAGAGGAATAACACCTGAGTCCTCAGGAATGGCAACGCATGGGGGGTATCATGGGAAAAACAGTATACTCTGTTATGTCCATGGTACTGCTCATGTCTATAGGCGACGGTTACCACTTTCCATCAGGTGGGCCGTCAGCTTGTTTGCCATTCTAAGTTGTATAAAAAAAAAAAACTATGCCATTCTATTTAATTATAAAGACGTATGATATTATTTCATAAAAATTAGGTCTCTTAAATTTCCAGATACTTTTAGGTGGCGGTGTAACAATAATTAATTTGCGGTTACTATGAAAATATTTAGATTTTTTAAGACACTCGGAATTGCAAACAAATTGACGGTCCACTTGATGGTAATTTGTAAACCTTGTCCATGACCAGCCCTATGTACATCATATAACGCTCTGAATGTCATAGTTTTTTTTTTTATTGTTCGCAGATTACAAGTGTGATAAAACCGCCCACTGTGCCGTCGACGATGCCGGTTAGGCAACGCCTCGGGCCGGTAAGTATCTGATGCTTAAATATCTGATACTAAATATTGAAATCAATTACTTGCTACGGTAATTAGTGAACTATATTTTTAATTTTCTGCGATTAGACTCTGAATTTGTATTTGAACGTAGGTATAATACATATATTTTTCAGCTATTTTATGTTAACAGACTCGTCGCTATATGCAGTGGACGAATGTTTCAATATGATCTTTGTTTCAGCCTGTGAATAAGCTTAGACGCATAGCGCCAGTGAGTGGTGCACTAGCGGCCGCCCGCAGGGACCCGCGACTGGCGCGACTGCGAACCGCCGCGGCGTCCGCGCCAACCGGGCCCGCCGCGGCGCCCGTGGTGGCTCCTGTGATGCCGCTCATACCTGTAGTGCCTCAAGTGCCGATCGCGCCCAACGTATTCGACATTAAATCTCTCGAACATGTTGCTAAACGCAAAAATGGGATCACGATAGACGTTCGGCCCGACGAGGCGCCGCAGCGCCCGCGCGACCCGCGCCGTCGCGACCCGCGCCGCCGCGACCCGCGCCTCGAGAACCGCGACGACCACCCGCGGAAAGACAAAGCGCGGCCCCGCGATGATCCCCGCCCCAAGAAGGCGGACGACGCCAGCGAGCGGAAATGCGACGTGCGCCGGAACGACGTCCACAAGAAACCCCAGGAGAAGACTGATGCTACCGAGAACACGATCAGTGACTACATCGAGAAGCTGCCCGATCCCAAAAAGATCAACAACCTCCCGCCCATACCCAAAATAAATAGGGGCGAGGAGGCAGACAGGGACTCGCCGGTTCCGAATAAGAAACGGAAAGGGTTGTGCGCAGAGAGGAAACAGAAGCGGGAGGAAGCCGACGGCAAGAGCGGCTCGAGCGAGTCCTCGCCGGAGAAGAAGTCGCGGAGCAAGGAGCTCAAAAATTACCACAGAGAACGGCACATGAGAACGAACAAGGAGAAGTCTGAGAGCCCCGAGAAATTACCCACCGAGACCGAGCAGGATAAGACAGGCACTGAAAATGATTCATCAAGTAAGATATCATTCAATATTAACAAAATGCGAGGTTAGGGCCGATAGAAAATACAAAGTTAGTCTTTGGTATTTTCTATGATCTGTGATATTAAATTATAACAGAGAGCCGGAAGTATTGAGGTTGCACTTGTGTGAAAATAAAATATTTTACTACTCTTGGAGTACTCATATTAATTTGTTTTACGTCGGCATATTATATAACCCTTTATTGCTAAGTTCCGCAAATTACAAAAAGTAGATAAGTTATTTTATAGGTTATAGTTAACTTAAGTATCTTGGCACGGTCACAGAGTTTGTCTAATTTGCAGTCTTATGTTAATTACAGTACTACTCTATAAGCACTTTTCCTTTGCACGGTATATTACTGAAGGGCTTCTTTAATTTATATATGCTATATTATATGCCCAGGGTAGTGTACTTTTCTGTCTCTTCTCTGTGTCTCTTCCCTATCGTAATATCCGTAAATGACCGCCAAATCCATGATTGTTTCTAGTATCAATTTTGTTATACAGCTGGGGGGATAGTTTGATGATTAATTTTATTATGATTTTTCCTAATCGATTCTTGTCTTGGAAATTGGAAACTGATTATATGAGTAGTATTATATATTTCATATTTTGGATAAAAAGGATTTACAATCTTTTTTTAAACATAACTGTTAATTGTTATACAATTATAGGACACTATGGCTTTATAAATTGGGAGGGTAATTTTTGTGAAAATTAATTTATTTGGGGATAAAGAAAACTTGTTTAGGAACGTAGTATTTTGTACATCTTGGAAGCAGTTCTTAATGTAACGCTCCAACTGGGGAATACTATTTACTATATAAAATGCTCATTTAGTATCCAAAAATCTACATGACATGTTATAGGTAGGAAAAGTGCTTACTGTTAAAAACATTGTCAACACACATAAACTTGATAATTTTTATTACCACCTTAATTTCCATTCCACTGTATGTTACGAAGCTTTTCCTGTTTGAGTTTAGAAGTTATTAAGTATTCATGTGGTAAGAATATAGTATTCGACTTGTATCAATGACGGCTAGACGAATACCGTATTTGAAGATTTTTTAAAAACCATTCTTCGTCAAATTGTGATATCTTACGTTAATTATGTAGTATATTATTTTATCTAGGATATTATTTCAAAAACTATCGAATACTGTATGGTGACAATGAATGTCTTATTAATAAGTATAACTTACTTCAGTGATTTACATTATTAATTTATTTTTTACATCGTCTGTTTTTGTATTTCTCCTTCATATTTTGCCAAAGTATGATCTTGAGCCTCTTGCATCATTCATGTGACATATTTGAAGTCATCAAACCCCTTGATGGCGCTGTATTGTAAGGGGGTGTGACTGTAACCTGGGGTTTTTTTATTTTTCATAATTAGACTGAATATGAAACGGTTGTATTTGATTTGTTGATTTCCTTGTCAGTGCAAATATATGCATATTTTTATTATTAATTTAACTACACAAATGTTTTTTCCTTTTTTACATTTGTATATACTATTCGTAGATACTAATGATCTGTTTTTCTTTATTTGTCATAATTAAGAAATAACTTGGCATATTTTTTTATGAAAACAGTAAAGTCGATTCTAAAGTGTCATTTCTCTAAATTTAAATTATTTTAATAGATTTAGTCAAAAAATTGTTATATAAATTTAGTTTGTGATAGTTCATAAAATAGTATATGTTTATAGTTTAACTGTCCACTGCGGGTAGTTGACACGCTTGGCAGGCGTCAAATCCTATGCAGGTCTAATGTAGCTGTTAAAGAACAGTTTTTGTCAATCATAACAAATTGATTATAAAACGATTTTCTTTTTATTGTATTAATATTTATCATTTTAACATCAGGTGTTGGAAAGAAGAGACGTCGTACTCTCAGTTCCGAAGATATAGATTTGAGAACCGATAACACAGATGACTCCGACACAGAGGACCATAAAAAAACAATATCCGGTAATAACATGCGCCAAGCTAAAGAACAGTCAAGTAATGGCCAATTGGACAAAAGTCCGTATAATGCTTTAATGCGCCAATTACTGCAGCTGAACGAGAAACTCGAATTAAAAGAAGCAAAACAGCTGGAGTCATTAGAAGTGTCCGAAAGGAAACTCAAGTCGCATACGATTGATGAGAGTATTACCCCTGTCTTCATAGATACCCCATCAGATAGTTCAAATTCGGAGAATGATAAAGAATATAATATAATTATGAGAACGAATACAAACTCCATGGATGGATGCGATGGTCCCCCGCCTACTGATGTACAGCCAATGCCTCCGGCGATGCCGATGTTCCCACCATTCACGCCCATGTGGAGAGGGCAGCCCAGACCGAGAGTCAAAGTGTACGGACCGCGAAGATTCCGTGATCCAGCACAACAGTTCTTTAGAGGAAAATTCGACAAGAGAGCGATGAGACCACCGTTCGACCCGCGGCTACCGTTGCCCTTACCGACGCCTACACCTGGCATGTGCCAGGGAGAGAGCCCTCTCCAGCCGTACGAAAGGACCGTGTCCCCACCTCCTCTCGGCGCGCCAGGAATTGCCATCCCACCTACAGATTTTAGAATTTTAGAGTACATAGATCGAGATCCTGTTAAAACGATCCAAATCGATGGAGTGCCGAAGGAGATTAGATTTTACGGAGAAACAGCTGTCATCATGATGGACTGGGATGATCCAAGAGAGATCAAATTCTTGCCCGGCTGCAGAAGAGTTAGATTCGATAATAAAGATTCCGTAGTATTATCTTTCAATGAAGGCTACAAACAAGTGGAGATCGACGGTCAAGTGTTTAACATTCGGTTTGGGGCGCCGACGAGGGAGCTTTATATAAATGGCAGATGGTACGAATGCATTTTTGGTGGTCAGCCTATCGGCACGATCATCGATGGGAGACCTAGATTAGTGCAATTAGAAGGGCCGCCTCCCCAAGTTGATATCGGAAAGACTAAACGCACAGATCTAGTTGCTGGCAAAATCAATGTCATCGTGAACGCCACACAGAGGTGTCCCGTCTACCTCGATGCTAAAGTACAAAAGTTCTTCATCAATAGACACGTGCTCACGATACGCTTCGTGGATTCGTTGAGAACTGTTCTAATAAACGAGCAACCGTTTAAACTGGAGTTTGACGGTTTACCTAAACCGATATCGATAGGCAATGAAAAGTTTTTCATTAGATTTTCGGCACTCCCTAGTCACATAAAGGCTGGTCACATAGAAATAGCAAATATGGAAGGCACGAGAATGGAACCGGTCATGCAGCCGACACTCGGCTTTAACAGTGACAGTAATACACAAGGTAGGTTTTTTTTTTTAATTATTTTAGAATTGTCATTACTGTAGATTGCTTTTTGAAATGATGTGTATTCAACATGGATGATGAATCATTGAAATGATGATGAAATGCATTGTTTATTAATTTAATAAAAGTAAGTACATTTTCAGGTGTAGCCATGTTAGCGAGTGCCACGCCTTCAACAATGGCACCCGCGTCTGCTTCAGAGTACAGTTCAGCTGAGCCGATGTTTCCAATCCTGGCCAACATAAATGTGAATGATTTGTTTGCTAAACTGGTTGCCAGTGGCATAGTGCAGGTCAACAACGAATTAAAAACTGAACCCAAGGAAGAGGTGAAAGAAGAGGCCAAACCGAAGGCAAAAGAGGATAAGAATGTCATCCATAAAGTTGATTTGCTGAGAAGTGAAACTTTGAAAGTGTAAGTAACATTTTATATAATCAACTTTCTCGTTTTCCATAATGTAAAGTATCCTAGATTTAGGGCCTGGCAATTGGTGTTATCAGTTAATTTAAAAATTTTCGCGTTGTTTACATATATTTTAAATATGCAATCGGGATTTAACGCGATAAAAAACCTTTGCAGGTAAATAGTACATCTGCTTTTTTATTACAGATATTGTATTACGTGTATTGCACCACGACTGCTTTAAGTCCCGATTATGTATTTAAAATTGGTGTGTTTATATAGCATTTAATATTAGTTTGTACTTTATATCTCTATCTTACTGTCGTTAATAATCGTTAGCTGAATTAAAATCAGAAAATTTTACAAATTTTCTATAAAATATTAAACCCATTAGTTCTTTTGTCCGTAAATAGGGAAAGTAGATAAAATTTTGAAAAATCTTTTCAGGGTACAATAATATAATAGGGTAATAGGACTTATAAAACTGTTCTTTTGCAGTTTTGCCGGCGTATATTAAATTTTAAAATATAAAATTTTATTTAACTATATACAGTGAACTCTCTATATTAGCGACTCATTTGAACTACTTTCAATAAAAAAATCTTATTGAGAAAATTTGCTTATAGGGGAAAAAAGAGTATAAAAAATACTTACCGTCTGGAAAATATTTTTCCTTACTTATTTTACTAACTAAGCTGAGTAGAATAAATAAAATTTAAAGAAATTGCTTATTGAGAGGTTGCTTATACCATATAGAGCGTTCACTGCACTAAATTTGAATGAAATCCATCGAGTCATTTAAGTGTGATCGCACGCATCTACGGTTAGCGTGGTCGCAATCTGTTGTGTTCATAATATGATGAGGTTAATGTGTTAATGTGCGTGGGCACGTGCAGGAAGCAGGAGGCGCTGGTGGCACGGCTGTACGGCGGCATGCAGTGCTCGGGCTGCGACGTGCGCTTCCCGCCCGAGCACACGGTGCGCTACTCGCAGCACCTCGACTGGCACTTTCGCCAGAACCGCCGCGACCGCGACTCGGTCCGCCGCGCGCATTCGCGCCCCTGGTACTACGACCACTCCGACTGGCTGCACTATGAGGAGATCGAGGACCTCGAGAACAGAGGTGAGAGGACGCCTCCGGTCTCTCTTCACGCATGGCTTTACTCTTCGTCTTCCACGCTACTGTACCCTTTGCTACTTGTTTACACTTTATACAAGTTTGTTGGCAAATGTCATGCAACCAATTTTTAGACTATTACTTATAATATGCTCATAGTCTATTACTTACTTGATTTTTTTTATATCACCGAGGTGGTAAACGAGCACTTTCCAGTTCGATCTGGAGCAATTACTATGGATGCTTGGTAACAGCAGGGGTATAGCAAACGCTTTGTCCGTCCTGAATTAAGCCTGTCTTTATGGAAAATATTTGCAGGGATTTTGTACCACAGAATATATTAGTACATCTCAGAATATACTGACGTTCATGGTATATGCATTGCCACATCTATAGTAATATTGTTTTATAATTTAGAAAAAAACTGGTTCGAGACTGTTGGGGCGGCGGGCAAGGGTATGGCGGAGGCGGCGGCCGAGGCGCCCAGCGTGGCGGCCGGCGCGCTGATTAACCAGCACTGCGCCGTCTGCGGCGACCGCTTCCAGCAGTTCTACAACGAGGACAAGGAGGAATGGCATCTGAGGAACTCGCTGCGCCACGACGACGACTTTTACCACCCGCAGTGCTTCGACGACTACAAGGTTGGCCTCTCAAACCAATACCTGATCTGATCATGTCTAATAGTACCTAATATAAATAAAAAATCAATTAAATAATATTTTTTATGTCGAATGTTTCTATTATTTGCGATTTTAAAATAGCATAACTATGAGTTTATTTAAATTGGGATAACAATTCAATTCAATTCAATTCAATTTATTCGCTACAATACTACATTTTATTGAATATTTTTTATAAGTAACAAGAAGGTATCATAAAATATAACAAAACAAAAAAAAAATATAAAGCAACAAAATAACCAATAATAATTGTAAAATATAACATTACAATTAATTTGCAAATATCATTAATAACGCATAAAATATTAAAAGAGTATTTTAAAATTCATCAATTGAGTAGATGCATCTTTCCAACAAAAGAGTATAAAGTTTCATTTTCAAAATTCTCCAATCTTCAAAAGTTTTTAATGCATTGGATAATTTATTATGCAATTTAACCGCTTAAAATTTTGCGCCATGTTTTACGCCATGTATTGGATATCATATGCAACATCTTTTCGTCTAGAAATCATGCGTATATTTCTCTCTTCTCTAGTTTCTTTTGGCAGACGATAGACATCAATCAGGATACTTAAAAAGTATTTATCTACTAAACAATCGTACGCATACTTGTTATTTGTCATTATCTTTGGCCATTATTAATGAGGATGTCTTTACATATATATGATTTTGTGTACAGGCATCGTTAACCAAAGAGAAGCCACTCCGAGAGTCGTCCATCGAGATCGAGGACGTGGACGACGTAATGTCGCAGTCGGACAACGAGTCTGTTGTGGAGGTCGTTAAAACTGACGACAGGAACACTCAACCCGTAGAGGTGAGTTTATAATTAACATAAATATGATTCCATAGATACAACAGAGTAGGTGAAAGTGGTTACCCTTCGTACACATTTTAGATTTTATTATTTTACTTTATGATTAATTGTCAAATTCATCTAGTTTATGTACCTAAGTGTAACAAATATATTGCAGATTGTTATAAAAAAGTTACCATAACATAACAATTATCTTTGGTTTTCCCTGGTGTCTCATCACTTTCTATTTTCTTCGCTTTCTTTTTCTTTTGTTTTAAATTAATTTCCTTCAAACTACGTTTTACTACTTTGGCTCTGGTTTTCCTTTCCGGTTCTATTTTTTCTTTCAATTCTTTCTGTCTATGTCTCTCTTGCAGTTCAGTTTTTTCAGGTGTATCTGTATACATACGAGATTACTCTTCTTCCAAGGAGAAGAATATAAGACTCGTAAATTTTGAATGAAAAGTTCGTGAGGGTTCATAGGCGTTAGAGTCTCTTGATTTTATTTTCTTGACTCTGCTTTTCAACATCAGCAACGATCTAACGCCTGAAAAAAAGGGGTATGTCTCCATACCCTGTAACTTTAGCAAGGGTAGATCCCTAATATTGCGTACGGCAAAAAATTCACCTTGTACATTTATTGTGTTCAGATCGTGGAGGATAATGATGAGACGGTGGCTATGCCCCAGCCGATGGAGGACGACGGCGACGAGGATGACGTAGTGTTCGAGGCCCAGTCGGTGGAGGACGACGCCGACACCGACGACGAGACGGTCGAGAGCGCCGTCAGCGGGACGTACTCGCCGCCATCGACATGGCCAACGTACGCGTCAAGATTGAACCTATCGACCCTGGTCAGTTGCTATTGCTTTACTATACAGCTCTCACACTTATTGTAACGTAGCTACGTCACCTTGCTATTGTTGCGGTTTCGATTCGCGTGCAATACAAACACTTATTCTGAATTGATGTTGAATCATGAAAAGAAAGAAAACTATTGGTCATAATAAATGAACTAAAACATACTTCAGTCCATGTAGCATACTACATATGATGTTATTTAAACTAAATAGCTAATGTGACAAGAAGTTAATTTTTACACACGCAAACCTGTCTTGTTTCATCCAGTTTCATAAATTATCATTGCAAGAGATTTCCATCAACATTACCCAAGTGATGATATATAGTCCTCTAATTTTAAACCTCTTCCACAGACGATGAGCCAATAATAACAGCAGAGGAGACCATCCCCACCGCAGTCGATACCACACACGTAACAGTGCTGTCCTCTATCGACGGGAACGTGCAACTCGAGGCGATTCCCGCGCCAGTCACCTCGCGCAGCATACGTATAAATATATCTAAGTCGATACCCTCTTTTGTGAGTAATGTACAGGAAAATAAAATGCTCGAAGAGATAAACATGGATGATGAGCCTCTGCCTCCTGGCGAAGAACCACAGTTGGCGTACAAGCTGAAACCGACGCTGGAAGATGTACAATTCAGTAGGCAACCACCCGCGAATAAAGGCAATGAACTGTCCGGACTCTGTTCTATTATGTGAATATGTTGTGATAAACAAGTTTTATTAGCAGTGTGAAATGAACGATTCCCTGGTTATGAAGTGTTCGTGAAACTTTTTCGTTCGTGATTTTGATAATTCTTCTGCATTTGAATAGAGTTCACTCCTGTGTTGGTCCTATATAATTATTAGTGATTTGCTCAACGACTAAAGTAGCCATGTTTCAGAATAAAATGAAAGTTGTAAAATTAAAAACATCAATTTGTTTATAAAAAATCTCCATTGGCGTTATTTTTAATAGAAAAATTATACTCGTATTGAAACGGTCAATTATGTAAGCAGCTCTATAGATGAGGTGTGATGGTCTTTAGGCAAGTTATTGACTAAATTGCATAATAAATATATAGGATATACTAATAATCGTTTGCATCGCATGGTCGTCTCACATATAATTCGCCCTACGATCAGTCCGAGGTGATTAGATGAACTAGGTTTCAACATTTAACAAGTTGCTAACTGTAACTTTGTAACAGTAAACTTTGCACAATGATTTCGAAAATATATATATAATTAGTAACAGTCATACTACTTGAACTGGATCTTATAGAGCACAAGTCTTGCAAATAAAAATTTTACAAAAATGTACTTATCATCCTCTAAATTTAACTTACTATTCAATTATTACTTGCTTTCCTTTAGAGGTTCCTTCTATTTCTTTGTACTTCACATCACTTTGTTTAGTTTAAGAATAAGTATCTCAAATTTGTGTTTAGTTCTAAGTTTGTGTAAATAAATGTTTATATTGTAAAATGAATTTGGTTTTTTTTTTCATTCAAATCTACTAAAATCCTACATATACGAGTAAATAGTAATCCCTCCTATAACACGGTAGATTCGTTCAGGAGTATTCTCGTATAAGGTGCTTGTACAAGTCCGTATAACGCGCTTGTATGATCTCATATAATGCGTTTATACGACCTCGTATAATGAGTTTGTACGACCCCATATAACGCGCTTGTACGATCCCATATAACGCGTTATGTACAAATGATTCACGTTTAACTTTTCTCTTTAAAAGAGATTAAAATTGAATATTAATAAAAAAAACTGTAATGAACGGAATATGTGTGTTTAATTAAAATCAAACTAAGAACATTTTAAATACAAAAATTATGCATATGTAACTAAACAATTTCAAATAAATTTACAGTTTTATTACATATTTATTCGCTGTCGGAACTATCTACCAGAGGGAGACTGTACAAAAGTTCGTGTTTCTACCGTGAAGTAGTTGTGTTTGTGACTGTTTCGGTTTGAAGGGCGAGATATGGCAGTGAATTTACAGGGTACAGAGGAATAATATCTGAGCCCTCAGGAATGGCAATACATAGGGGGGATCATGGACGAAACAGTATACTCTGTTATGTCCATGGTACTGCTCATGTCTATAGGCGACGGTTAACACTTTCCATCAGGTAGGCCGTCAGTTCGTTTGCTATTCTAATTTGCATAAAAAAAATTGAAATGACGTTCCACCAGCTTCTTTTTTAAGTAGAATGTTCAATCGTCGCGTTATATGGGGGAATACCCGTATTATACGAGGGATTGAAATCGCGTAATATGAAAACGTGCTATAAGAGTATCGTGTTATAGGGGAGATTACTGTAATTATAGTTTAATATTATGGAAAATGAAAGAAGAATTTATTTTCAAGAATTTATTAATAAATAATTTTAACTTAATCTAAGTTTGATTACAAATAATTTTCTATATAAGCAATTCACTGTAAAAATAAAAATAATTTTTGGTCTGTCCTGTACCATATATATAAGTAAATTTAATTACTAAATGTTATCTAGTATTTATTTTTAAATGCAAAAAAAGATTTTGTATTCCTCTTTCATGGCTCAGTGATAGGCATTATATTATATGGTGACAGCTTACATTAATTTGTACAAGTTCCTGGGTTCAATTTGGTAGAGTCAATTAAATATTTTTTAATTGATCTGGTTTTCTTATAACTATTCTAAATGGACTATTTGAGATATTTTAAGACAATTTGTAACAATTGATGTTTTCACAATACAATGCACATATCTACATCCATCCATTTGACGGATGATGTTTGAATTAGAATAAAATATTTAATTTATACAACAGTATTTATACATTGATAAATTATCACATGCGATATTCATAGAATATCAGCAATTTTAAAATCTACATTTTGTTTATAAAGAACACAGGGTTTCCCTATTATTTACACAGCGTACTACATACTACAATTATGGGGCCATCTTGGAAAAGGTAGTGTATCTTTAATGTTAGTGATACCACACATAGTCTGTAATAGCCTCTCCAAACCAAGTCCATAACCACCAGTGGGGATGTTACCAAACTTTCTCAACTCTAAATACCAATTTAGTTTGTCTGATGGTAGTTTTGATTTCAATCTGTCATAATCATCCTCTCTGAGACTGCCTCCAACTATTTCGCCTGTTATTGGTGCGAGTAAATCTAATGCCTCGACCTGGAAAAATAATTTTATTGTAGAAATGAACATGATAAAGAGTAAGTCATAGAATACATTACAGCTCTATTGTTGCATTTTATTCAGGCAGTCGAAAAAAGAAAGAATAGAGTAATCAGGCATTTTTCTTGGGCTATAGAAGGGATAAATAAAGAGATAGTTGCTTCATCATCACACTACATTTTTACCTTGGTATTATCATCCTGGCATTCCTTCATATAAAAACTTTTAAGATCTTTAGGCCATCTTACAATAAAAACAGGTGCACCATTGCAGTAATCTACAAGCGCCAACTCTTGTTCTTTATTTAGTCCATTTTCTGTATTAACCACCTTTTTTTTCTTTAAAATATCTTGAGCTTCATCATATGTGAGAGTGGCAAACTTTTTTTGCAACCATGCTGGTGGTTTACTGTTCTCCTTGTCAATCAAAGATAAATCAGCTTCATTTGTATGTCTTGTTTCAATGAAGATATACTTTAATAATTCTTCTATGTGATTTTGTAATTGCTCTAAGCTGTAACAAAAAGCCAACTCAGCTTCTAGCATGTAAAACTCTGATAAATGTAGTCTCGATCTTGCATTCTCAGCTCTGAATGTGGGTCCTAGAGTGTAAACATTGCCCATTCCCCTACAGATAGCTTCTAAATGCAACTGTCCAGATACTGTCAAATATGTTTTTGAGCCGAAATAAACTGTATCTTTATCCTTCCCATCCTGCATCATTGCTTTTATAGTGTCCTCACAGTCTGGCTGCACTTTAAACACTTCACCAGCTCCTTCACAGTCATTTGAAGTTAATATTGGTGTATGCACATTCAAATATTTTTTTGAAGAATAAAAGTCATGGATGTGTTTTGTTACTGAACTACGAACTCTCAATATAGAGGATAAAAAGTTTGTTCTAGAACGTAAATGTATATACTGGCGGATATACTCCGGCGGGTGTGTAGTTCTAGGATTGAATGGGTAACCATCCAAAACAACACAAGGTCCGAGGACCTTTACATTCTCTGCTACGAGTTCTAATTGACCTCTAGGACTTTTAGACAGTTTGCCTCTAATGTGTACAGAGCTGCCGTAAGTGAGTGCGTCTGTTTTCAGTTCTTTAGGAATGATAATTTGCAATTTTTGAGCACATGAACCGTCATTCACATCGGCGAATATAAGCTCTTTTTGAACACGTAGATTTTTAACCCATCCCTGCAAGTATAGTTCAAAAGATTAAGATTAATAAATTCATTTTTATTTATGGACTTATCGCTTAAATTATAATAAAAATATACCCTAACTTCTGCATTTTCTCCGATATTTGCATTCTCTAAAACAGATGCAATTACGCTATATTTCTTTTGGATAGTAAGATTAAAGAAATTTTTAAACTTATAAATAAAACTTTTTTTACACCACATAATTTTGATTTTAAATTATAATAAATATATTTTTTTGATTAGTTTATAACCTATACTTAGTTAGACTTCATTGACGTATATGTATGACATTGTCAATGTCATCAGGAGCAGAGATAATGGAGGTGATTCTGCAAAGACAGAAATTTATACATATAATGTTGTGCTGCAGTATGAAAAACTCTGAAAATGTCTTTTATCTCCTCAGTTAATTTGATTTAAATTATTTATCGTATTCAATCCAGTTACGAATGGTCGTGTATTTACCTAAATATGTACATTTAAAACTAATAAATTTGACATGATCGTTTATAACTATCCTGTTTTAATCTATGGACTTGATAGACGTCACAGATTTGTTCTTTTATCAAGTCAAACTCGGAAGATGTCATAACGTTATGTCAAAGATTCCAGACAAATTATCTTTTTGAAGACTAGGCAGCATGGTCTCCGACCTTAGCCTGTTCCAAACGGAACAAACGTACTAAAAAAAAAAAAAAAAGTTATGTCAAAGAATATGTCATTCATTTCATTTTCATTTAGCAAATCATGAATATTCGTTCTGTCGCTTTGTGAGAGATTTCTTTAAAATATATATTATATTTTTAACTGTGCGTTTAAATAAATATTTATTGGTGTAAGTATCACAATTTTTTGCAAAAACTAGTGTATCTTTGCTTATTTCGGTGTGAATTATGTCAACGTTTGTGATAGCATAAAAGTGTCCGTGTCAAGTAATAATTGATCACAGAAACAGGTTTTCCTCATAAATACGTCCTTCACCACTATAATATTACGCAAAACATTTTCAACTCGAAATCAGAGTTGTTAAATTATAAGTATTTACTACGCGTTTAATGTTACTCGATGGCTATTCATGAATGGCCCAATAATCTACTTTTTTATCGCAAATTATAGAGATACTTTCTACAGTGTTCATCACGCGTAAATGTAGTTTATTAAATTTCACTCTCGTACCCAAAATATGTATTCTCATTTACTTTTTTTATTATCAGTTAACATGACTTTATCTTTTGATAATAGTATTCTCCTACTACATTATCAGACAAAACAGCATTCCTCATGCCATGACTAGATACGTGTATGTGTGACTGATTTAATTTTAATTATGTAGATATAATATTTTTGATTGGATACAAAAACACCTTTTAACAACCCTAATTTGTATTATAAACAATTATAATGCTATACCAATTTTGTAACTGAAACTTGATTTTGTGCAATAATATGTAAAAAAAATCTCTTATTAATAAAATAAGAAATCCTTATGCAATGTTTCATATATTGTATCTGTAACAAAACCAGAGGGAGACTTTGTACAAAAGTCGATTGCTTGGGTACCTCTGTCCCATTCGTGTTTCAACCGTGAAGCAGTTGTGTTTGCATAGCTGTGTTTCGGTTTGAAGGGTGGGATATGGCGTGAATTTACTGGGTACAGAGGAATAACACCTGAGTCCTCAGGAATGGCAACGCATGGGGGGTATCATGGGCGAAACAGTATACTTTGTTATGTCCATGGTACTGCTCATGTCTATAGGCGACGGTTACCACTTTCCATCAGGTGGGCCGTCAGCTTGTTTGCCATTCTAAGTTCTATAAAAAAAAAAAAAAAAAAATAAAAAAAAAAAATAAATTTATAGATTTATTGATAGCAGTTTTTGTTATAATAGTTACTTTTAGTAATTTCTTCCATTAACTTCAATGGGCCATTGTTCAATAAGGTTTTGTTAAACATTTTTAATTATTTAAAGGCACTTGGCAATTGACTATAATATTATTAAAATATGAAAATAATGTAAATGTCTTTTATATTATGATTAGAAAATGGCAGACCAAGGTTCACAAGGTGGAGACACAGGCCCACCGAAGGGCATCCCTGCATTGAAGGCACATGTGGCAGCCAACAAGGTGGATGTGGCACTCTGGGGTATTCGTGTGCTCACCGTACTGTTCACAATAGGATATGTCTTACCAATAATTAACAAGTAAGTTACAAATTTTGTTTTATCACAATTGGTTTTTTTTTTATTTTTTTATTATCACTTTATCAACTTCTTATTGGAACTATATATACTACTATATACTTTTAAATGTAGACTTAATGCTTAATAGCATTATTCCTCCAGTTAACCTTAGGGGGAAACAGATATCTATGCAGTATTAAGGTTATGTAGATGTATTTAGGTACTTGTATTTATAGTATAAATATACTACAAATTATATCAAACTTTCAGATGATTTATAATCAGTTAGATAGGATTTTTTTTAATAGGATATTATTACATCGACATAACAAATCTAATTCAAATCTGTCTAACCATTTATATACATTCACAATTAAATGTAAGAAGTAGTAAGACGGAAATGTTTAAAACACTTACCTCATTTTTCACAATATAATTTATCTTTGTAAATCATTCTAGTTTATATACATACACAACTGATATATTAATATTCCTATAGAAACATGCCTATTATAAATATATATATATATATTAACAGAGATTTAAAAAGGCGAACTGTTGAGTTTCTTGCGGGCTCTTCTCAACAGATAACAACTGTCCTAACTCCGCAGTAGATTAAAAAAAAATATGATTTAAAAGTGCTTGTAAATAAATCTTATTTGAATAAAGATAATTTGAATTTAAATATATATTTATTATGGTATTTGTTTAATTACATATATGCTAGTTTTATCCACAATTTGATGTGACCGGAATATATAAAAGCAATCTGCTCTTCACCATTTTAAATATTATGTGTATGGTAAATTTTATGAATTATGAGTGACACTAATAACAAACTCTTTCACATTTATAATATTAATAAAGATTGACAGCATCAAAACCACTTATTAAACAATGATACATTTAGAACTCTTCAACTATACACATTCAATCAGCATTTTGTTAATTTACGATTCAAAATTTCAGGGGAGATTATTACCATGTTAGATTTTTGTAATAGGTAATAATAGAATGGTGACCCTGCCTGCACTATTGGCATGGCACCAGTGAGTAATGATAGGTGAGGATAAAAGCAGGGGGCCTACCATGAAATGAACTTCCGAATTTTCGGGCTCAATTTCGTGTTTTTGTTCATACCTAAATCGACCCAGTAAATGGAGCTTAACGTTTCTATCCTAATAGTACAGAGGAACGATATTTTAATATTTTTAATAATTTTAAACGGCATGTATTACGTAATTTTAACATCAAATTTCTATTTCGTTCGTCCCCGAAATTTCGGAAAATATTTCATGGTAGGCCCTCAGGTCAGTTGGCCTAAAGTTATAAATTTAACAAGAATTAACCACAATAGTTTTCAGAGGGAACTGCATCTGACTAACAATCTCTTTTGTCCCTGCCATATTTGTTTTTTTTTAATTGGTGGTAATGGAATGGTTATCTCGTCTGCACTAACGGTATACGCTGGTGGGGCATCAGTGAGTGATGATAGGTGAGGATGAAACAGGTCAGTTAGCCCATTGTGAAGAATTCAACAAGAATTAGTTATGATGGTTACCAGGGGAAACAATGTAGAGATCGACCTGATAGGGTATATTGCTAGCAATGGAGCTGTCAAACCCCATTACTAACAATCCCTTCCACCCGCCATATTTGGTTAGGTTTGCTTTTTTTTTGATGGGTGAAAATGGTATGGTAACCCAGCCTGCACTAACGAGATACGCTGTTAGAGCACCAGTGAAGGGTGGTAGATGAGAATGAAAACAGGCCAGTTAGCCCGTCATGATGAATTCATTAGGAATTAACCATGATAGTTTCCAGGGGGAACCGCGAGGAGGTCGACCTGGTTGGGTATATTGGTAGCAATGGGATTCTCAGTCTCCATTACTAACAATCCCTTTCCCCCTGGTTAGGTTTGTTAATGACATTTACCATTATTAAGTCACGTAGCATTATAAAAAATACTAATAGAATTATATATTGTCAGATAGTACTCGCGACATTTATTTAGCAAGTCCGTAAACAATCACAAATTCATAACACTCTCATTAGTAATTGTAATTATTTTATATATCGATTCTGCTAGCAGAGACAGTTGGATAATCGATATGTTTATATAAACTGTCAATAAATATGTGTCACGGCCTCACGATTGACAAGTGGCAATTAAACTTTCTTATAAGGGTAAATTGTATATTGTAATGTAAATAGGACTCTATTTTCCGCGCTTAGCCTCTCATTTGGGCCGTTGTGCGTATGAGTCGTTGCTAGTACAGCCAACCCAGCTCCGTCCAGAAGCACAGAAGCTTCGTATGATCTTCACAGGCCTCACCGAGCGACCTCACCGTTCCGAGGATTTCTAAACGTTGATGGGCCACAGCTTCACATTCCAGGATTACGTGAGCAGCCGTTTCTTCGGTGTCGAAACAGCCTCGACATAGAGGGCTGTCTGAAGGGTGGGATATGGCGTGAATTTACAGGGTACAGAGGAATAACACTCGAGTCCTCAGGAATGGCAACGCATGGGGGGTATCATGGGCGAAACAGTATACTCTGTTATGTCCATGGTACTGCTCATGTCTATAGACGACAGTTACCACTTTCCATCAGGTGGGCCGTCAGCTTGGTTGCCATTCTAAGTTGTATAAAAAAAAAACATGCTGTAATATATAGTTTGATCATAATGAATTTTTATCACTTATTTTTATTGACATATGTGTAGGATATATAAGGTGTTCACCTGCGTTGAGTTATCTATAAGAGATAAGTTTATCAAAATTAAATAAATAATTAGTTAGATATTGACGCTAAGTGAAATTTAATAATCATTTGTTTATATTATTATTGTTTATATAGTATTTTTCTGCTTTATTTTCTTCTATTTTATTGTCATTATATTTATGGTTGTACATTATACATATATGTATTTGTGTATATAGTATATGTATGTATATAATATGTAGTAACAATATTTATACATATTTTAGTAGTAAATGTACCGCCTACTTAATTTTCTGCTCGCCTCATGGTTGACTGGTAGAGAACACCATTAGGTGTTAAGTTCGCCATATATACACTTACTTCTATTATATAATTGTGTATTGAACATACATATATACATATCTGTCACGCCTGTCTCCCATTAGGGTAGGCAGAAACAATGGAACGTCAAATGCTTCGATTAAAACAGACCTCTTTCGCTTCTTCCACATTATTGTGCATTGAAGTTTAAATGAATAAATAAAATAGATATTTATTTATTTATACTTTATTATACACAAATAATTACAAACATAAAATATATATAAAATAAAGATGTACAACAGGCGAGCTTAACTCTGTAAGAGTTCTCTTCCAGCAAACCCTGAGTGGAAAGGAGTATTAATTACCAGCGGGCAGTGTGCGTACAATAATAGGAGGGAACAGTATAGTTGTTTCTGTTAAGAAATAATAAATATGTTGACATATATATAAAGTAACTCATATAATTAAAATCAAAATACATACATATCATACATCATTGGTGTAGTGCTGTGCTGTGTATTATGTATATATGTTATAGCTTGGTTCGATCCGTACATTGAACATTCAACGCGCTGCCCTCAATTCCGATCGATCATATATTTCTTTATACTTAATTTAGACGCGATACACGTGTTAACAAGCGCTAGATTCGTACATTACCTATAATGATGATGACCTCGATGATGTAGCAGCTTCAACATTGGTTGGGAGTTCGGTTCTTATATTTTTTTTTATGTGTGATAATGGAATGGTAACCCCGTCTGCGCTATCGTTATACGTTGGCGGGGTACCAGTGTGGGATGATAGGTGAGGATGAAAAAGCAGGTCAGTTAGCCTATAGTGACGAATTCCATCAGAATTAATCACGATAGTTTCCAGGGGGAACCGCATGGAGGTCCACCTGATAGGGTGTATTCCTAGTTATAGGGAAATAAAATCCCATTACTACACAATCCCTTCTCCCCTCGGTTCCTGTATTGTACTAGCATTTGTATTTATTATATCTATTTTTACTTTTAATTTCTTATACTTTTCTTATAAAACACAAAGCTCTGTCTACTTTGAAACTAGACGGCGTTGACTTCATCAAGGTTATTTTATTTCCTCTTTAACAAAGAATAGGATTATAGTAATAAGTACATATTGTAGTAATAAATAAATACCACTAAATACAAGGGCCTCTAGTCTCTTCGCTTACCACTTTCCATCAGGTAGGCCGTCAGCCTGTTTGTTATTCTAAGTTGCATAAAAATATTAAGCTATGTGCCCTACATAAATGATATTTTTTTTATAACATATCTACGATTTAAGTCCGCCAAATGTACACACAATGATATTGTTGTCCCCAGTCCAGTGTCAGCGTTCTACAAGGCGCTGCTTGCGAACGCAGCAACGTCCGCGCTGAGGCTGCACCAGAGGATCCCGGCGCGCGACATCTCGCTGTCCCGGGAGTTCCTCGCCAGGTTCTTCCTGGAGGATAGCGCGCACTACCTTTTCTACTCCCTAATCTTTATGAACGTCACGCCCAATCTTTGTATCCTTTTATACAAAAATACGTACGGGAAAAGAAATTTCTATATATATATAATAGTTAATAGTAATAAATTGAAGAAGGAGATAGAGGAATTTCTGGAGGATGATATACTGTGTCGCCCTTGAATAAATGAGAAAACTAAAGTCAATGGTGAGTAATAAATATAAGTATGGAAAAATTGTGTCATACTCCAGTGGAATGATAAACAAGGGGTCTACCGTGAAATGAAATTGCGTATTTTCGGTCTCAATTTCGTGTATTCGTTCGAACTGAAATCGGCTCAGTTAATGGAGCTTAACATTTCGTTCATCATAAATCCTACCATATAAGTCTAGGTATTTGACATATTTAAATGGTATGTATTATATTTAATTTTAACATCAAATTTGTGTTTTGTTCAATCCCGAAATTTCGGAAAATATTTCAAGGTGTGCCCTCTGGTTAGGATGACCTTTTGACTACTTGACTCCAATTGGCATTACTGTTTTGTTTTTTAATCTCCGTGATAAGTAATATTAAATTATTATAATTTCTGTTATATTCTAACTATTTTGAAAAGCTTACATCTGATACATTTAATCTCTACAGATTGACTGATATAGTCACCCAATTGAACTAAAGTTTAAATTAAAAAAACAAATACACAAAAAATTCTGGGTATTAATTGTTCCTATTTTTTTTTTTTAATTCTTTTCAATATCTATATGAATCAATTAAATACTGTTCATTGGTAAAACGCATTACTTGAGAATGGCACGAATGATATAGTTACACTTTGTATTAAAATTTTCACAGAAAAAAAAAATGAAATTTGACCAACGTTGCAACAAGTAGTAAATAAATTAATTTTCATAATTTTGTACGTGACATTATGCGTAAAAAAATATAAATAATGTATTATTTATTTAAATTTAATATTCTTAATGTGGTTTCCTTGACTCCAACACAGTGATATTGGTGCCCATATTTTTATTCGCCATGCTGCACGCCGCCTCGTACTCCTTGACTCTTCTAGACGTAAGTGTTCAATTTTATTCATCATCATCATCATCTGAGCCATTATCTCCACTCCTGAGCATAGGCCTCCCCCATAGACTGCTGTAAGCAAACGGTCCTGAGCCACCTGCATTTATTAAGTCCCTGCAATACATTTGATGCATGCAGTTAGAAATGCTTATGATATGCCATTTTATAATTAATATAGCAGTCGGAGATTGATGGCTAATATGGAAGGTTGAGGAACTTCTGGTAGTAATAGTGGTGGTCAGTCTTCGAGTGTTGGCAGTCAAGCACATACAGAGGGAGACTTTGTACAAAAGTCGCTTGCTTGTGTACTTCTGTCCCATTCGTGTTTCAACCGTGAAGCAGTTGTGTTCGCATGGCTGTGTTTCGGTTTGAAGGGTGAATTTACTGGGTACAGAGGAATAACGCCTGAGTCCTCAGGAATGGCAACGCAAGGGGGGTATCATTGGCGAAACAGTATACTCTGTTATGTCCATGGTACTGCTCATGCGTATAGGCGACGGTTACTACTTACCATCAGGTGGGCCGTCAGCTTGTTTGCCATTCTAAGTTGTATAAAAAAAAAATACTAATACCATAAATAGTAGAGGAATTAAACAAAATAACTCTAATCAAATAACCAGCGATAGAAATGAGACAAACTTTTATGCATATAATTGTTATAAAATTAAAATAATACGCGGTGATTGAATCCGCGACCATAAGAATGTGAGGCGGTGTGTCAAACCGCTGCACCAACAAAACAGTTTAACAAGGTATCGCGTGACATAAGTACAGGCGAGTGATGATTTCTTTTTGAAAGTCGCTTAAAACAAAACGCGGCCATACATTTTATGTAATAAAGAAACAAGAACCATCGAATAATCATGACTGTTAAGGCTCGATGTCAGCGGATCTAGCATGAAATGATATTCCGAATTTTCGGACTCAATTTCGTGTTTTTGTTTATACCAAAATCGGAACAATAAATGGAGTTTAACATTTCGCTCGTCATACGTCCTATCATAAAAGTCCAAAGGAACGATATTTCAACATTTTTAATATTTCCAAACGGCGTGTATTATGTAGTTTTAATATAAATTTTTTGTTTCGTTCGCACCCGAAGTTTCGGAAAACATTTCATGGTAGGCCCTCAGATTGGATATGTTTTTCGCATAATGAGGTTCTGAATTCAGTTTTATTTTGTTTTACATTTGTTAAACCTTTAAAAAAATAAAAAAAGAAGAAATGTGAAATTCTCCAATATATATATATATATATATATATATATATATATATATATATATATATATATGTTAACTATAATTATATATTATTATGTTATACAGTGCTATTAAAGGACATTGTTCTTTTTTTTATACAATTTTTTTCCTAGAAAAAGAACATTTTTTTTGAGACCCTATTAATGAATACTGAAATCAAATAAAAATATAATACTAAATTACTAAGATAAAATATCAATTTATAATAGCAATATACATATATTTATCTACTATACAATTATGGGGGGAAAGGGATTGTTAGTAATAGAGACTGAGAATCCCATTGCTAGCAATATACCCGACCAGGTCGACCTTCTCGCGGTTCCCCCTGGAAACTATCATGGTTAATTCCTGATGAATTCATCATGATGGGCTAACTGGCCTGTTTTCATTCTCATCTATCACCCTTTACTGGTTACCATATCATTTTCACCCATCAAAAAAATATACATACATACACACGCGCATACATACTCATAAACACATACCACAGTGCATATATTACGTTTTTATATAATATCCATTTATGTAACAATAAAAGAGACTATCTACTATTATCTAGTCAACTTTATAAAATTTTCACATATTCTTAACAATTCCTTTTTTTTATACAACTTAGAATAGCAAACAAGCTGACGGCCCACCTGATGGAAAATCGTAACCGTCGCCTATAGACATAAGCAGTGCCATGGACTTAACAGAGTATACAGTTTCGCCCATGATACCCCCCATGCGTTGCCATTCCTGAGGACTCGGGTATTATTTCTCTGTACCCAGTAAATTCACGCCATATCTCACCCTTCAAACCGAAACACTGCCATGCAAACACAACTGTTTCACGGTTGAAACACGAATGGGACAGAGGTACCCAAGCAAACGATTTTTGTACAAAGTCTCCCTCTGGTGCTATAAACATTCTCAAAATAGGTCGATTAGACTATTATTTAAACCAATCTAATCTAGGATTAAATGTTAAATCTAGTAATAATAAATATATTGTATGATAAAAATAGACTTTACTAATACTTTCTAAAACATGTGTCCACGCTGTCGATACCGTGGCGCTTGATCTCACCGTACCGTGTACAAATATTGCATTACACTCGCATGTCACCAGCACTTTCTCTCCAGTTGATATGTATGCACGAGTATGTCTTCTCCGTAATGTAACGCGTGCTCGAAACGATCAGTCTCTCGATGAGAAGGCAGAGAAGCGCGAAATCATTATTGTAAGACGAAATTTTTTATGTCTACCTTAATTTCCAAATATATTTTTTCCAAATGAATACGATTCCCATCACTTTGACCCGATAAATAAATAATACAGTAATTATTACAATAATTAACGTAACACATTTTCTAATACTGATTTCAGTATTCATTAATAGGGTCTCAAAAAATATGTTTTTTTTTTTTTTTTCTAGGAAAAAAATTGTATTAAAAAAAAGAACAATGTCTTTTAACTGTATAACATAATAATATGTAATTATATATATATATATATATATATATATATATATATATATATATATATATATATATATATATTTTCACCCATCAAAAAAACTATACAATTATATAGATACCTATATATATATATATATATATATATATATATATATATATATATATATATATATATATATATATATATATATATATATATATAGTATATAATCTAAAATCACAAAATAATTCAAATTAAAATATGGTGTGGTGAAGAAACAAAGAAAGTTAATGAATACCACTGTAGTAAATATTATTTTAATTAGAACTGTTTTATAACATATCGTTACTATATCAGATAAAGTGTGAAGATAGAAACAAACATGTTATCAATCAGTATTAACTTATCTACCGTTAACTATCCACTACATCATAATCCTCCACCGTGCTGGGAGGGGGGAGGGGGAGTAGTTTTATTTTATTTTTTTAATGGATGATAATGGTTATGGTAACCCCGTCTGCAGGGGGGAAAAGTGATTATTAGTAGCTAGCTACCCGCCTCGGCTTCGCATAAGTGCAATGCTGATACCTAGCTACTACAGAATGTCCTTATAAACAACGTTTACAGCTTTTTCGTCATCACGCGCCGCCGCACCGCTATGTCCATGCATTTTAAATCTATAATATCTAAAGAAATATTCATTTAAATTAAATGTTGTAAAGGGATATATTATCTAAATTAAACGGACAATGTATTTAAGGTACTTAATTGGACAAAAATTAATGCTGTATTGTTAAAAATCACTTCGTAAATAAGCCATTTTTTCCTGTAAAATGTAAAGGATAAAAAATGGTTATTGTGGGTTATCCTTAAGAGATAGACATATACCGTCGCGAACTTTATTCTTGACCTTTTTAAGGTGTACAATACTGTAGTAGATTATTTTAATTTTTCTCGTGGGGTTCAGCCAGCGTTTGCAATGTAAGCGCAAAAAGTGTTTATTTACGACATCACATTAGAACCCTCTAAATTTATCAGTGTTTCTCTGTAATATTATGCATGTATTATACATATAAACCTTCCTCTTGAATCACTCTATCTATTTAAAAAAAACCGCTTAAAAATTCGTTGCGTAGTTTTAAAGATTTAAGCATACATAGGGACGGACAGACAGCGACAGCGACTTTGTTTTATACTATGTAGTGATGAGATCTAATACCCCCATTTCTAGCAATATACCCTCTCAGGTCGATCTCCACGCGGTTCCCCCTGGAAACCATCATGGTTAATTCTTATCAAATTCATCATGGTGGGCCAACTGACCTGCATTCATTCTCACCTATCATCTACCACTGATTCCTCGTCGGTGTATACCGATAGCGCGGGCGGGGTTACCATTCAATTTTCACTCATTAAAAGAAACCCCGGTTGTGTTAACGGCGGCTGGCGGCTGGCGGGGCACCAGTGAAGGATGATAGGTGAGAACGAAAAGGCAGGTTAGTTAGCCCATCGTGATGAATACACCTGGAATTTAGCACGATAGTTTCTAAATGTGGAAGTCAACCTGACAGTGTATATTGCTAGTAATGGGACTGGTAGTCCGCATTACAAACGTAGTAGTTGCCACGCTTGGCAGGCGCGTTGGCAACCGCAGTTTGGCTTTTGACGATGTTTTAAGAGGGGAGTTGCTGCTCATCTGTCTGTCTTTAAATTCCCTTAATCGCTTCTTACGACACATCGAGAATTTTACTTTAATAATTAACAATCGTTAATTCTAAACTAGAAGTGCATAACAAATTATTACGAAATAAATATTAATGAAAAATCCATTGTTCTATTCATTATTGGCATTGATTTAATATTGTTTGTGTAATTACGGGGAAAAAATTGATTTACATTCACTTGCCACTTGTCATTTTGTAATACGTCATTTAGTATAAGTAAACAATGGGCGAACTGGTCCCCACAAGCAGCATCCGTTCACGAGTATGACACATGATACAATTACAATTTGCATGGCTGTGTTTCGGTTTGAAAGGTGGGATATGGCAGTGAATTTACAGGGTACAGAGGAATAACACCTGAGTCCTCAGGAATGGCAACGCATGGGGGGTATCATGGGCGAAACAGTATACTATGTTATGTCCATGTTACTGCTCATGTCTATAGGCGACGGTTACCACTTTCCATCAGGTGGGCCGTCAGCTTGTTTGCCATTCTAAGTTGTATAAAAAAAAGGCTTTCCCCTCAACCATATTTTAGGGAACTCAACAACCCGCTCCACGTTAGGTGGCTGCTTGAAGCCTAGTGTTAACCTTTCGGCATTAGCGAGGAAGAGATTGTTAGTAATGGGATTTAGTAGCCGCATTGCTAGCAACAGTGCGTACTCAGGTCGACCTCCTCGCGGTACCCTCTGGAAACGACCGTGCTCAGTTCCAAGTGAATTCATCACGATGGATCAACTGACCTGCCTTTTCATCTTCACCTATAATCCCTCACTGGTGCCCCGCGAGCGTATACCGTTAGTGCAGACGGAGTTACCATTCCATTATCATTCATATCAGTGGTTGTCTTAAGAGGCGACTAAGGGAATCATCATCGAAAGAACAACTACGGTTGCCAACCCTTCTGCCAAGCACGGCAACTACAACCCTTGGGGGGAGAGATTCTTAATAATGCGGACTACCAGTCCCATTGGTAGCAATATACCTTGTCAGGTCGACCTCCACGTGGTCACGTGAAACCATCGTGCTGAATTCCAAGTCTATTCATAACGATGCATGATGGATGATAGGTGAGGATGATAAGGTAGGTCAGTTACTGCCTTTTCATCTTCACCTATCATCTCTCACTGGTGCCTCGTCAGCCATTCATTTAAAAATAACCGTTTGGTGCCCCAACTGTGAATTTCGCATTCAGGACCTCGTGACTATCTTCAAATGATTTTGATGATGAATTAAGAATTAACAGAATTTGTCATTGTGCCTCCAACTAAATTGTTTATAATTACTCCTCTCTGTCCAAAGGTTGCCTGGAAGAGATCGCTTTTAGCGATAAGGTCGCCCATTGTTTTCTCACTGTGATTATTTCTTGTAATTGTTTATATTTTTTTTTTATACAACTTAGAATGGCAAACAATCTGACGGCCCACCTGATGGAAAGTGGTAACCGTCGCCTATAGGCATGATCAGTACCATGGACATAACAGTATACTGTTTCGCCCATGATACCCCCCATGCGTTGCCGTTCCTGAGGATTCAGGTGTTATTCCTCTGTACCCAGTAAATTCACGCCATATCCCACCCTTCAAACCGAAACACAGCCATGCAAACACAACTGCTTTACAATTGAAACACGAATGAGACAGAGGTACCCAAGCAATCGACTTTTGTACAAAATCTCCCTCTGGTAAAATAATTTAATAATAATTTTACTATTGTAATCTTTTGGAGGAAACGATAAAGAGTATCTATCTATCTATTTATCTATTCTCTATATCCTGTATGTATGAGTATGGTGCAATGTAGGTTATGTGCCGTTACAGACGCTGGGCCAGAACTCGATGTGGGTGGCGCGGCTGCTCATCTCGCTGGTGGAGTTCCAGTCGCGGAACATCCTGCGCGTGGCCGCGCTCGCTGAGATCGTCGTGTTCCCGCTCGTCGCACTCATGGCGCTCTTGTTAGTATTCGACTACATTGGACCATTTACATTTACATCTAAATGGAGTATTCAATGTGAAAAAATGGTCCTAAAAGCAGACTGTTATACACGTCATTTCTTCGTACCATGGGTTTGAATGTTAAATTTTGAGTTAACAAGTTAGTTAACACACAAAAAATTTTACTTATTTTATTTAAATTATTTATATATATAATATATACACAAATAAATAAAAGTTGATACAAGTCACCTTACAAAATGAATACATTTTTTAAAACAAAGTTAAACTCGTAAACCCATATTTAATAGATTAGGCTGTTTTTGTTGAAGCAGTTGCAGGGAAAACTCTGTTTAGATGTAATTGATATTAATATATTATAACACACGTATCACAACGTGTATCATAACACGTAACGCAACGTGTATCACAACACAAACAAGACTTGTAACACCGTGTCAACATGCACTTAAAGTGCAATGTAATTGTTGATTTTATTTGACGATATTCAATATGTACCTACAAATATTTATTGGTTTCGTTTGAAATAGTTTTTTTTTTTTTTTTTTTATTCTATAATCTTTATTTAAACTTAAATTTGTATCCTTATGTGAATAATTAATTAGATTTGCAAGTCTACAATTTTAAGGCAATTAAACAGATGCCAAAAAGTTCTGTCACATGGCCCTTGGAATGTCAAATGTCTGTTTAACCATTTAATGCTTATTTATAATGGTTTTTCTGTAAAATGAGGTCAACTGGCGCACTGGCGTACGCACAAAATTTGTACGTGCGTACAATAAATATACACTACGCTCTATGAAATACAAACGGGCAAGAAGGTATCGCTCCAGATAAAAATAAAAAACATAATATTTATAAGTGGCGAGAGGTACTCGGGGTAGCGCAAATCCGAACATATTTTAAGCGCGGGAGGGTCTCGTTCGATATGCTTAACCCTTCTTTGCATTCGTGTTCAAAATTAAAGGAAAAATGGTTAAAAAAATAATAAATTTGACAGCTGTGTTTTTTTTTCTGCAATGCACATTAAAAAGGTATCCAGACACGATCATCTTAAAGTGAACTTGGTCTTTTATATAATTTTCGGGCACTCAATGTTACGATGGAAATTTCCACCGTTATGCAAAGAAGGGTGTTTAAAGCAAGTGGATATTTGATTTGATTTGCCGGCGCGGGCAGCGGGTACTGCGGGCTGCTGACGCCATTCGTGTACTACTACTTCGTGACGTGGCGGTACGCGTCGCGCCGCAACCCCTACACGCGCAACATGTTCCGCGAGCTGCGCGTGGCGGCCGAGCGCCAGGCCGCGCGGCCTGCACTGCCGGCAGCGCTGCGGTCCACCATCCTCGCCGGCGTCCGCCTCGTCGAGAGGATGGCGCCGCCGCTCGAGGCCGTGCACCAGTCAGTACCAGCACCCGCACTACACACACACATATATATACATACACTGTCTCCATACGAATGCTTCGAGAATAACAGCTCAACTGTTTCATACAACATACATACATATCAGGCGTACTGTCTCCCATTAGGGTAGACAGAAACAATGGAACGCCAAATGCTTCGATTCATACAATTTTGCGTATTAAACAATTGTTTTGTATTATTTGCATCATTTTAATGCATAAATACTAATTTTTTTTATTAAATAATACATCAAGATACATTGCGTAAGTTGGTAACCCACTTGACGAAAATTGGTAACCGTCGCCTATAGACATGAGCAGTACCATAGACATAGCAGAGTATACTGTTTCGCCAATGATCGCCCCCCATGTGTTGCCATTACTGAAGACTCAGGTGTTATTCCTCTGTACCCAGTACATTCACTGCCATATCGCACCCTTCAAACCGAAACACAGCCACGCAAACAACTGCTTCACGGTGAAAACACGAATGGGACAGAGGTGCCCAAGCAAACGACTTGTACAAAGTCTCCCTGTGATAAATAATAATTATTCGACTAGATTTAATTATACGTAAATTAAACCAGTAGTCATTATATTAAAATATAATAACTAATGCTTACGAAAAACAATAAAATATTTATTTATTCATTCATTAAAAACAATTACAACATTATGACAGCAAAAGCCAAATCAATGTTATAAACCTAGTGTGGTAACATACAAAGTTATAAGAAATGTATTTAACCCGACTCCAGATATTTGTGAGCCGCTTCCAATATCTTTGGCAGGCTACTACTAAATATATCAGTGATGTTTATAATATTATTAAATAACCGTTAGGGAGCGTGATGAAGTAGGTTAGTCCTTACTAATATCTTCATGACTGTAAAAGTTCATGAGGTAGTCAGAGCTGTTTGTTAGCTGTTAGCTGTCCATTGTATTTATTTTTATTTTAATAAATAACATACATATTAATGTGTGTTCACAGATAACCCTACTGCAAACAGCAGGGACGATCACAGTGCGAGCGCGGCGCCGCTCCACCAAACGAGTCATCATCAAACGATATCAAGACGTCACAATATGTATTTAAGTACGAAATGAACAAATCAACAAAGCTCTACTCACGTCAAAAGGCACGGACGATGGTAACCAGCACCAAACCAATCTACCGATAGTTATATTTATTTATTTATTATATCAATGCAACAGATTACAAATTAATACATTAATAAAATAAATACTACATAAAACGGCATTAAATTTGCACTCCAACAACTGCTCTGCATAACATTCGATATTATATACATTAAGAGAATGACGGCTATAGATTTAATGTAACAAATTGGCAGCCTTAATGTAACATTGCAAGGATTGTTGGAAAATATCAAGCTCCTTGCATACATATGTGTTTGTTACATGCATGAGAAAGAACAAGTCGCGCTAATCTTGCTGTCTCTTTTTACCACAACTACTTTTTAAATGGTAATTAATAGCTTTTCAATGTTGCTATACGAAACAGTTGCCAAAGTAACATTTTTTTAAATTTTCTAAAGTTTTTGATAATTATAATTTGTCTGATTTTGTTAAGGAAAATGTATGGGACCATCCTACAAGCGATTTCGTTTTAATAAAATCATTAAAATCGGTTTACAGTTGGCGACCATATAGCGTAATTTGCGTACAAAAAAAACTTAATTAAAAAGATTACAGATTTCACTAAATAAATTATAATAAAAATCATAATTATTCATGGTTTTGGTATTTTTAGAACTAACTTTATACTAAAATTGACTAACTACTTTAGTTTTTATTGGTATGTTAAAATATTATGGAATATACCCTATTAAGGCTGCTTCCTGATTTGTCGATATTGTTTCACTTGATAAGCTTGCGCTGGACTTGGATTTTACCGCGCAAATCGGAAAATAACACGTACCGTATCGGTACAGAGGTGATCGTGTAAGACGCCTATTATCCACACTTAAGTTGTGGAATGAGCTCTCAGCCAAGGTTTTCGCTAGAGACTACGATATGAGGTTCTTCAAAAAAGGTATATTAACCCGTGGAGCGATCGGCTGTAGGCTTGTTAGCTACACCCACTGCGTTACCAATTTTTTAAATTACAAATTTTCAATTGGAGGTTATGGATAAATGATACCTATGATATCGATACCCGCTGCTGATTTTCACCATCGTACAACCCGCCACAAACTAAAGTTTCATCCCAATCATCTGGACGAGTGGCGGTCTTCCACCGTGCGTTTTTCAAGGCACTTTCTTCCACGCACAACCATTCTTTGGAATCAACTCCCAGCAGCAGTATTTTCGAACCGATACGACAACATAACCTTCAAGAAAAGAGCATATTCCATTTTAAAAGGCCGGCAGCACACCTGCAATGCCGCTGATGTTGTGAGTGATCATGGGCGGCGGTAGTCACTTACCATCAGGTGAGTCGTATGCTCGTTTGCCCCCTGTGTTGTAAAAAAAAAATGGGTTTATTACTTACATAAATTAGTGGGTAGTAAACACTGTTGCATTAGCGCGCGGTACCACATTTTTGGTCGGTACAGCGTATGATGCATAAACGCTCGAGGGGTCAAGGTTTCTTCAGGGTCGGCAACGCGCACGTGACAACCCTAGTGTTGCAGATGTCCATAGGCTACAGTGACCGTTTGCCACCTTTGTGGTATAAAAACAAACAAATCAGGAAGAGGCATGAATGCTACTTTTCAGTACCGTGTCCTTTTGATTGTGAATATAGTTGTATCATTGGTAGAGACATTTGAACACGTTGCAGCTACAGTAACTCGGGAGTTATTTTGATAAATGTTCAAATGTCCAGGAGCTGATTTTAAACTGTTACTATGCACGTTTACAATGATACAAGGCTCGGGAAATGAATATAGCAAATTAAAATCCAGACATCGTTAACATTGTCCAAAGAAACATGTTGTTATATATATATATTTTTTTTTGGGATCCAAATCACTGGATTACGGATTTGTTATATCGTTTCTCTAACATCTGTTTCTTTGTATATATTTGTGTACACAGTGCAAACGCGTGTCAGTCCTTTTGCACCAACTGTCTAGCCAATAATTACAAAGCCTGCATTTTTTACAAATATCAAATCGTTTACGTCTGATTGTATTATAATCATATTTTTTATCTTGACTACGGGACTAATAAGGTATTATTTTTTTATTTATTTATAACTTCTATCTATCAAGGAGCGATATTTGGTCCAATTTTATTTAAGGAACAATGATTTATGTTAGTGTTGTAAGCGAGGGAGATTGTATAAGTGTGTACTGTGACTATAGCGGCTGTATGTATCCATGTGTCAGCATTTAATTCGTGAACAGGGTTATCTAGTGGTAATGAAAGTCATTTTGAAATTAAATTAATTTTTCCCGCTATATTATGGTAATAGTAACTATTAAAAAATTGTTGTTTGTAATTTAAATTCCTAACTTGTCAATATGCTATCGTTTGGCGATTCGACACATTATTTGCGGTGTACTTTGGGTATTCCGACTCATGTGAAATTTTTTAAACAATACTGTATTGACATTTGTGAATAGTATTTGTTTATGGGTTCTGGCAACCCTGAATTAGTTTTGTAAAGGACACATTATCGGTTAAGTTACTTTATCATTCCATTTGTAAAAATTGTATATTATTTGTTTAGATCATTTTAATGTTATTTGTGAGTACGACCTTTTATAATATGATGGATTGCTGACACTTTGTATTTAGTAACGTAATAATGCACTTGGTTTGGGGTGATTGTAGTTATGTTTTTAAAATAAAACGTTGGAAAAAAATTGCTTGTTTATTTTTATTATGTTCCATGAATGTATTTTATATACATTCTACATGTATTTAGTGTTTGTTGTATGTGAGTTATTTTGTTCCATCTAAATACCTGAACACATTTGATTTAGACTATCGTTAGAACAAAGATTTCGGAATAGAATAGATGGAACGCATAATCCGTACGGAGTATCTCTCGTCCTCTTTTTGCTACTAATATTAGCATAAGAAGAAAGGAGGCAACCATATGATTTACTGTTTTTATTATACCATCTATGTTATTCTTTCCTCTCAGCGTAAGAATCCTTTCATCAGCCCTAGTGACACTAGCTTGGAAATTGTTTTCGGCATCGCAGTTGTTTTATTTGCAGAGAACAATATATTTATGTTTACTTTGTCCATGAGAGCTGGGAAACGAAAGCTAGAGTAAATTTAAGTTGTAACCGTCGTTTAGAAACATGAGCATCACATAATGCTCTATATTTATGGTAGCCATTTTTTTTTGATAGGTGAAAATGGTATGGTAACCCCGCCTGCGCTAACGGGATACGTTGGCGGAGCACCAGTGAAGGGTAATAGATAAGAATGAAAACAGGCCAGTTAGCCCATCATGATGAATTTATCAGAAATTAACCATGATAGTTTCCAGGGGGAACCGCGAGGAGGACGACCTAGTTGGGTATATTGATAGCAATGGGATTCTCAGTCTCCATTATTAACAATCCCTTTTCCCCCTATGGTAGCCATTCTCAAGCATTACATGCCCCGACGTATTCATATTATGAAATATGGTTGTAAAATTACAGGACGCGGAGCATATCTTTTATCAGGAAAGGCAATGGGATAGATTCTAAGCGTCTTTTTAATATTTTAATAGATAAATAGTTTTGTTACCTTCAAAAGATTACATTGCTAAACTTATTATAAATACAAACAATTACAAGATCACATTGAGAAAACAATAGGCGGCCTTATTGTTAAGAGCGATCTCTGAAGCAATCTTTGGATGTAAAAGAGTAATTAGTTTTTTTTTTTAATGGGTGAAAATGGTATGGTAGCCCCGCCTGCGCTAACGGGATACGCTGGCGGAGCACCAGTGAAGGGTGATAGATGACTATGAAGACAGGCCAGTTAGCCCATCATGATGAATTTATCAGGAATTAACCATGATAGTTTCCAGGGAGAACCGCGAGGAGGTCTACCTGCTTGGGTATATTGCTAGCAATGGGATTCTCAGTCTCCATTACTAACAATCCCTTTCCACCCCAATTAGTGTAGTTAGTTATTAGTAGATAGTATAGAGAAATTACCTTATCTATTTTTAATAATTCTGACCATCTATTACATAGTTTGTTCTTAGAATAAACATATCGCCTTCTAATTTAATTAAAACTAATCTGGAGAAATGATTTCTCAGAATTTATACCAATGGATGAGCGGTAACATAGACGTTAATTTATTGAATGAATGAATGAGTATACTTTATTTGCATTATACAATATAGGGAATAAGCAGGACAATTAATAAATATAACGATACAATTGTATAAATACAGTAAGGCGGTCTTATTGCTGAGAGCAATCTTTTCAAGACAACCTTAGGGTAATGGACTAATTGTTGTACAAGTAGGTATTATATAATTATTTATTCTGTAATGTCCATTATTTAATTGCCATTTTCCATTAGGAGGGCAGTCAGTCACCACAAAAAAAAGCATTCTTCTCAAGAATGGCAACGAATAAAGGGCAACACCAAGGAATTACACGTCATGTATATAATAGACGGTTACACTTTCCATCGGGATTGTTTGCTTGTTGCTATTTTAGATATATAAAAAATAATTACTGAGGTGGAACATATGAGTGTATAAAGGAAAACAGCAGTATTTTAGTATTTATTTAATAAGCTTAAAAATTAAGCGACGGCCGGCACGGGTTGCGGCAGCGGCGCGGGCGCGAGCGAGCGGACGTCGCTCGTGGGCTCGAGCGGCACTGGCTCGTCCTTGGGCTCCGTTACGAGGATGTGGTCGGGCTGGGGCTTCTTGGGGCCGTTCTTGCCTTGTTGGTCCCACGGAAGCATGATCTTCACCTGTTCACAACAATACATTTATCATAATCTGTATAAACTTCAAATCCAACGTCTATACTATATAAAATATTATAAAGTGGAAAGATTTGATTGATTGTTTGTAATGGCAAAGTTTAAAAACAACAGATTAAAAATACTTTCTCCTATAAAGTCTCCAGTACCCATTAAAATTTCAAGAGTACATTTTTTACACTACGAATACAGAAAAAAAAAAGGCAATGGGTCATTTGATGGTAAATGGTTATGTGTGTTGTAGATATAAGAAGTATTTTGAATGTACATGTCCAACAAGCACCGTAACAAGAGCCCGTCTCATACAGACCCTCCAATAAACCTGCTGTTATGTTCTACCACAAATAATTAGATCACAAGTTATTTATAAACTTGCAATCCCTGAAATGTGGATCAAATTGTTGCAAGAAGCTTATTCTTAGCTAAGCTAAAGCTTAAAAAAAACTTCAATACTGGAAAAATAAAAAAATATTAGGGAATAATGCAGGAGTAATATATATCAATTCAACAAAAGTTGTTCAGAATTAACAAATATAGAACACACGTTTAAAAATGAACTTGAGATCTTTTGAAGTAGCTAATAACAATTTTATTTTGCATTAAAGAATTATATCTTACAAGAAAACAAATTTCCATTGTGTCAAAACCATTTGTATTGATTTAAAAACAACTGATTTTGTTAAAATTTCTATTGTACTAATTTGTAAACTTAAAAAAAAATTCCAGATCAATTTAGAACTGACGGAATTATGAGGTAACAAACAAAAAAAAATACAACCAAATTGAGACTTTGTAGTCGGGTGAAAATTGCAAGAAACTTATATATTATGTTTATAAATATACTTAATTATCAGGAGTGGACATAGTAATTTGATGCTTTATTAAGACCTTGAAATCTAAATGCAGTATATAATTAAGCTAATTGGTGACTAAATTTATTAACATTAAAGAAATCTAAAAACTATTGACACCAGATGGCGATGCCCTCACACAACTAAGTAGTACAAAAACTCTCATTCATGTTTCTATTGTCAATGATCTTTGCATAGCTTTTTTATTTTGGTGAAATAAAGGGTGTCAGGAACATAGTGAATTATTCATGACATTGTTCATATGTACACATACTGATATGTATAAAATTGAGATATCATAAAAATATAGTTCATGAATAACAATTCCTCACCTTAATACCAAGCACGCCTTGCCTAAGCAGCACATGCCTGGTGGCTGTGTTCACATAATCATTGCAGGGGTCACCCGAGTGGATCATGAGGCCGTCAACAAACTTCATCGACTTCGCACGCTGGCCACGGAGCTTGCCGGACACGACAACTTCACAGCCGCGAGCACCTGACTCCATGATGAAACGGAGTACACCATAACATGCGCGACGTACCGCTAGACCTAGGGAAAGCATTATGAATGAAACAAAAGCAAATATAGAATATTCTTTTTTGTTTAATTACTACTACCTATTTTTATAGACTATAAGTGCCCAAGTGGGCATAGCCTATAAATATTTGTAGTCTATAAAAAGGAAAATTAAAAAAATATATGCTGGCACTCTATTGGAGTAATCAAAGCTATTTAAAATAATCTCACACAAATGTAAAGCACATGAGAGTTGATAAATCAATGAAATTAAATTATTTAAATATGGCGATGCTCTTAACTATTTATTATGGCTACCCACTTATGTTTTTTAGATGAATGTAGAAAAAATATACAATAATATCCATAAGTATTAAAAAATAAAGTTATTTATAAAGTATTTTTTATTTCATTAGTGTATTTATTATTGTAATTATTAGTGGATGCTTTTTCTTAGCATTTTGTATGTATACCCACATATTTTTTTTTTGTGTATGTTTATTTATTAGTATGTGATAATATGTGTATTTGGAAAATTTATATTTATTTGCTAGGGTTTTATTTTATTATAATGACACTACAATATTATCATTTGTACAGTAGTTACAATACTTGGACATTCATATCTATACAAATCATTAAAGAATTTTTTTTTGTTATTTTTCTTTCTCATCTTCACATGGACGAAGATTTACTCATCAACACGGGCCTTAACCAAGTGTAGGAGGGGTTTCTGAGAAGGAAGATGTAATAGTAGACGAGGTGAGAAATTTTTTTGGTAATAAAGCAGGTATTTGAGATAATGACCATTTGTAGTAGGTATATTTGATTAGTGTGGATATTTAGTGTTTGTTAGGCTAGTCTTTGGGATAATACTGGTGGAAGATAGAAAAATGGGTACAATATGTGCTTGTCATTGATTAAAGTGCATAAGTTTCTTATATACCTGTTTATATTTTAATGATTCATTTTAGCTAATATATTTGATAGATGTATATTTGTGAGTAGACAGAAATAAATTAAACAAAATGTAAATTTAAATACCTCCAATCAGTTTGTATCGCAATGATTCAGCTTGTGCAATGGCGCAAAGACCGCGAGTTGCGACCTTCTCGGCATAAAGTTCCACAGACTGTTCAGGAATGTTGAACCTCTTCTGTACCACGGAGGTCAACTCACGGATTCTGCGCCCCTTCTCTCCCAAAACACTTTGAGTCCTGGTGGCCATGATAATAATTTCCGAACGGGTGGGGGTGACGCGCACCTCCACACCTGAGTAGCCATCTTCAGCTAACTCGCGGGTGAGGAACTCGTTCAGTTCCGCCTTGAAGACACCGTCTCCAACGAACTGAAATGTTACGTAGAGGTTATGTTGTTATTATCACATGTAAGTAAAGAAAATCACTTCTGAAGCAATTTCTACACTTATACACAGGGATTCAGTGAAGCGAATAACGTCGCGAGGGTTTTCTTATTCTTTTTAAATGCTATGTTTATATACAAAATGTTTTCTTTATCCACAAACATCACAACATTCACCAAAGAAAAAAAATATCTATGCACAAATAAATATACTTAAGACTACGGGGAATCCATTTGCAATGGTATTTTAATATTCTTAATGGACAATAGGACGTACTTTTCGCTTTTTAGAAATGTTGTTCACCGCCATGGTTGCAAAGTGAGCTGAGAAATCCTAAAAGACGGAAACAGTCTTATCAAACGTCAATGTCAATTAAGGTCCGTTCAGGAACAAGAAAAACATATCAGTAAAAATGTAATTAAATAAAATAATATTTTAATAATAGATATAGACCCTTAAGAGTTATTTAAAAAGTTAAAAAGCATTAATATTATGTTCAATTTTATTTGTATTATGTTCACAGAACAGTATTACCTACCTCAGATAGATTAAAGAGTATAAATGATATTTAAAATTAATTTTCTGAACGTGGCAACATGTTACGTTTCATTTTAAGCATAAAATTAGCAAGTTGAGCAAAGAACATGGTTAATATAGTTTCTTAATTAGGATTCTAAGCTACAAGTATAAAATCTTTAGATACTCATCTCAAAGAAGGTGCGGATAAAAATATCTAGAATCTTATTAATATAATTAAATTGTAACTAGACAATGTTTGTACATGGAAGATATTTAAAAAAAAATATGAGAGGTTTTAATAAGAGCAATATATGCCAAACGATATTTTCAGAAAATTTGTCTGTATGTATGTTTGTTCCAGTATCACGCATAAATGAAATTAAATTAGATGCTGCTTTCATAGTTTCTGAAGGTCTAGCTTAAAATATGGTGTACGTTTCATTATGTGTACCATCTTGAAGTAGCGGGCAAAAAACTACCTTGCGACATAAAATATTGAAAAAAAAAAATTTTTGTCTCAAACATGCTTAAAAATTATGTTGACAATCTTCTTCGAGATAAATCAAAATTGCCGCACTGGCCAAATACATGCGGGCAGCGGCCGGCAAAAGTATAAAAATCCATATCTGTCGTGTTTTGCGGCAAATAAATTAAATGTAAACTCATATCTGTCCTGTAATTTAAAAATGGAATGACCTTTTACTTCGAACCATGGCTACCAAGGAGGTAACTAATAAAAGATTTTATTTAAATTTCGAACTGGCTTGCAAAAAGAAAGCTGTTTATTAAAAAAAAAAAAGGAACATTATGGCGCGTGAAAATTTATTATTGTTCATTATTCGTCATTGAAATTAAAAAGTAAAATTGTGTTTTTGATTTCCGCGCATTGTTTGAGAAAGTACTATACAAACCTCGGCCACAACTAGGCATTGATGGACTCACGTATGTGTGTCTCGGCTACGCCTCTGCTCACATTTTGCACGTTCGTCCATCGATGCCTCTGTTGCTAGCCGGGGGGTATGATGGGCTAAACAGTATACTCTGTTATGTCCATGGTACTGCTCATGTCTATAGGCGACGGTTACCACTTTCCATCAGGTGGGCCATCAGCTTGTTTGCCATTTTAAGTTGCATAAAAAAAGTCTCGCCTTAGACTTAAAAGCTCGATACTGCCTGTTAGCTTGAGATAGACGGCTCTTCTCATAGCCCGTTTTTAAATCGAGTTAAGAGGACCAAGCTGGTCTTTAAGTCCTCCAGTCCACAGACCACAGCACACCTAGCTTATTGGACGCCATCTTGACCTTATCTTCTAGATGATCTCGGAGCTCTACCGTGTTGGAGATGTCGACACCGATGATCTTAATACTTTTTTCGTCAATACACCCTATCAGGTCGACCTCCACGTGGTCCCCCCTGAAAACCATCGTGGTTAATTTTTGTCATGATGGGCTAGCTGACCCATTTTCATTGTCAATTATCATCCCTCACTGGTGCCCCGCCAGCGTATACTGTTAGCGCAGGCAGGGTGACCATTTCATCATCACCCATTAAAAAATACTTTTGTAGATGATAATGGATATGTTCCCGAATTGCGGAGCCACCATAAATGGGCTTATCACATTAAAAAAAAATCGGTGCAGCCGACTTATTTTTAAGGTAGCTTTACTCCCGTGTTGGTCACATTTTTTTTTAAGATGTACACATTTAAATGTGTACATCTTAAAAAAAAATGTGATAAAAAAAATATTACAATCTATGTTATTATCGTGTTTACTAATATTGTAAATGCAAAAGTGAGTTTGTTTGTTACCTTATAACACCTTAACGGCTTAACCAATCACTATAAAATTTCATATACACGCACTATATGAGTAGGATAAAGGCTAGGATATAAATACAGGCCAGGCCTAGTTTAGACACTAATGTGCTGGGCAAAATGCTACATTTTATACACATATAATTCATTTTGAAATTCCTATAAGCTCATGACTGTATATTTTTATGTGCAATAAATCTTTATTATTATTATTATTATTATAAAGGCAATTTTTTAATTCCAATCAGTAATTACATCCCACTCAGGCGAACGAAGTCGCGAGTAAAATTTAGTTATAAGAATAAAATAAAACAACACTATTTATTCAATGCAATTAATTATTACTCAAGATCATCTCGTTACATACAAACGCACCATATACTTAGCATAACAATAATTTATTATTATGGACAGGGCAATAGCCCTGTAAATGTCTGAGAGTAGTGATTGCAAAAAAAAAAAAATAGTTTGCTTGCTCGCAACAACGAAAGAAACGGACTAGATATCTACAGATAACTTATACATATTAACATCATTACGTGTTACTTATTAAAAAAAAAAAAAGCGTGTGCCTCATGATTAATAATTAAATATTAGAGAATGTGACACATTTACTAAAATTTGGACAACACTAATAACAGATCTAATATTATTAAATGACAGACAACAAAAATGTAACTAACTAAACATTTATCACCAAGTTGTTACCTTAATTTAACATCGGAGAGGTTAACAACAAGCTAGGTATTAAAAATATGCATGATTAACAATTCTCTACAACCGAAAATGTAGGTATAAATTGACAGACAACACATGACACCGCGTTGCATTATTCACTTCTAGTTCCCTACACGTCGTGCTAATTAGGTATCTATGAATTAAAATTATACCTACTCTATAACAAAAGAACACGGCGCTGTTAATGGCAGTATGTTATACTTTGTGTTCCCATCTAGCAACACGCCGAGAAAGGAATAGTTACAAGTTATATATAAATAACCTAATAAAAACAGTTATTTAAACATTAAAATTACACGAGGGCTGCGTCGCGCCTTCAAACACATTAAAAAAAAAAAATTCTAACGAGTTCCTAGTTCAATAAAGCCTAATGGAACTACATTTCAACTAGTTCTAATTTATAATTTTATTATTACCAATAATCATGGGTACGTTCAACAACTTTTTTTTGTTATAATCTATGTAGGCGTTGATTTTTTTTTGCGGGCAAAGGCATTGTACACACGGCAGATCGTTATGTACACCTACAGTGAGTACGAATATGACTAGACGTGCTAAGCGTGAAGCTATTTGACATTGTTCTCACTAACGCGTGCGGTGACACTTCACAGAAACATGGCGTATCTAATCTAGATACGTCACTTCATGGACTACGGTCATACTAGGGCGAATTTAATTACTACAATCACAAAGAATTGTCAAATTATATTCCTTACATTTTCATTATTAATTCTTAAAAATTGATCATCTTACAACTAAATGGACATTGATTATTACACAAGGTGTAGGTACGACCTTAGTCTACTAAATAAATAAAAACGTTTATTTTAATTTAAACTATTTAAACATTTACGACCTAATATTACCTTATAATTAATGGACAGATTGCGTGTAGCGTGTTTGGTTAGTGTATTTTGCGTGGCGTGTGTCTATTGTAAGGGTATACCCACCTATTTTCTAAGAAAATCGTTTGATAGTACTTATTCCAGTTGATAATTGTGAAAAGGAAATATATACCCATATTTATAATTAAGAATTTAAAAGTATTTAGTAATAGAAAAAAAAAGCACACGCCAGCCTAATAGTAAATTGGGTGCGGTCACCGCAGGACGTGGCAACACCGGCAACATTAGAGGCATTATTTATTCTGGCGAACATGACGATGTTAAATGACAGTTGCCAATAATTTCATTATTATATCTTATCCTTCTAAATGCATTTACAAGCTAACTGCTTAGCGGTAGGAATATTTATTTGCTAGTGCTAGCTTAGAAGTTTGCACAGAACGACGTTAACAACGATTTTCTTAGTAAGCCATAATGCAGGTACTTACCTCAGGTCATAGATAATAGACAATCTTACTTTGATCTGAAGTAGGTACATAGGTAGGTACGAATGTTACATGTGCAATAAACTGTGTGCCAGAGGAAAACAAAAATTTTATATAGGATGAATACGATAAGAAATGGCATTTAAAATTTAAATTAATTTCTATACAGGTACAGTCAGCAACGTTTGTAGATCACAAATTGTGTTTTGGTGATATTACAAATTTAATTTTTAAATACAACTTATGCTGACTGTCATTAATTTTAATTTGATTAGTGAAGAATAAATTTCAATATTAATAAGTGTATTTATAATAGAAATTATTAATATTCAGAAGTGAATGAACTTTTGCTGCTTCATATTATGTGGAAATTAGGCAATAATACTTCTTTAATATTAGGAAATAAAATGGTTCTGAAAGTTGCGCTAACGAATATTCTATAACAATGAAAATTTCTATGCAATTAGACTATATCTATACAGTAGAGGATATAATATATAGATTAATATACTGGGTTCTAGGATAGACGCTACAGTGGGACGTGAGAATAAGGGAGTGGGACCATCGAACGGTCCACTGGTCATTATTAGATTTACCAACACAATTTATTCTATAGAATTAACTAGAAATCAATTTCTAAGTAATCATTAAGCCTAGGAATAATCGCTGAATAGTGTTGTTACACGAAGCGTTCTATGAATGTAGGTAAATATTGTTTATATAGGGTACATAATTATATATTCACTGACTTGTCTCTCATTATCCTGTTATTAACATTTGGCACAGAGATAGGAAAAAGACGAGAAGGTATATAAACTATGTCTATGTGTGCAGTTTAAGCCTAAATCACAGAACGGAAGGAGCGGTGCCAGAGTAAACAGTAATGCAAAAATATAGATTATGAACTTGATTGTACAATAAATACAATATTACCACGATGATTGCGTATAAAACTATTAGCGACGTGCGGACACGTCGCGCGCGCGTCCCTAGTCGTAACGTAATGTGCTCCATACACGGTCAAGCGGCTCAAGTCAAGCACGCATTTACTGTAGCTTGTAGAATAAAGAAGCGGTGCAAGACCGTCTCTGCCCTACAAGCAATCAAAGATGCTTTTTTAATTTCAATTACTTGACCGTCTACGGAACTCATAAAGCGATACAGCCGTTTCTCCGATATTGCCATGTAGGTAAATATATAAATAATATTTTGAAACGAAACGAAAATTAAATCTTTTAGGATTTCAAACAAAGCCATCATCATCATCTAGATTGCTAGTTTTTTTAAATGTTAGTTCTTCTTGACGACCCATCTGATGGAAAGTGGTTACCATAACTAATGGATGTATGCAAAATTTTAGAAGCGTCGAAGGAACGGCTGTGTTGCTATATTAGACGCGGCCGTATGTAACTTTGTCATTACCACTATAGAATATGCATTGAATTGCTGATTTGTGAATTATACAGCATTGGAAAGTTTATGCTTGCCCTCTATAGCACTGCACATGTGGGTAAAATGTATTCTGATAATTCCAATACTATAAAACTATTTTTTTATTGTTTACTTAATCCACAATACAGTTTTTATTTCCCATTGGAAAATATCAAATTAATAATCATATAAGTCATATTATGTTAAAATATCACACATTAAGGATAACAAAAAAGGAACCCCAACGTATAGGTAATAAGGTTAAATAAATAAAAAAAGAAACTAAAAATAATTTCAATATAACCATTTAATAAAAATCAAAAACTAAGTAAGGTAATAACAATGTCAATTTTGCATAAAAGTTTTAAAAGTTTAAGTACTTGTACCCATCACCACAGATAGAACGGAATGTATTCACAAAATACTTTATGGTCGAAAATATCATACAATGCGAGCAAAATAAAAATAGGAACGGCACTAACATTCGCTTGTTTAAGTAATTTAATAAAAAGAAGTAATTTAAAATACAGGGGTAAGTAATTCGAGATATTTAAAAAAAATTAAATTTCTTTTTTTTTTTCACCTTCCATTTTGAGAGGTGACGTCACAATACAGTAGGAAGCCATTCCTGTTGTTAGCAAAAAATTGTCATTGACAATCTTTCACATTAAAGAGCTCCGTAACTTAAGTATATTACATAACTTTACCAATATTTTCAAATATTATAATTTATAAAGATAATTTATAGCAATTACTTAAGTTAATAATGGTGGTAGAAATAATATTAAGTTAATAGGATATTAAATAAAATATTGCACTGTATGTCAAATATTAATAGGTAAGTACATAGAATCTCAGATAAATAGTTGATAATCACAATAATGGACGTCAATTTACGAGATCTTATTAATAAATACTTTCGATTAAAAATTATAAAGCTGCCGATTTACGTTTATAGTGAATTAAAATCGCTTACACTATGGCACTCTTACATAGAACAAATTATTACATTGTATAACAAAAATAATTATTAAGTACATTTATAATGTTCTAAGAGTTTAATAATACGTAAATTGGAATGTCAATAGATTAAAAAAAAAATTACACTTAAAATAATAAGTAACTGCCGCTAAAAATGTAAGTAACGCATTAATAAAATACTGCTCTAATCTCATGGAACAAAATGGCATAAGTCAATTTTTTTTTTAATTAATGGAATGTTATTTTTATTGAGATCGTTTTGTCTCTGGAAAAGGTAATAGGTTATAAATGTCATTTTGTTTCATTTAGACAACATGTAAATTGTTTAGTGTTGCAATATTCACAGACACTGCAGACAACATTATGCCTATTAATAGAGTCCTTTAATAAAATTATTTTTAGATCATCCATCTTTATAACATTTATAGTCAGCGAATAATTTAATTGATTAGATATTTCACATACAATAAATTATATTACAAAAAGTATTTTTGTCTTAATTTTCTTTTTTATTAATGGACTGGCAACTTTTATTTTGATTAAAGAACAATATCAGTGTTTCCATCACCCAACGCTATGGTCATGCAAAGTTAACGTACGGCTCACCACATCGGTCAAACCAAACAGGACTCATGGTTTGGACAATGTGCTACCTACCTACTGTTACAATACAATGTAATTTACTAACAACCGCGACGGTGGCACCATTCTGGTTCACTAGATTTTCCTATAACGAGTGTGTAATTGAATGTTGTAGTCGCAGAAATATCAAATCAGAACTAGTATACTTGTGGCAAAATATATTAGGTTATCTTTGACATTTAACCATAAACTCTGGTTAAAAGAACACAAATTATAGAACGAGAGAGGGTACAAATAAATTTATTTTAGGAGTATAATAATAAAGGGGACATTACTTGGTCATTACTGTACGTGAACCGGTTCTGTTTTGATCAATTCATGCGACCGTTAATATTTAAAACTAGCGCGTGCGGTGGCTCAGTACCGCTGCTGGTATTCGTGGTGCCACCGGTTGAAGTCTATGTGGAACACCACCAGGGAGCCGTTCTCGAGGCCGGCCAACAGGAACCTGAAAATTTTAAACATATATTCGTACTTCAATTGTAAAACTGCACTTAAAACATGGTTATTGAGTCTGACGTACGATGACACGGAAATGCTTATTAAAGATTACGTATTAAATTTATTTATTTACATTACAAAGTATAAGAATATTATTAAAAAAAATTATGTTTGTGTGAATGTGTGTAGGATATATCAATTGTGTAACCTTAGGTATGTATATTAATCTTGTTATTATATATGTAACTAGATCAAATTGTATAATAGTGCCAACACCGTGGGGTGAGGACCTGGTGATCTGTAACACAGGTTTATCCTACTTTAGACACCAGTTCTTCACAATACATTAAATTGTGTAATCTTAATATATATATATATATATATATATATATATATATATATATATATATATATATATATATATATATATATATATATATATATATATATTAGAATATAATAGATTGGTATTGTGAAGAAAAGGCGACGGTTACCACTTTCCATCAGGTGGGCCGTCAGCTTGTTTGCCATTCTAAGTAGTATAAAAAAAAAAAAAACTTTTTAAAATTAATAAAACTTTTAAAAATAAACGAAACAGCTAAAAAGTTAAGTAAAAAGTCTTTCGCTGTCACTATAAAATTATGATATATTTTATATAATATTTTTTTAATTAATAGTTTTATTGAATTTGAATGAGATTAATGAAAAACTACTTTCCCTTTTATCCATTATTACTACACCACTACCATAACAAGTGACGACCAAAAAAAAAACAAGAACTCATCAAATGCGAATAATTAATAGTCGAATTAGTAAAGTCGCGCATTGCTGCGTTAAACTAAATTTTTCAGTTTTTATTATTTTAGACTGCGACCCCCTTTAATAACAAACGCGACCTCCTCTTTCCCGATTGAGAAATGATGTTCTAATCGATAGACAGAAATGAGAAATTATTTTCATTAACTAGTAAAGTAGGAGAATGTAGAGAAAATGATTGTTTTTTGCTATTAGCATGTGAAGGCAGCGTTGTTTCGAGTACTGTGTACTGTGCGCAGTGCGTGTGTGTGTGCGGCGTATGTGTGAGTGTATGCGTGCGGCTGTGCGGCACACGTGTGCGTGCGCATGTGTGTGCGGCGTATAGTGTTCGTGTGCTGTGCGCTGTGCGTGTGCGTGTGCGGCGTGCGTGTGGGTGTATGCGTGTGGCTGTGCGTGTGCGTGTGGGTGTGCGTGTGCGTGTGGGTGTATGCGTGTGCGTGTGGGTGTGCGTGTGCGTGTGGGTGTATGCTTGTGCGTGTGGGTGTATGCGTGTGGCTGTGCGTGTGCGTGTGGGTATGCGTGTGCGTGTGGCTGTGCGTGTGCGTGTGGGTGTATGCGTATGCGTGTGGCTGTGCGTGTGCGTGTGGGTGTATGCGTGTGCGTGTGGGTGTATGCGTGTGCGTGTGGGTGTATGCGTGTGCGTGTGGGTGTATGAGTGTGCGTGTGGGTGTATGCGTGTGGCTGTGCGTGTGCGTGTGGGTGTGCGTGTGCGTGTTGCTGTGCGTGTGCGTGTGGGTGTATGCGTATGCGTGTGGGTGTGCGTGTGCGTGTGGGTGTATGCGTGTGCGTGTGGGTGTGCGTGTGCGTGTGGGTGTATGCGTGTGGCAGTGCGCGTGCTATTGGCACTGACTTCTGGTCGTGCGAGAGCGCGAGCGAGGTGACTGGGGCGCCGGCGGGCGGGAAGGCGTACAGCGGCGCCAGCGTCGCCGCGCGCCACACCTCCACCACGCCCGCGTCGCCGCCGCACACCAGGTACTCGCCGCAGCGGGACAGCGCCAGGCACTGCGCACACGCCACACAATACACACACTACATCTCGGCGACTGGCACACCTCATCAAGCAGTAGTGATATTTAATTAATTACCTGTCTACTTGAAAATTATACAAAATCTCAATTTTTTTAATTAAATTACAACCCCTTTTACTGGAGAAATGTTATTACTGCGTTCATAACTTCTGCACTTTTGATTAATGTAAATAATTAAAAATGAATTTGATATATATATATATATATATATATATATATATATATATATATATATATACAATATTTACAGATGAAGTTGACATTGTTTATTGTAAAATATATTTATTGTTATCGGATGGTTATATTATTCAATTTAATGTAATGCTTTTTGTATGTTTATCTCTTATTTCAGACACAATGTACATTGGTTTTTGAATAAATGACTAATAATTAATGAATTGTTTTAATAAATAAATCATTGATTTTTAGTTAATTAATGCCTGAAAATACTCCCAAAGTCACATTTTGATAAATATAAAACTGAAGATAAATATACATTTTATAAAAATACAATTTATTTATTGATTTGGTTAGAGAAATCCAATTTGTCTTCTATCAATCCCATAATACCCCGGAAGGCAAAGGTCACCTGGAAGTTGTCGTTGTGCGTCTCGTGGCGCAGGCGGCGGCCGTTGAGCGTGAAGGCGGCGAGGTGGCCGCGCGCATACGCCACCACGACCACGCCCTCGCGGGATAGCGCCAGCTGCCGCGGGCCCGCCACGCCCTCTGCCGGCGGCAGCGCGCGCAGCAGCTCGCCGAACGTCGTGTGCACCAGCACCGGCCCATCTGCGCACACGCACCACATTCATACTTACTTTATATAAATAGAGCATTCAGACTCAAACACGGGCACCTTTTTGTCAGCTAATTGTCAAATTAGCTGACTCGTTTTTTTTTCAGTATTCTATATACTTATGTACGCAATGTACCTTGCCGTATCTATATTTAATTAATATAACATATTATTTTTTTATTCTAATACCAAATTAACGGAGAGCAGTTTCACCCGAAAAGAACGGGCAGAAAACTGGATCCTTGGTTATTTATTAATACTTTACTGCATCAGTTACTAAGGAATATAGAAAATGATTAAAATAAGGTGAAGCTAAAGACGGGGTCGATCTTTCTGAATACATTTTGTTAAATAAACAAAAATTGCCAAGTATGAGGGAGGGGCCGGGCACCCGGCGGAGGTACCAGGCGAGCACGAGTGCGGCGGTAGTGAGGGCGGCGGTAGTGAGGGCGGCGGTAGGGCGGCGGCGTACTCACTGAGCGAGCAGGAGATGACGAGGCCGAGCTCGGCGGACACGAGCACGGCGGCGAGCGGCGCGTCGTGCCCCGTCAGCGACACGCGCGGCGCCGGCGTGTCGCCCTCGCCCACGATGCCGCCGTGCCGCGCCGACCTGCAAGCATCGCCACTTACTAACTTACGATTTATATTCAAAAAGACAAAAGCCTTCAACAGCTGAAATAGTCTACTACAATAGATTTTAAATTAATAAGATAAGGGAGTTTAAATACATACATACATATCTGTCACGCCTGTCTCCCATTAATGTAGGCAGAAACAATGGAACGCCAAATGCTTCGATTCAAACAAACCTCTTTCGCTTCTTCCACATTCATCAAACTTTTCATACACGCTCGCTGGTTACGGGCACTTTTAATTTGGCCCTTCTGCACAATACCTATTTGATCGACTACTACTACTGAAATCTCCATTCATTCTTATTCGATAAATCTCTTTCGTAGTTCTTTTATCCATCTTCTCCAAATGACCAAACATCGAAAAGGGAATGTAGCGTTGCAATATTCCCTTTTCGATTTTATATAAGGGAGTTTAATTTACTTTAATCTTTTTTATACTAAATCATTTAAAGGATAGTTTAATAGAAATAATGGATTTAATTCTATAGAAAAGCAGAATATAATATTTTTAATGTAGCCTACAATGCTTAATTGTTGACTTTTTCTAAATCTCATCAGATGCCTCTATCACATGTCAAAGTTTGCTATGCAGCTTTTTAAACTCATTAAAATCATAAATAAGACGAATAGGTAAAAGCATACCAGTGCCAGAGCAGGACGGTGCAGTCCTCGGAGCCGGATGCGATGTAGCAGTCGGAGGTGATGTTGCATTCGGAGCGCGACACGCACGTCACCACGCCGTAGTGGCCGAATATTATTTGTACTATCTTGGCTGTCAGTGCAAACAGTACAAAGTTGTTTAAAACGATTTACAGAGATGCATTCGTACGATCAGCACAAAAAGTTGATTTTTAAACTCATCATTTTAAATTGTACATTAAAGAATATAATAGATCATAAATTCACGCGAGCTAAAAGCTTTAAGTTAAGAGGTAGTGAACAGAATATGGTACCGGTCTCTGTAGAGAAAACGCGGAAGCTATTGTCCCAGAAGCCGGCGGCGATGAGGAAGCGCGAGTCGACGGTGGTGACGAAGCAATTGGAGCGCGCGCGCACGCGTTGCGAGAAGTTGTCGCCCAGCTGCCGCCGCGCCAGCGCCGCCGCACCGCCCGCAGCTGCAACCACAACGCACACAGTTATTAACCACACGTTGATTCGTAAGAAGATTCTCAGTCAACTTCGTTAACCACGACGGTCACTAAGGCACTAAGCAAGTGACGACCATTTTTTAATCAATTCATACATGAATTTGAAAATTTCAGAACTTGGGATCTCTGAACTGCATTTAAGCGTTGTCTGAACTAAGATGGATGTCATGCTAAAAACACATATTCCAGTCACCTTTTATATCAAGTGTAGCGAGATCAAGTGACTGAATAATATTTCGTCTTATTTCTCCAATTTTTGTTTAGTATGAAAATCATACTAAAGAAAAATTTAATCAAGGAATTCAGGGAGTGTTACTTTGTCGTTCCTTGAGATAGATACCCAGATACATACCTTAAACTGTGTTTTGATCAGCGAGTGCATGGGCTATGGCCAATGCTTAGATAGCGTTGAGTCGTTACTTACTTCAGACCGGGTTCCCGAATAAGAGTGGCACTGACGGCGGCGGGTACTTGGATTGCGCGGATTTTCTACTCACCCTGAACACATACACTTAACGAATAGGATCCCTAGCAATGCAGAGCGTACAGCGTACTCACCCCACACGGGGTCCATGAGGAGCGGGTGCGCGGGCGGCGGCGGGTGCGCGTGGTGCGCGTGGTGGCCGGCGTGCGCGCAGCCGCCGCCCACCCAGCGGTGCGCCGCGAACGCACGCGCCGCGCTCACCTGCCACACCACGAGCCTCATTACGGTACTACATCGATACGCATTCGCACAGGTCCGGGGCAGGTAGTGCTGTACAGGCTCTCCCCGGACATTTTATTACAATCCGCGCTTGTCACAACTACAGAAACTATTAACATCTACTATCAACATGTGACAACGGCCGAGTCTGTTGTTACGGTTGACGCGGGAAAATAAAGTTTGCGTGCTGACACGTATTTGAGTGGAGGTGGGGTCTGATCGCAGAGAGCGGCACGGAGTGTTTATTGTTTAGTACAGAATGGACACTCCGTGATTATACTTTGTTAATATGGGGCGTAATAGGGTCTCTTAAGTGTAGTAGGTTAGTCTTTAGAACATATTTGTACCATAGAAAGTGTTTATACAAAAGTTGGAATGAGAGTATGGGTATGGATGGCATGAGTGCCTCTCGTCTACTCGTGTTTCTGTCTTTAAGCAGCTGTGCTTATATGGCTGTTTTTCGCTTTGAAAGATCCAAGGGGAGTAAAGAAACTTAACTACATAGTTTTTTTTTTTTTTATACAACTTAGAATGGCAAACAAGCTGACGGCCCACCTGATGGAAAGTGGTAACCGTCGCCTATACACATGAGCAGTACCATGGACATAACATAGTATACTGTTTCGCCCATGATACCCCCTATGTGTTGCCATTCCTGAGGACTCAGGTGTTATTCCTCTGTACCCAGTAAATTCACGCCATATCCCACCCTTCAAACCGAAACACAGCCATGCAAACACAACTGCTTCACGGTTGAAACACGAATGGGACAGAGGTACCCAAGCAATCGACTTTTGTACAAAAGTCTCCCTCTGGTATATATTTATTAGAGATGACAACACATCCAAAGATATCACGGATATTCGGCGATATCTGTGTTTATGAACGACGGCATACTTGATATTCTAAATATAATACAAAATGTTGACCAGAATGATTAAAACGATTATACAGAGTGTAAAGGAAAGGTCGGAAAAAAAACTGAAATACTGGATTCAGATTACTCTTAACTGAAAACCAGTGGAAATTCTTTCCGGAAAATTTAAAACTTTTACCTGATTTTAAATTAAAATATAATATTATAAAGAAAAAATCATATTTTATAGTGAAACACTATGAAATATTATAAAGCAGCAATGTAATATTCGTATGAAAATCCTACTACGACGCGCGGAATCAGCCGTCTAAGGTCAACGCCACAAGCGTACGAAGAAGCGCCATCGACCGTGTACTGTAGGTATTTTGTGTCGTGTGGATCGTAAAATTACGAACACATTGCGCAGCGACAAAACTAAGAATCGTTGATTATATATAAATGTAGTGCATTTATGGTGGGAACATAATCTGCCATCTCATTCAAATAATTTATTTGAATCAGCTGTTTTCATTGGCCAACCTGTGTCTTTCACCCTGTATATATATATATATATATATATATATATATATATATATATATATATATATATATATTTAATAGGTGATAATGGAATGGTAACCCCACCCGCGCTATCGGTATACACCGGCGGGGCACCAGTGAAGGATGATAAGTGAGGATGAAGCAGGTCAGTTAGCATATCGTGACGAATTCAACAAGAATTGTTCACGATGGTTTCCAGGGGGAACCACGTGGAGTCACCCTGTATATTTATTTATTTATAAAAGATAAATCAGTTATATGTTCACAATAATTAAACAGATTAGGTACAATGTTAGAAGTAAGCTTAAGGCTAGACGAATATATCAATTAGAGGCGTATACAGCTCTCACAGGTAAGTGATAAGTTATACTAAGGTAACAATCATACAAATAGTGAAGACTTAAATATTAAAATAATATCATCTACACTAATATTATAAAGAGAAAATATTTGGTTTTTTGTGTGTATGTTTGCAATGAATAAACTCAAAAACTACACCATTAGAAAGCTACATTCATCCTGAGTAACACAGGCTATATTTATTGTTAGAAAAGATTAGGGATCTTTACTAAAACTTTAGTAACGTAACTCAAGGTGTAAAAAAATGCTATAAAATATTTTTCGTCGCGTGCGTTGCGGAAACTATTGATGATAGAACAAAAGTATGTTCTACAATATTGAAGAAAATATCAATAACTACAAAAAAACTTCCGGATATTATTATATTATGCCCAACTATTATCGTTATGGCACTATAATCACTTTTTAAAATGTAAAAATGTCCACCCGCGCGAAGGCGGGACGGGCCGCTAGTAACTAAATAAGCACGACTCACAGTGACAGCGGCGGGCATGGCGAGCTGCGGGTACGTGTTGGCGGAGACGTGGACGACGGCCGCGTTGGAGGGCAGCTTGAGCCGGAGGCACACGTCGTCGGGCGCCGCCGCGAACATGAGCGGCGCCAGGTGCATGGTGGAGGCGCGCGGCGGGTGCGGCTCGCTCAGCAGCTGCGCCGGCGTCTGCCCGAAGCTGCGGATCTGGTCCTCGACGGCAGCCCGCGTCACAGGCTCCGTGATCTGGTCGAGCCGCACCCCACCCTCGTAGGTGAGGTAGTAGAACACGTTCGTGGCTCGTACGGCTTCGGGTCCTGGTGGCGACGGTTAATAGTTCTCTTTGAAATAAACTTTATTAAAACTGATATAATTGACTGTATTATTATTAGGCTATAGTGAGAAAGAAGAATAACTTATTACCATGTTTGGTATAGGGTTTTATCAGTGGCGTAATAATAGAGTGGCAGGGCTGGCAAAATACCACGGGCCCCCGACCCAAAAGGGCCCCAGCTTAAGAGGCCGCGAGCTCAGATATTTTTGCATTGTACCCGAGTATTTCATTTTACGTGAAAAGTATTTTTTATTGAGAGGGCCCCATTAAAAGAATTTGCCACAGGCCCCAAATGGTATAGTTACGCCACTTGGGTTTGTTCTAGGTTAATATATCTTTTTTTACCAATCCTGCCGATCCTACCAATCCACTATCTACTATTAAAAATGTAAAAGTTTGTCAGAATGGGTGGATGTTTGTTACTCTTTCACACAAAAACTACTGAAGGGATTTAAATGAAATTTGGTACACCGATAACTTATATCCTAATTTAATATATATTTTATATACTGATTCACGTAAATGTGAAAGTGAGTTTGTTTATTTGTTACTTCTTGGCGTCTTAACAGCCTCAACCAATCTTCATGAAATTTGGTGCTGATACTTTGTGTTTCAGTAGTTCATAAGGCAGATTTTAACTGCGGTTTAAAATGACGATGACACTGACATGGCAATCAAGTATACGGTATGCCTCTTTCAGTTAGACCTGGAAACTATCATGGTTAATTCCTGATGAATTCATCACGATGGGCTAACTGGCCTGTTTTCATTCTCATCTATCACCCTTCACTAGTGCCTCGCTAGCGTATCCCGTTAGCGCAGGCGGAGTTACCATACCATTTTCACCCATCAAAAAAAAAAACATAGAGACTGAAAAACAGAGTTGTATTCGATGAAATCGTTAGTATGTATTTATAGTAGTAATTTATGGAGAAGTGCGTGTTTCCGCAAAGAACTTGCCTCTTTGTTTATATCCGAATATAAGGTCGATCCATTGGTGCAGCTGGCAACTGACGAACTCTGACTCTAGCGCCATCCTATTGATCCTGACGAACTCCTCGGCGGAGGATGCCCAGGGCGGCAGGATCACGTCGCCGGACGGCGACTCCGGGATACCGAGCCGGTAGCCTGAGCTGTTCACCAGCATCTCCGGCAGGAAGAACAGTTCTGGGATCAACTCCTGGCGAAAAACAGACAGATTATTTTTATTATTTATATACATTGATAAATTAAAGACATGTACTTACAGTATTTAGTTGTGAGAGTAAAAATACGGCTTGTAAACACTATTTTCCATTTCCAGGATATCGTGAGAGGCGACTTAGTGTTCATTTACATAAACCGGCTCGGATAGGACACAGATTTTGATCACATTTAAAATAGAATTTAAGATAAATAAAATAAGGTTTATTTTTGCATGTCACACTTTTTTGACAGTTTTCAACAAGCACTATCAAAATCTGGTTCCCTCTTCGGGCCGGTCTATGTGAAACGGACACTAAGGGAACAAAATAGCAATAAATTGATGCACTGTATTCTGTTCTATTAAAATTCTATTCTGTAAATACAGAACGTTAATCTAAGCTTAGTCTGTACGATACTACCTCCTTCTTATGTGTGCCTGGTATTTATTAGCCCGAAATAATAAGAATCTTAAATTGTTAACGCATTGATAAATGGCGAGATGTTTTCTTCTATGTACCTCTCCTACATTGCAAATACTGCGTGTTCGGGGGGAAAGGGATTGTTAGTAATGAAATCAAGTAGCCCCATTACTAGCAATATGGGTATATTGTCAAGTCGACCTCCACGTGGTTCTCCCTGGAAACCATCGTGACTAATTCTAGTTGAATTCGTCAGGATGGGCTAACTAACCTGCTTTCATCCTCATCAGTCATCTGTCACTGGTGCCCCGTCATTGTATACTATAGCGCAGACGGGGTTACCATACCATTATCACCCATTAAAAAATACTGCGTGTTCTGTAACCCGTCAGGTCGACCTCCACGTGGTCTCCCCTGGAAATCATCGTGCTGAATTTCAGGTATATTTACCATGATGAGCTAACTGATCTGCTCTTTAATTCTCATTTGTCATCCGTCACTGATGCCCCGCCAGTGTAAACCGATAGCGTGGGCGGGGTTACCATTCCATTATCAACAGAAGTGTCGGAAAAGAACAAAACGAAAAAGTATTTGTTTTTGTTTTTTTTTTATACAACTTAGAATGGCAAACAAGCTGACGACCCATCTGATGGTAAGTGGTAACCGTCGCCTATAGACATGAGCAGTGTCATGGACATAACAGAGTACACTGTTTCGCCCATGAAACCCCCCATGCGTTGCCATTCCTGAGGACTCAGCTATTATTCCTCTGTACTTTGTCAATTCACTGCCATATTCCACCCTTCAAACCGAAACACAGCCATGCGATCAACTACTTCATGGTAGAAACACGAACGGGACAGAGGTGGCCAAGCAAACGACTTTTGTCCAAAGTCTCCCTCTGGTAGTTTTGTGTTTCAATTCCGCAAACAGGAAAAAGGTATTTCTGTTTATATTGTTATTCAAAATTTTCGAGTTATTTCTACGCAGTTTAATTATGATACAATAATGATTGGCCAATGGTGTGTCGAATTTGACCTCCAGATAAACTTTACTTAATTGCAACTGAAAAATTGAATATCTTGTGACGAATTTGTTAATCACATATATTTTATTGTATTATTTTATTTAAATGATCATTTTTGGGTATAGTAACAGTAGCTATAATTCGTCTCAGGTTACGTACATATTATTGTAGAGTTCACAGAGCAAAGTACGTAATACGTATGTATATTGTCCACAGGTAGGGTTGTCATCCGTTTGGGTTTCCCCGGACTTGTCCTAGTTTAGAGGACATCCGGGCAGGCACGCCCTTCCCTCCCCCCCCTTCTATATAGTTATACACTTAAAGTAGAATGGATGCAAATGAAATTATATATTTATTTACAAAACTTCACGGTAGAAACAGGAATGGGACAGAGGTACTCAAGCAATCGACTTTTGCACAAAGTCTCCCTCTGTTGCTAGCTCGCCAAAAGAAACGAATTTTGTCTTTAATTCGATGATACTAGTGGAAGATATATCAGACACGACAGACGGTCCATAAACTTGGAAGATGTCGAGACCACGATTTGAGACCCATTACTGAAGTCAATTACATTAAGCTTAATACACATTTCCTAATCACGAACCAAATATTTGAAGAAGAAACTAGATGAACATGTTCGCGATAAAAAATTGGCGTCGACCACGACAGCTAGGTGAGGTAGGTACGGGAGGTTTGCCAACAGAGATCGTTAACCCGCCGCCGCCGCGCCGGCGGGCATTGTGTCGCGATTTTGCCGCTACGTAAGCATTAACAGGGTTAAGCAACAATCTCTGGTCCGATGCTCGCGATGATTTTCAGCGAAACGCAATATTTAATGTCGACTGGCACTAGAGCGAGACTAAACTCTGTTACGGAAATATAAACTGTTTATTAAATTTAGTCTATAGGCGACGGTTACCACTTTGTATCAGATGGGCCGTCAGCTTGTTTGCCATTCTAAGTTGTATAAAAAAAATTTACTTTTTAATATATCTTTGCGTGGTAATTTCTTGTGACACTATCGCATTATTTTACATTTTTACATGAATTTACATGGTACAGAGGAATAACACCTGAGTCCTCAGGAATGGCAACGCATGGGGGATATCATGGGCGAAACAGTATACTCTGTTATGTCCATGACACTGCTCATGTTTATAGGCGATGGTTACCAATTTTCGTCAAATGGGTTGTCAACTTATGTATTATTTTATAAATAAAATGCATTAAAATGATGCAAAAATTATAAGACAAAATAAATATAGAAGTTATAAAGGAATCATTTATAATTATTTATTACGCAGAATTGATCAGATCCGGATCAGTATCAGATGGGCCGTTAGCTTGTTTGCCATTCTAAGTTTTATAATAAAAAAAAAAAAACAAGAAACTCTGTTTAATCCTTTCCATAAGTAATATATGTACAGACAAAGGCATCATTAATTTGTAATGTTACACACTTATACACTTTACTTATATAATACTGTTTAAATTTACAAAGTACTTTAAAATGATCTTGGGGCTATCATGAGTTGTGAAATAAAGCAACGAGTATAACCTATAACTATATTACAATAATCTATAACCAATTATAAATAAATAAATACTGGTTTATTCAGCAAACATTTTTTTTTACAACGTAGGGGACAAACGAGCATGCGGCTCACCTGATGGTAAGTGACTACCATTATACTACCATAGGCATTGCAGGTGTGCTGCCGGCCTTTTAAAAAGGAATATACTCTTTTCTTGAAGGTTATGTTGTCGTATCGGTTCGGAAATACTGCTGCTGGAAGTTGATTCCAAAGAATGGTTGTGCGTGGAAGAAAGTGATGTTACATTGTTACATTTACAAAAAAGGTTTATAAAATGAAAAAAATTACTATGTAATTTGACTATGTATTAATTGAATCAAGCTGTATGTTTTCTTAAAAATAAATAAATAAATAAAATAATAAGTCAGGGAGTTATAGGTTATAACAATTATAACAATTTTATATTCAATAGCTGTAAGCTTATAACTTAATTTGCTAGTGGCACAAAATGAGGCCTACGCCAGTAACGGAGCGAATCGCCCCCGATGTGAATTGATCACTTTTTGTAAAAACATAATTTGCAGTGACAAGACCTTGGTAAAGTAAATCGAAACGAAGAGAACGTTATACAAGGGACGCATGTTGAGCAACTCGTCTTAATGGTGAGCTAAACACCACTGTTTAAGAATCTATCAATTTTCATAAACATTTGCCATTGTTGTCTGTACTTTGTAAATGATAGATAGATAGACAGACAGATAGATACAGATAGATGGACAGATAGATAGATGGACAGATAGACAGATAGATAGATAGACGGACAGATAGATAGATGGACAAATAGACAGATAGATAGATAGACGGACAGATAGATAGATGGACAAATAGACAGATAGATAGATAGACGGACAGATAGATAGATGGACAGATAGACAGATAGACGGACAGATAGATAGATGGATAGATAGATAGATGGACAGATAGACAGATAGATAGATAGATGGACAGATAGATAGATGGACAGATAGACAGATAGATAGATAGATGGACAGATAGATAGATGGATAGATAGATAGATGGACAGATAGACAGATAGATAGATAGACGGACAGATAGATAGATGGACAAATAGACAGATAGATAGATAGACGGACAGATAGATAGATGGACAAATAGACAGATAGATAGATAGACGGACAGATAGATAGATGGACAGATAGATAGACAGAGAGATAGATAGATAGATAGACGGACAGATAGATAGATAGACAGATAGATAGATGGACAGATAGATCGATGGACAGATAGATAGATGGACAGATAGATAGATGGACAGATAGATAGATGGACAGATAGATAGTGGGACAGATAGATGGACAGATAGATAGATAGATGGACAGATAGACAGATAGATAGATAGACGGATAGATAGATAGATGGACAGATAGATGGACAGATAGATAGACGGACAGATAGATAGATAGATGGACAGATAGACAGATAGATAGATAGACGGACAGATAGATAGATGGATAGATAGATAGATGGACAGATAGATGGACAGATAGATAGACGGACAGATAGATAGATAGATGGACAGATAGACAGATAGATAGATAGACGGACAGATAGATAGATGGACAAATAGACAGATAGATAGATAGACGGACAGATAGATAGATGGACAGATAGATAGATAGATGGACAGATAGATAGATAGATGGACAGATAGATGGACAGATAGATAGATGGACAGATAGATAGATGGACAGATAGATAGATGGACAGATAGATAGATGGACAGATAGATAGACGGACAGATAGATAGATGGACAGATAGATAGACAGACAGATAGATAGATAGACGGACAGATAGATAGACGGACAGATAGATAGATGGACAGATAGATAGATGGACAGATAGATCGATGGACAGATAGATAGATGGACAGATAGATAGATGGACAGATAGACAGATAGATAGATAGACGGTCAGATAGATAGATGGACAGATAGACAGATAGACAGATAGACGGACAGATAGATAGATGGACAGATAGATAGATAGACAGATAGATAGATAGATGGACAGATAGATAGATGGACAGATAGATAGATGGACAGATAGATAGACAGACAGATAGATAGATAGATAGATAGACGGACAGATAGATAGATGGACAGATAGACAGATAGATAGATAGACGGACAGATAGATAGATGGACAGATAGATAGATAGACGGACAGATAGATAGATGGACAGATAGATAGATGGACAGATAGATAGATAGACAGATAGATAGATAGACGGACAGATAGATAGATGGACAGATAGACAGATAGATAGATAGACGGACAGATAGATAGATGGACAGATAGATAGATAGACAGATAGATAGATAGATGGACAGATAGATAGATAGACAGATAGATAGATAGACAGATAGATAATTTCTTTGCATTACTTACAGCACACAAATTATAAGAGATACAGATATACATAAACGAGAAAGCGAGATATAAAAGCGAGATAAGAGATATGATTAAAAAATACATAAAGCCAAGTACAATTTTTCCTTTTGTGCGTGTACCATAACAATGCAGTGTGGTCACAACTCAGTTTATTGCTTCGCCCTCAAAAGAGCAAAGCACTGATATTCTGTTGCGGCCAAAGGGAATAGGGTAACAATAAAACAATACTACCAGATTATCATTCTATTTTTATCCCGCAAAAATGGTCTAAACATGTCGCAGTGTTACAAGTCTCTCCAACATAATATAGCTTAAACATCAAATAATAATAGGCGATACATACTTTGACATCAGACGTGTCCCTCTGGCAGTTCTTCCAGGACAGCGCGATGGACGAGAACAGTCTGTTGGGGTGATCGAACTTGCCGCCCTGCAGCGCCAGGAACATCGTCGTCATCGGTTCCTGTAAGACAGAGGTTAATTTAAAATATATATTACGACTGTAATTCTGGTATGGTGTTATTAGAGTTCAACTCAAATGCATTGTAGGCAGTCAATGGATGCAGGTGGTTCACGAGGGAGACTTTGTAAAAAAGTCGATTGCTTTGGTACCTCTGTCCCATTCGTGTTACAACCGTGAAACAGTTGTCTTTGCATGGCTGTGTTTCGGTTTGAATGAATTTACTGGGTACAGAGGAATAACATCTGAATCCTCAGGAATGGCAACGCATGGGGGGTATCATGGGCGAAACAGTATACTCTGTTATGTCCACGGTACTACTTATGTCTATAGGCGACGGTTACCTCTTTCTATCAGGTGGGCCGTCAGCTTGTTTGCCATTCTAAGTTGTATATAAAAAAAAGACCCTTCCTAGTGTATGGGGGAGGCATATGTTCAGCAGTGGACAGAAAATTGCTGAGATGATGATGATGATGATTAGAGTTCAACGTGATAGGACTCAGGAGGTAAGATTTAGCAAGATATCCTTTATAAATATTAATATTATAGTCGAATTAAGATTTTAGGAAACAAAAAAGAAAAAAAACGAAATTTGAATAGGACAACGTTTGTAGAATTGACATGACGTTAATAAACAATAAAAAAAAAAAATACGTTATACAAGTTCATTGGTATTTCAATATCACAACAAATACAAGAACGATTGAAGCATTAAGTGAAACTACAGAAATAAAGCCGGCAAATAGTCGGTAAAGTACGCAATTAACATAAAAAAGACATGCACTCATAGTCTATTTTGGACTCAGGACGCCGCTGAAGCTTTCAACTTTTTGCCTTATCCGTCGCTTGTCGCATCCTATTGAGATGTTTGGATGCGCAAGCGCACGTGCGCGCTATTGTCACCGAGAAATTATGCGATTGTTTTGACGTTTCGCTTTAAGGATTCTCTCATTAATGTTCATTCTAATTTATTATAACGGACTGGAGATTTTATGTTCACAACAGGATGCCCAGTAAGGGCGTTTTCATATATCTACCATAGCACGGTCTGAACTTTAATAGGAAATCAACATGAATGCATGTTCCAATTTTCAAACGATAACATATGTATACCATTTATGGCCATGATGTGTCAGTTCTAAAAATCAAAATAAATTTTTGTGCATAAAACTATTACGAGAAATGTCCAGAATTTTTTTAACATTTTATAGTTTCGTCAATACAACATCAGTTTTATTTTTATATTTCGTATTACTTCTAGTTGAAATATATGTTTAAATATGTACCTACATATACTTTTGGAAAAATGTAATGAAGCGCAAGTGGGTCGACTATTTAACCATAACAATCGTTAATCAAGGGAGCACATGCTTCAACCAAGTCCTAAATAAAGACGTATGTAGATATAAAGTTTAGGCTTTTGCCCTGCAGTGGAATACGTAACATTTTTTAAAAAAAATTTTTTTCACTTAAGTAAAATTTTAGCTCGGGATCCTCAGAGCACGAGCCCAACTCATACTTAATCGTTTTCTCAATGTGATTAAAGATAATTAACATATAACAGGAAAAGGCGTACCTATTTTCCATGCCGTTAGCATTATCAGAAACAAGTCGACCCGTTTCATCAGACACGTGATGCAAGTGATGCAGAAGTTGCATGCATCGTGTGATCTTTATACTATAAGGAGTCTCGTTATCAACAAGACATTATAATAAACCAGTTATATAGTATAATATTACAAAAATAAGTGTCGTAAATAAATTATGAAAATACTTCCTCAATGCATTAATTTACCAGAGGGAAATTTTGTACAAAAGTCGTTTGCTTGGGTACCTCTATTCCATTTTTGTTTCAACCGTAAAGTCTTTGTATGGCTGTGTTTTGGTTTGAAGGGTTTTTTTGATGGGTGAAAATGGTATGGTAATCCCGTCTGCGCTAACGGGATACGTTGGCGGAGCACCAGTGAAGGGTGATAGATGAGAAAGAAAACAGGCCAGTTAGCCCATCATGATGAATTCATCAGGAATTAACCATGATAGTTTCCAGGGAGAATCGCGAGGAGCTCGACCTGGTTGGGTATATTGTTAGCAATGGGATTCTCAGTCTCCATTACTAACAATCCCTTTCCCCTCCCGGTTTGAAGGGTGGGATATGGCGTGAATTTACAGGGTACAGAGGAATAACACTTGAGTCTTCAGGAATGGCAACGCATGGGGGGTATCATGGGCAAAACAGTATACTTTGTTATGTACATGGTACTGCTCATGTCTATAGGCAACGGTTACCACTTTCCATCAGGTGTGCCGTCAGTTTGTTTGCCATTATAAGTTGTATAAAAAAATACATAATCTTTGTCAGAACGCTATGTCATGTTTAATTTCATGTGTAAAGTTGGTTGTCGTTTTGAATTTATGATTCTGCGATTGGAGGGGCCATTCATTGAATTGTACATTTGAAAGATCAGTTGAAAATGGGCAAATCTTGTTATGAAGACTGTATAGTTAAACAATACAAAAACTATTTGGTTATAAAGTCTACAAATTAAGAACGAAAGAAATCTATACTCATAATAAATCTGTAGAGAGGTCAATTCTGTACATGAAATATATTACCAAAATAATTATCAGCGGGTGATTAGTGATCGATACTGATGCTAAAATGCAATCAGTAAAATTTTTGTCTGTCTGTTTATTTTTATATACTCAATTGATTTTATCGTTTTGATATAATTATGCTTCATTATTTATAGTATACTTTCATCACGCTACGATCAATAGGAGCAGAGCAGTGAAGGGAAATGTGTCTGTTACATCAAAATCACTGAACTGTGAGAAAGGACATAGGCTACTTATAGTAAAGAAATATTTATTTAGTGTTTAATTTAAACAAGTAATTACGAAAATATTTAACAATAAACAAAAATCAAAAGAAATACACTAAAATGGTATCATTTAGGCATATGCCATGTTCTTTCGAACACGACGCAGATTTTCAGTAGCACCAATTTTTATATCTATGCACCTACCAGATTTGTGGAATTTAAAACTCAATTATTTCAGCTCCCATATCACTCACCACAAAAATCAATAATGACAAATGTTCACTAAAAAGTAGCGATGACATGATCAGTGGCAGTTATAACAAGAATCAAATCTTGTTCGCACCCAAATCTCTGAGAAGAATGGGAAATGAGAATTGTTTTTAATGGAATCTAGCATTTCCATTGCTATCAATATACTATAACCTACTCAGAAACTATCTTTGCTAATATTTAGTTGATTTTTTTTATACCACTGAGGTGGTAACATGCATACGGCCCACCTGATGGTGAGCTTGGAACGTCTGCAATACCAGGGGTATTACGCGTGCGTAGAATCACTGAAGAAAATTCTTTACACCTTTTTTCAAGGTTGATGCACGACGTTGTAACTTTTTTTTTTATACAACTTAGAATGGCAAACAAGCTGACGGCCCATCTGATGGTAAGTGGTAACCGTCGCCTATAGACATGAGCAGTACCATGGACATAACAGAGTATACTGTTTCGCCCATGATACTCCCCATGCGTTGCCATTCCTGAGGACTCAGGTGTTATTCCTCTGTACCCAGCTTGCTTTCATCCTCACCTACATCCTTCATAAGTGGACACTTTAGCGTATACCGACAGCGCAGGCGGAGTTACTATTCTATTATCATCGATGAAAAGACTGGAGACCGGTAGACAGCAGAGGTCGCCAGTTCGGGGGCCGACCACATACTCTTTTTTTGTTGCAGTATCCCGCCATAGTACCTTCTTAAAGCTCCTCAAATATTGCGTCTAAACTGCGCCCACCGTGTACCCTCTTGTATAGGCATTCCGTCACCCGTATCCAATATTGAGGACGGGATGCCTTAAATACTGTACCGCAAACCATAAAAAAAAATCTTAAAAAAATTACCAAATGACGAAGGTATTACTTACAATCCTGACGAGCCAGTTAAGCACGAACGCGGCGGTCGAGTAGTGGGTTCCGTAGTGGAAGGGCGGCGTGGACTCGTGCTCCCATGTGTTGTACCGTTCCTCGAAGTAAGCGCGTCTGCTCGGGTTCAGAGCACCAATGGGCTGTAAAGAAGAAAAAACATTTTCAACGTTTTCTTGAGATATCGATTTCACATTAATAAAATTGACACCAACAAATTATCGAAAAAAAAAGTTTTTTTTTATACAACTTAGAATGGCAAACAAGCTGACGGCCCACTTGATGGAAAGTGGTAACCGTCGCCTATAGACATGAGCAGTACCATGGACATAACAGAGTATACTGTTTCTCCCATGATACCCCCCATGCGTTGCCATTCCTGAGGATTCGAGTGTTATTCCTCTGTACCCTGTAAATTCACGCCATATCGCACCCTTCAAACCGAAACACAGCCTTGCAAACACAACTGCTTCACGGTTAAACCATATGTACAATACATAGTTTCACTATGCATTAAAGTTTAAATAAATAAATAAAATAATGTAAAAATTTATTATATCATGTCAATTTTATGACGTCAAGACTCTGGGAACTGATTCCATGCACATTATACAGGCATATACATTATTGCGTGTTAGACTTACTTTAGAGAGGTCCCTGTAGTTGGACGGCTGGCTGAGATCTAGCTCTTCGCTCTCGTAGTTGGTGAGGACCCACGGGAACACCGGATACTGGTTCAAGTCATTGTACGTCCGACCTGATCAATGCAAATACAATGCTGTGATTAAAATTCAACCTTTTCTCTTTACACCTAAAGTATAAAATGCTGACTGAAGAGAATCCCTACAAGAAATAAGGCCGCATGTGCACTACGTCATTTATTTTTCTTTTTATAATCTGCTACTTGTTTCAAATATAAATGTGCAATAAAGTTTAAACAAACAAATAAAGTGTCTAAGTCACAAGACAGAAAAGGAAATTTTATTACAATTATTCAGCGATAGAACAGTTAAAAACAATGACATATTAAATTCAAACATGATTTCTATTCTATTAAAAATAACGAGTTATTTTTTTTTATGCCACGAAGTTGGCAAACAAGCATATAATCCGTCAGATGGTAAACGTAGTACGTAGTTAACAATATATATATATATATATATATATATATATATATATATATATATATATATATATATATATATATATATATATATATATATATATATATATATATATATATATAAATCCTCGGATTTAATGAAATGACCACAAATAAAAAAGAAGGAATATTTGCCACTTTGATGTTCAAGTAACCGAGTAACATGACACAGATATTCACCGCCATTATGAAACATTAGACTTTCGTGTTGAGCTGAACGGAGTTTCCCGTGGCGCGACAACGAGGGCACCATGGCGGCCTCAGCGCGGACGTTGAGAAACCATTTCCCAACAAATCCTTGTCGTATTGTCCCTTGACATTATTGTTGATTAACTTCACTTAATCGAACACCTAAATAAGTCACGGCGGGTCAACGTTGAGGGCGTACGCGGCGGCGAATTACTTTAAAGTCGCAATATGATTTATGGACACTGGATAATGGAATTGTCTTAAAGTCAAGTAAAATTTTGCAACTTTGTAAGTGTTGCAAAATTATATATAAATATAAGGGGTAAAAGGAATCTTTAAAATTGGCTCAGAGGTGGCGAGGTTTTCGCGTAAAAAAGATACTGATAAAATTTAATCAAATTTGCTTTAAAATAACCATTTACTTGTATTGTTTTTAATATTATTTATTTTATTTTTAGCATCTTTCACTAAAGCCACGTTGGAGTCCTTCATGAATAACTGAAACGGCCTGGTATAAAAACACTAGAAACTAGAGGTGCCACTCTCATACAAGTAATGCCATCTAAATGGCGGGAAAAGGGATTGTTAGCAATGGAGTTTGACAGCCCCATTGCTAGCAATATGCCCTATTAGGTTGACCTCCACGAGGTTCCCCCTGGAAACCATCGTGAACAATTCTTGTTGAATTCGTCACGATGGGCCAACTGACCTGCTTCATCCTCACCTATCATTCTTCACTGGTGCTCCGCCAGCGTATCCCGATAGCGCAGGCGGGGTTACCATACCATTATCACCCATTACAAAAAAAAAAATGCCATCTAAATATACGAGTATATTACGAAACACAGCTATGCAAACACAACTGCTTTACAATAGTAACACGAATGGGACAGAGGTAGTCAAGCAAAAGACTTTTGTACAAAGTCTCTCTTTGGTGAAATTGTCTCAAATTCGGGAACTACAATTTATTTATCTTTTGAAATTATATCAACATTGGTTGTATTTCAGTTTAATTAATGCAAGAAGAGTTAATTATGAATGATCTCATAGAAACGGCAAATAATATCTTATACTTATATTTATAGTTTTATCATGAATGAATTATTTGTTTGGTTACATCGTCTGTGACTTGCAAACATGATAAAATGTATACAACAAACAAAGAGCTGTCTATGTTGTCCTATATTTAAACATATACTTACTTACGTATGAATAAAATACATTATTGTACTAAAGGTTATCATTATATCATTACAGTTAACGAGTACATCTCAATATTTACATTGGTTAATTTAACGTTAATAAAAAAAACATTAATGAGTATTTATGTTACATATATTATTTTTTCGGATGAATTACATTTTTTTTTTATACAACTTAGAATGGCAAACAAGCTGACGGCCCACCTGATGGAAAGTGGCAACCGTCGTCTATAAACATGAGCAGTACCATGGACACAACAGAGTACACTGTTTCGCCCATGATACCCCCCATGCGTTGCCATTCCTGAGGACCCAGATGTTGTTCCTCTGTATCCAGTAAATTCACGCCATATCGCACCCTTCAAACGGAAACACAGCTATGCAAACACGGTTCACGGTTGAAATACGAATGGGAAAGAGATACCCAAGCAATCGACTTTTGTACAAAGTCTCCCTCTGGTAATTATGATAACTGCAGCATGTCCATAGGCTACAGTGACCGTTTTCTATCCCACGGGCTTTATACTTTTTTGCCATGTTAGTGGTGTCAAAAAAAAAAAGAAATAAAAATGCGTGAGCGTGAATATTAAATATATTTTTTTTGTATTTTAGAAAACGATGGTGACAGTTGAACTATAAACATAGTGTGTCCGGATGTAAACTGGTCCGTGTAGCTTTCTTAGCAGTTTAAGAGTACAGATTGTGTACTCAGTTATTTTAAATTATTAAATTTAAAAAAATTACCTCTCTGTATATCCGATAGAATTTAAACCAAACACATTTCTCTCCTATACGGGCCTAGTACGTTTCCAGTTACGTCTTTAAAACAGAGTTGGTCTCCTAAGAGGTATTTTTTAATATTTTTTTTTAGAATGGCAAATAAGCTGACGACCCATTTGACAGAAAGTGAAAACCGTCGCCTAAAGACATGACCAATACCATGGACATAACAGAGTATCTTGTGTCGTCCATGGTACCTTTCATGTGTTGCCATTCCTTAGGACTACAATGTAATTTCTCTTCGCATAAATATGAAATTTAATCTCTAATTACAATATTAAAATTAGAGCAATATTAGTTTGATTGCAAATTAGATCAACTGCGATCTAGCACAATTTTTTTTTAAATAAACAAATTTATCTATTAATTAAATATTTTTTTCATTGGTGATAATAGTCAACGTGTTTATCCGTGGCCTGCTGGTGACGGTGTCTTTCCCATCCATTGTTGTCGTCACGTGGCCGCGTTTACTTTTCCCGTGAGCGGCTCCGGTGGACCATTCGTCAAACGCTTGCCAACTTTCATAGTCGCACCGGGACACGAAAAACTGCACGCGAAATTATTATATACAAATGCTACGAACAATAAAAGAGTTGCCAACAATTGTAACTAAAACGAAAGTGAAAGTGTTACAAAATAAATTCGGCGTGCTTAATGAGAGTTCGGCTGTATGGACAATTGTCGAGACTTCAACGGTGAATATGTGATAGACGACTGTGTTGTTTTTTTTTATCTTTTATCTGTTGTGTCACTGAATAAGTTTGGAGGGATTTTTCGCGCCAAAAGTTTTTGACAGCTGACAAGGAGGTCTGTGGCAAAAGTTAAAAGAAACACGTAGAATTAAAATTATTGACATGCTGAAAGTGAAAACAACGGAAATACTGAAAAGGTAAGTAAAATATACTTGTATTTTGTTATAATTATTAACTCTTGTGACAATTAGTAGGTGTACCTACTTGAAACTATAGGGATAGTTATAGTGGTGCTAATACAATAAGTTTCTATGTAAGCAGATATTATTTTAATAATGAAGTAGCCCTGTTCTCTATTTCCAATATTATGTGTTTATTATTTTTTTTTATAATAGATTGTACGTCAGGTGTCAGTACATAACGAACTAATAAACTAACTATTATAAGATTTTATTCCTCGATAAAATCGAATCAAATAAATTGACAATCGATTGTAAAAAAAAATTATTATAATCGTTTTAAAATTAGCGACGAAGATATCGCGTATCATATAAAAAATATATATAAGCGAAACAAGAACCAATTTTTTTTAATTTGTTGGAAAATCTGTCATTTTACATTAAACAACTGCATCATCATAGTCAAAGTTAAAAATACGTAAAAACACAGGTTCGTATGTACGAAATGTCATGTAACTAGTTCATTGAATTTGAAATTTTTAGACTACAAAGTAATTAGGTCTTTTGTGATAGCTATCAATGTCGATGTTTTAAAAAGAGGTTTGTCCTTACTAATATTGTAAATGTGAGAGTGAATTTGTTTATTCATTATCTTATAGCGTCTTAACGGCTTAACCAATCATTATGAAATTTAATGTATTTTACGTTTACATGTGTATATATTAGTATTATATGAGATGTAGAAAGATACAAGTATAAGCAATTTTTTTTTCGGTCAGTAAACTCGTAGTAATATCTTGACGACACGGACAAAGTCGCGGGTAAAAGTTAGTTGTTGTTGTAAGTTTGTTGTAATTGTATATTACTACACTATAAATATTAATTTATTTTATTATGTTGATACTTCTAGGTTGCATAGGTTCAAATTTCAGTTTCGTCAATATAAGAACAGTGCCGACTCTTAATATAGTGATTAGTTGCTCTGTGTACACACAGTCTTTGCGTGCAACGTAATCATAGAATTAAAAAAAGTTAATTGAACATTGGATGCCTGTCAGATGGGATAATTGAGGTATTTGCATAGGCGGCCGCGTGCTCGGAAATGAGGAATTCCTGTTTATTTGCTGCTTTGAATGCTGTCCATCAGTGTTTATTGGTTCCATGGTTGACTGCTGTTTACCGCATGTTAGAGTGACGTACGTATTGACGTATTTTGAAGAAACCTTTCAATAACCATTGTTTTTTGATACGAGATGGAATTAATAATGCAATTATAATTGTCGACAGCCCCCAAAAATGAAGTTTTCAATTTGACTGTTGGTTTAACAATTGTGTAAAACATATTAATGTTTTCTAATGTAAATCGATTGTAGCGATTCTCTTTCGAATCGATTGTTCTCAAATCGGTTGTATTTTTTATGTTTGTTACCTCATAACTCCGCCGGTTGTAAACTGATTTGGAAAGTTATTTTTTTTATCTGAAAAGATATACTTACAGATTGGTCGTAATAGAAATTTTATTAAAATAGGTTTAGTAGTTTAGTTTTTAAATCAAATTAACTGGTATTTCCACGATCGAAGTTGGTTTATTTTGTGGAGACAAAATTATAAATCTTTTTGTGATTGGGAAATTATTTTATTTTTTTCGCGCAATAATTCCGCCAATTGCCAATTGTATTTTTTTTCGATATACATATTTTTTCATAATTAGAATACCAACTTTCTCTATTAACGTATATATATCTATCCCATTCGAATTGTTTATCTTTCTACATGAGTACTTCATGCTTCGAGTGTACAGTTAGCTGCATCGATAGGTCGATGTTCTCACACTGCTCGTCTCCGAGCAGTATTACGAAACAGTTCCATTGGTACTGACCAAATGGAACTTACCATTACGCGACAACTGGCGTCTATTAGAAAATAAGCACAGCTATTATTGCAACCGGGCAAATAATTCAATTATAGGCACACGGCGCATGCACCGCACAGTCTGCGGGCAGCCTTAAAGTCACGTGTTCTATATAGCTAGATAGATAGATAGATACTCTTGTTTCCTCCTTAAGATTACAATAGTAAACTTATTATAAATACAAACAATACAGGTATATATTTATAACATTGTACTCGTCATAATTGTAGATTTTTTCATTCAATTTTTTCATGATTTCAAGCGGTTAAATTGTATAATAAATTACCCACTGCATTAAAAACTATTAAAAATTGGAGAATTTTGATAATAAAACTTTGTACTCTTTTGTTGGAAAGATGCATCTACTCAATTGATGAATTTTAAAATACTCTTTTAATATTTTATGCCTTACTAATGACATTTATAAATTGATTGTAATGTAATTTTTGACAATTATTATTGGTTATTTTGTCGCTTCGTATTTTTGTTATTTTGTTATATTTTATGATATCTTCTTGTCACTTGTAAAAATATTCAACACAATGCAGTATTGTAACGAATAAAACTAAATATAAATTATTGACTGTATTCTCATTTCACCTTTTAAAAAAAAAAAAAAAACCAAATGCTATTTATAAATGACAGAGTTCTCGTAATTACAAATCAAACTGAGAACCTCCATTTTTTTTAACGAATATATTCTAAATAAATATTTAATAATATATAACAATAGTCTTCATACTCGGTTTAAAGAATACGAGAATGACGGATCCCAAGCTCACAGACAATATCGATCTTAAGTCTAAAGATCCGCGTGTTCTACCACTTGTATTATGTACATTCTGTTCTAAAGAACTGTTCGAAATGATGCACACAGCTTCACACGTTTGAATCTCGCGTACAATACGATTTCAATGGGGTTTCCTTCCGGGAATGTTCAGATTGTCTCTGCCGAGGTACTATAGTATGGGGCTCTTCAAAAGGAGCGTATTAAGATTGCTTCAGGGTCAGGAATGTGCACGTGACATCCCTGGTTTGCAGGCGTCCACGGGCTATTGTGATAGTTGACCATTAGTTGGGCTGTATTTTTTTTTATGCAACTGAGAATGGCAAACAAGCTGACGGCCCACCTGATGGAAAGTGGTACAGTCGCCTATAGACATGAACAGTACCATGGACATAACAGAGATACTGTTTCGCCCATGATATGTTTGCCATTCCTGAGGACTCAGGTCTTATTTGAATCTATTGTTATCCCACCCTTCACAAACACAGCCATGCAAACACAGATGAAACACGAATACGGCAATCGACTTTTGGGCATTATGTCATAATTTAATTTCCTTCAAATTGCTATAAAAACTATTAACAAAAAAAAATCAATTATTTGTCATTTGTTCAAACTGCTATTTTAGTTCTCGTAATTACATTCCCTCCATTCTAAACGAATATATTCTAAATAAATATTTAACAATATAAACACACATCGTCATAGTCGTAGAATACTGACGGATCTGACAAAGATTACGTATAAAGATCCGTCACTATTCTACGACTATGACGATATGCATTAATCGCTCAAACTTTAAGACCGCAGTAATTGTTTATCTAAATTTCGTAAACGCATCTGTACAAAGTTTAAATTACATAAGCGTAGGAGAAGATTGGACTGATAATTGACACTAACATGAAAGGCGAAGATATTGCAACAGGTTCTACATTACCGAGATGTTCGCGTAAGTATGTTTTGTTAACAATTTAAATCTATTGTTACACTACATACATATGTGCACATAGATGAATACGGCAACACTCGCGGGCATTATGTCATAATTTAATTTCCTTCAAATTGCTACATAAATTAACAAAAAAAAACAATACGTCAATAGACTCTTTTTGGTGGTCTACCATGAAATGAAATACCGAATTTTCGGGCTCATTTTCGTATTTTCGTTCGTAAAGGGTGATATGATAACGATGATGATCGCTATCATACAAGTGTTGTCCTCTGTCGAGGATCTAGGGCAGTCGATGCCATCCATGTCACAACAAAAGTACTCTAGTAAAAACCAGATAAAAATAAACAATAAAATTAAAAACTTACCAGCAATGGTGTTGAGGAACATGAGATACTCGAAATTGGAGATCTCTCGACGCTGCCATTTCTGCGTCATGTTGGACTTGCGCATGAGTTGCCGCGGGGACATCATCGATGCGCGTCTGTAAATTCAAGCAAAAACAACAATATGAAACTACTATAAGCATAAATTGAGACTATTATAAACTTTATATATATATATATATATATATATATATATATATATATATATATATATATATATATATGAATTTCACAAAGTAGTTGAAACTAGAGATGTATTATATAAAGAGGCTTCTGATATTCTGTTTTCTCTACCTAACTTGTAAGAAAACTGGCATGAGACTAGTATAAGACATACAAATAATATAAGATAGACATATTTAAGAATATAAATATTCTATAGCTATATTTCTTCTTTCACAAAATTATTTATTTTCATATTAATTTTTGTTAGAGACTTGTGTGGGTACTAGGATTCCCTGTTGTATAGATTTGCCTGGGGGAAAGGGATTGTTAGTAAAGGGGAGGTTAGTCCCTGTTGCCATCAATATCAGGTCATATCAGGTCGACCTCCACGCGGTTTCCCCCTGGAAACCATCGTGATTGATTTATTTTATTTGAATTCGTCACGACGGGCTAACTGACCTGCTTCATCCTCACCTATTATCCCCTCACTGGTGCACCGCCAGTGTATACCGATAACGCAGGTGGGGTTACCATTTCATTATCATGCATTAAAAGGTATAGATTTGCCTCTAAGATTACAGTCCTGAGCATAACATACTCTTGACCGTTTGCAACATTCTCTCACAGTACCCGTTTATATCTAGTTTCATAACCGCAGTACCCACGTATTCGCTTGCCTATACGTAATATCAATTACCATTTAAATTTGTGTTTACCTAAACCATGTCAAAATTACATTACTTTCAAAATGTCAATGTCAAAACATGGAACATTTAGTTAAGATCAGTTTAAGTTCCTATACGTGTAGCAATACTATGAATATAGTACATTTATTTGTAACAAATCATTTAAAAAATATACAAAATTCAAAAAGTTGACTGTGTTTAGATAGATAGATAGATACTCTTTATTGTTTCCTCCAAAAGATTACAGTAGTAAACTTATTATAAATATAAACAATTACAAGAAATAATCACAATGAGAAAACAATGGGTGACCTTATCGCTAAGAGCGATCTCTTCCAGGCAACCTTTGAATGGAGAAGAGTAATAGTGTTTAATTCGATTTTGTTATATAAATTTTGTAAAATTTATTAATAACGTACATGGTTATGTTGTAGCAATTAAAATATTTAGTTCTCCGTTTACTTTAGGTTGACATTGAAGTAACTTTTAAACCACACTTATATTACGTTCTTCAAACTGGTCTCTTTTTTGAATTTTACATGTTTGTTTGCTTCCTAGTCTACTACTCATCAAGGACGTGTAAATTATTAATTGTCCAATCACTTTTACAACAACTGTATTTCCAATTAATTAAAAAAAAATCAACAAACATTCGTTAACCTTACGATATGTATGAACAATACGGGGAATAATTAGCAATGGAGTTTGACAGCCCCATTGCTAGCAATATACCTTATTAGGTCGACCTCCACGTGGTTCCCCCTGAAAACCATCGTGAACAATTCTTGTTGAATTCGTCACGATGGGCTAACTGACCTGCTTCATCCTCACCTATCATCCTTCACTGGTACCCCGCCGGTGTATACCGATAGCGCGGTTGGGGTTACCTTTCCATTATCATCCATTTAAAAGAAATACCAGCATTGGGGAGTCGTTGGTTGGGATAAATGAAACTAGTTGTAGTTTAGTGTTATACTAGCAGTATCCCGCGGCTTCACTCACGTGAATCACTACACATATAAAGTATCCTTTATGCTTTTTATAGCATTTCATATGTGATTCTTTAGATTGCTGTAACATTTTTATTTATGAACCAATTAAAATAAAACAAACACTACATGTTAAGTGAAGTAAACTGTAACGCATTAGTGAAAACTGCATTCAATCGGTTAAGCTATTTCTGAGATTAGTGTACAAATGCACAGACAGACAAAATTTCTAAAAATAATTGTTTTGGGTTCTATTACGTTTATAGCTCCCTTATAATAGCTTCCTTATAATAGTAATACCAGTTATGATTTCATTATATTTATTGATTTTACAACAACAAATTAATCTTTACCTAATAAAAAATAAATAAATGAATAAATAACTACCTAATAATAAACGCGTCAAACCGCGCGACACCGTGCGATTAATTTCCGCACATACCATGGTATGGAGTTACGAACGTACGATACCGCGCGGTCCTCGACATTGCGTACCGATGTGCATTGACAAAAAGACTTTATTGCTTTGCTTTTTGTTATGTTTTAATTTTCTCTAGCAATTCGCCTTCTCCACGTCTATCATAATAATGAAGTGTGTATATGTGAAATTGTGGTGGCCATTCATGCGTTGTATGAAGGCCGTCATTGTGCGTTCGCGCGAAAAAGTCCGACCATATGAACCTAGTTTAAAGCCTTCTTCCTTGTTTTATGGAATTTACCTGCATATATTTAGTTTTTTTTTCTGTCAATATACAGGAAATGAATAATGTTTGGAGCGAATTATGTTATTATTTAAAAGCGTTTGCAGCATGGCTCTGTTGTGTTCATAAAATATACAATTATATTCGTAATTTGCGCAAATATTAAAATAACTCATAGTATAAAATCACAACGGAATAACATAAATACAATTTACATGAAAAGGTTTGCTGGAAGAAATCTCTTATTAGAGATAAGCTCGCCTTTGTACATTATGTTTCAAATGAATTGTGGTTAACATTATATTTTGTGTACAGTAAAGAATAAATATATAAATAAATAAACTACCGAAGAGATTGGAGTATAAATCTGTAATCGGTATTGTTTCAGGTAAGATTTCTTATTTTATTCTAGTTAAATTAAAAAAGAAATTGAACCTTAAAAACATATAAACATAACAAATATACGAGAAGTATGTATATATTTTAGTTACAATATATATATATATATATATATATATATATATATATATATATATATATATATATATATATATGCTAAAATATAATTCATATATATTTTAGACTTTTAACATATTCAAAAATAGATATCCGACCTATCTCTCTAATTTGCTTTGACGTTTACTATGTGTGATTTATCTTGATCTATTTAATTTAGTATATTTATGTTTATGTATTATTATATCTTATTTTTATATTTAGAATATTTTGCATTTTGTTTGATTCCTTTTATGCATTTACTGTGTCTGACTTGCGCCATCTACCTTTCTCTCTGTACTTATCCATTCTTTATGCCAAAATATATGCACATTCTGTATAAATACTCCTTGTATACATCTCTACTGTGCGCAATAAAGAGTTTATTATTATTATTATAGGCGATATCAAAATGGGTGATGACCTTTTCTCCGCCATCAGAGTTTCAGACCAGAGGAACCCAATATATAGATATCGGATCGGTATCCGTATATCCCATGTTTAACAAATACACTTAAGATATTTTTACTGTGTGCTAGTTGTAAGAAAATTTTCTAAGTGTTAATCTAGAATGTGGTAGTTAATTCAAATGTATCAAGTCGTTTAGATGTTAGTAAGTAATGAAGTTTGTTCAGGACACCTAACAACGTTGCATCACTGTCCTGTTACCTATTGTTTAAAGAGCGAAATTTGGTCTACGTTCGATTATTTTGTTTTAACGTAAAATTCAGTAACAAAAAACTTAGAGAGAAACCAAAAGCCCATTATAAATCTAGAAATACCATCCACCCTAAGCTAGAACAGTTTGTTTCCTTGTAGTGCTTTTTCCCATAATACTAAAGGGGGTTGGGGCTGAGCCCTGTTATTAACCTATTTAGGAGCCTAGTTTTAAAACCATAACTTCTGTAATTGTTTATATTTATAATAAGTTTACTATTATAATCTTTTGGAGGAAACAATAAAGAGTATCTATCTATCTACTGTGCCCATTTTAAAAAATAATATTAGTTCTGTAAACATAAAAAACTACAGTTACGTTTTTACGAATAAATCTCATTTCATATATTCAGGTCACGCGGACATAGTCACGGGTAAAAACCAGTAAATAATATACAACTAGGAAACCATAAAGCACGTGGAATCTATCAACTCGTCAACTACCGTGTTTTGTTCTTTAGTTGTAGAACAATGTATGGATACTGTAGAAGGTTGTACATTATTGATTAATAACATATGATACTATTAATTTTATTACTAAATATGGTCATAACACTAAGTGACGTGTTGCCATATTGGGTATATGATTGGTATTCATCTGTCAATCCATTTATTAAATAAAAAAGACTTTACACATGTTTCCAACATCTCATAGAACATTAGAAAGTACATAGGTATAATTATACCAATATAGTATTGCACATCACTATTGCGTTATGGCTTCGTGTGGTTCCGCCATAGAATGGGCCCCCCTTCTCTTCCCTTGGGTGTCGTAAGAGACTAAGGCAGCTTCATGGTCGAGGGATAAGCAGTAGTGTCCCTTTTAAAACATCACTAAAGCCTAATTACAGTTGCTAACCCGGTTGCCAAGAGTGGCAACTACTGGCAATCCCCCTCCTTATGGGAGAACCTATGTTTAGCAGTAGATATGATGATGATAATCATCTTATTAGAAGACTTATGAGTTATTAAATTGCCTATTTTAATATTGATAGGCGTAATGCATTGTCTAAAGATCCTGAACATTAATGATTTTTTTAATGGGTGATAATGGAATGGTAACCCTACCTGCGCTATCGGTATACACTGGCGGGGCACCAGTGAAGGATGATAGGTGACGATGAAGCAGGTCAGATAGCCCATCGTGACGGATTCAACAAGATATGTTCACGATGGTTTCCAGGGGGATTCACGTAGAGATCGACCTAATAGGGCTAGTCAATTGCTGTCAAACTCCATTACTAACAATCCCTTTCCCCCACATTTATGAATTAGCTGGTTCTGGTTCTGGGTCATCTCTAATTGTTCATTAACGACTATGGTCATAACGGGCTATCAGGGGGGT